GCGATGATTTGTATTCATAAAGAGCTGCTCAGCGGGTGTGCTTGATGGTTCAATTGTCTCGTTTAGATGGTAAGCTCAAGATATACTGTACTTAATGTGTTGAAAGTTTAAAACTTTTGGATGAAGATGATTTTATGCCTTTTTAAAACACACTCTTGGGAATACAAGTATCTTGGTTTTGAGATAAGAAACAAATTCAATTTCATGCTGAATTTTATTGCTGTTTTTATGACATTCAAATCGATTTGTTGGGTGATTTATAAGAAACAAACTTAAATTTATATGGTAAGAAAACAAGAATGTTTCTTGATTTAAAATGTATATTTTAATGACATTTCTATAGATTTCTAAAGATTCTTCGAATTGCTTAGTTTAAAAATGTAATAATGCCTATTAAATTCTGGTTATTACCTATTCAAGAATAGAAATAGAATAGAAATGCATTTCCCTTTCCCATAAACATGTCTATACAATCCATATAAATAATTTGAATTTCCTTTTTTAAAAGTTTTCTCTAAATACTCTTCCATTAATGCCTGGGCAAAATGTTTTCAATTTGAAACCCCTCTCTTTTTAAAAACTCAAAACAATTTAATTAAATTGTGATGAGTGTGTGTGTGTGTGATTGTGGTATATTCTTGCCTTCAATTGAGTTTGTCGGAGGGAGGTTTTGTTTTAAATTTCTCCTACATTTAATTTCGTTTTGTGCAGCAACGAAATAAAAAACAATTGAATTTTTTCTTTATTATTCAATTATACTCGAGCGGAGGCAGTTAACTCATTTTTGTTGAGGGGGCACAGAGGAAAGACTTACATATGCATTTCCAATTTGTATTCTACTGCATTGCTAGGCCCCACAAAAAAAAAACAAAAATTAAAGCCAAGTTCCAGGCCCAAAACCGACTCCCAAATCCGTATCCCCCAATCGACGTCATCGTCTCCTCGCCTTGTTTATCAATTAGGCAAGAGGCACACATGCAGTTCGGTTCGATTCGGTTCGATTGGATTCGATTTTCGTTTTGGTAGAGGAATGCATTTTCCATTTTCCTTTACCGAAAAAAATGTGTGTGTAGGAAAACTCCGCCCTTTTCAGCAGCACTAATCTGTTTATGGCAGCGAGATTCTATTAATATTTTTCCCTTCGGGTCGCTGAGTTAAAGTGTTGGAAGTTTTATGATCAGAGCCCAAATGGAAACTTTACCCAAATTGACTTTGGCATATCGCTTGCTCATAATTTAGAATATTTAAAATGCTTCTGGCTATGATTGAAGATTGCAATCAACCGACGGCCACTTGAGAAGGTTTCACATTTTTCATCATTCAAATGGATGGATTTCTATTTCCATTTCAATGTGAAGTTCATTGTAAAGTACAATATACAATATATCCCATTGGATTCATTTGGCGGGAGGGAATTTCATATTTTAATGGCTCGCCAGCAGTTATTAATAAATTTTTGTATTGCCTCCGTTGATTGTTATATGGAAATGGTTTTTATCCAGCGAGGGTGACAGTGGGGAAATTTCATTTATTAGCTTTAGGGGGACCCCTTGGTGGGTGACAAGTGACAAATGCAGGGAAGATATAAAATTAAATGTGTGAGCCGAAATCAAAATCAGTTTGAAGCCTGCTGGTTTTTCTTTCTTTGTATTTAGCCCCCTGTTGAAGATTCAAACAAACAAACCCCGTGGGCAAGTCCAAACAAACACTGTTTATGGCACCCATGCCGGCACATCCTTGCCAGCATCCACTTCATCATCATCATCATCGTCATCATCATCTGCATTGACATATGGGAACATCAAAGTACGCGACGACATCAGTTCGTCAAAAAATACAGAAGAGAAGAGACGCGCGGCTTCGGGTTCTAATTTGTTCCTTATTGCAGTCTGCAGAATCCATCATCACTCCATGACCCGCGCGATGATGGACAGACAGACGACGACCCCGTTTACCCTCGGTTCGGAAATCCTACCATATGTTTGCCTCCGGCTCAAGACGCCGACTTGACTTGGTTTCAGCCTGCAATAATTTCCCCTTTTGTTGGGAAATGCAGAGAGAAAAATATTACACCAAAAACTAAGTTCAGAATTTAGCAGCCTTATAAAATGTAGTAGAAAGAGTAGAGGATAGCTCTATCTTACAATTCCCAACATGTTTTAGAACTAATTCAAATAATATAAAAGCATTCATACCACTGAGTTAACAATTCTTGTTCTTTTGTTGTATTCTTTAAAATGTAAAGTTGTAATTACTAAATTTATAAACTGAATTTGTCCCAGTGTAATATACGATAATTTCCCGTTGTTCAGCGTTATCAATGTGTGGGTGCTTGTGTTATGTTCTAGTTTTAATGAGTTTCCACTCGACGGAGTATTTCAGGACAATAGTCCCTGAGGCGCCTGCTGGCGCCAGTTGCCCAACAATCTGTTGTTGTGTCCTGGATTCTTGGATTGCCAGCAGACATGCATCCATGTGCATCCTTTATCGCTGATTTTTGCAGCTGCTTATCAGCCGGGAAATTTGACACCTACTTGGCACAATCGTGTTTACAACTTAAGGTTCTCTCTTGAAATAAAGTTCCGCGGAAAAGAGGCACACATGGGCGGGAAAAACTTATTGAAGCACGGAAAAAGGCCTGGCTGGCAGAGCGGCTCATTAGTCATTTCAGCCAATTAATCACTCAAGTTTGCTTTGGGTTAATTGTTTTCCGTAAACAATAAGCCAGAAACACCACGACCAAGCCCCCCATTTGCACATGGAGAATAGAGGAGTCCAACAGATGGGTGAAGGAAAAATTTGGGTTGATGGGAATTTTCATTAGTTCGAGACAGTCATTAGCTCGATTTTATGATGTCTCACCCATTAAGTAGTTTTTCCACACTCACATCCCCTTTCGGAAATTCGAAAATTGAATTCCCCTCCTTATACTAGCATAGGAATTTCATTTAATTTTCCATTTTTGCTTGGAAAACCTCTAAATACACAACATATACCAGCCAGGCGTAAATAAGTGTGTGCAAAAACACAAGATTGTTTACTTTTCGGTTATTAAATAAATCCATCAATCTTAGTTGCCAAATTAGTACCTGATACCTTTATGGGTCTATGGAATGCGGAGCCCACCTTGTTCTATATATTTTATTGCACGTGATCCATCAATTAGCTATATATAGTAAGGTGAGCATTAATGCCCCCTACATTTCTGGCTTTCACTTTGGTTCTTTTCTCCAAATAAAGCCCCTCTGTTATTATGTTATTTATAATCTACACGTGTTAGTCACCTAATAAATGGGTTAAAGGCAATACGTATTTGCCTTTCATGTTGGAGATTTAAGTAATAAATTATTAATAATTTAATATCTCCCCTTTGTTGGCTTACCTTCCTTTTTGATCAAATGGAGAATAAATCCAGGTCGATAAATCGCTTGAGGCATTCACTTCCTTGCTGTTTTCGCAAGAACTCAAAAAGAAGCCTCCTTTATTCCCCAAAGAGACAGCTGCCAGAAAGGAGGAGAAATCAGCTTTACAACAAAAACAGAGCAAAAGTACAAGAAAAAAATGTAAAAACAAAAAACCATATTTTTTATATATAACACACTCTCTCTCTGAACAACTTGGCGGCCTCTTCATGATTTTGCGTTAAACGGCGGCTGTGGTACAAAAATAAATACAACAGAATCTCTGTGTTTTTATTTTTTTATGTTTTACTCTTTTAGTATTTTGTGACGCGTTGCTTGGTGTAAAACAAAAAGCCCTGACTCGTGTGACATTTGGCGCTGGAGAGTGACTTTTGAGCAAGAGTTTCTCGGTCGCAAAAAAAATAATGGAAAAAGGGGAGAAGCTGGAAAACTGAAATGCTTTTTCGAGGGAGAAAAACACAGGGAGTTGTTTTACTGGGGGACTGCTGCTCGGCTTTATTGTTTTCTCGTGTTGGCCGCAGGATTGGAGTGATTGTGCCTCCGAGGTCTGCGTGTCCACTTTTCCACTTGTACAGCAACACAATTGGGGTTAAGATAATAGGTTCACATAGTAAAAAAGTCTACAAATAATCACTGTATATTAATTTATGATTTTAAAACATATAAAGGATATTTTTCTCTTCGATAGTTTTTATTTAAAGAAGTTTAGATTTATAATTTTGACTTAATAATGTTTATACTTGTTACAGAAACTATTGCGACTTAAAATCATTTAAGAGGTTGCTTAAAAATATGTTGCAGGAACAGCTTTATAATGAATATAGTAGTTGAAATATTAAAATATATTTTTATTATTAGGAAAATGAAAAGAAAAGGATGCTTAACCACAAGTAAGACATTTGCATAACCATGCTTAGCAATGAACTTCCCTATTGTTAAAAAATGCTACATAGATTTTATTATTTATACAGATTTATAATATCAAGTATTATGTGAGGAATACAATATATTTTTTTGATCCCAAGTTCTATTTAAATGACCTCAGCTGTAACTCGTCCCTGCATGCAAGTGCGAAACGCCGCTGTATCTTTGAGATACTGAGGACCTGGCAGGGTTGCCTCAGACATCTGGCCCGTCTGGCGTGTCGCATTAATTAGACGTGTTTTGTGCTTGTCCAAAAGTCTGGCCCCGTATCTATACGATATTATTTATGAACTTGCTAATTTTAGACCTGCCCCTGGCCTGAAAAGGCCCAATAAGTGGTAAGACTGAGTATGAGTATGAGTGATGTTGGCTGCTTCTAGCCTTATCAGAGTATCTCAACAGGCCCGGCAACATGTTAAGTGATTATCAGAGAAGCAGGCATTCGCTTTGCCGTAATTTTGGGCTCAAGTTGTCAGCAATTTGGATGCCTGGCGGCGTTGACTTTAAGCCTATTAGACACACACACCGCAGCAAAAGCTTATGTTTAGCGCGGAGGAAACTGGGTGTGTCTTGTGTACCGCAAAGTATTTTGTAATTAACAGCATTTACAACACCTTAATGAATGTCTACAACTCTCCTCCTCTTTGATTCCAGCACACACCGTCACTGCTAAGCATTCTCCTGCCCTCGAAGAGTTCTCAACTCACACTGTGATACGTCCCCAGGTGCAACATGGACGCACCAAGCGCAGCCTGCCAACCACTCTGGACGCCACCGTAAGTAGTCAAGGAAATTAATTAATTTTGGGATATAATTATAGACATAGAACCAGGCTAACAGCTTATACTTAAGTCTACATAGGGGTATATTCACAAAAAGTTGTTTTTAGTAAAGATTTTCTTAGTTAAATGTATAAATATATTGTAATATAATTGCCTCTATATTAAGCAACATATTAAACACGATACAATTGCAAGCTTAATTTACCTTAAACCACATACAAGCTGATATTATCCATAAATCATGTAAATGTAATTTCTGCTTTAGTTGACCATAAATTGTGTTTTGCCTATACATTTGCCATGTAATTTCACACATTTATGCTGCTGTAAATAATGAGGAAAGACCTCATTGAAAATTCGTTACAAAATTACTCAAATATTTGGAACAGTTTCAACAATTTTCACACTCACAGGACAACGCGCGGTAAGGTAATTAAAATTAACCCAAAAACATGAAAGGAAACTCAATTTGGGATGCCAAAGTTTATATACCCTGGCAGTTTGCAATTGAATTATGAGATCTAAATGAAAATCGTTTACATCTAAGCTTAAAATATTCGATATTTATCAATATTTTTATATCACAATTTTTTCGACAAATCAAAGTTTAAAAATCTCATAACTAAACCAAAAAAGCATTAATTTTAATTCGGAAAACGTTCCTATGTTAGTATTTGTTAGGTTAATAAATCTGCATACTCAAATTAAAATTTTAAAAAATTCAATTCAATTCCACCACTGCGCTTTAAGCTTTTGACTGAAATTATAATACCCTAGAAAGGGTAAAATAAAGTCATGAAAAAAATGCGCGAAATTCGTTGCATGCCACAAGGGCGCTGACAAAAAGCCAAGCCCCCTTTTAATTAGTTCCAACAAGCATCCACCTACCACCCCGTGCACACATGTGTGGGGTGGGATTTTGGGGGTGGAATGCCAGTTAACCCCTGCGGCCAGCAGGACATTACACATTCGCACCTCGGCTCACCCACAATTTGCATGCGAAAATGAAATAAAATTGTGTCTGAAAATGGCTTAATCCTGTTAACTTTATCTCTATGCTCTGCTCCTTTCCAGGACGGCCTTCACACGCCGCACATTAGCCTGAGCTACACCCACGAGGGCAGGCGGGTGACCATCGACCTTCAGAGGAACGATCGCCTGCTGCCGGAGCACCACTTCCTGCGCTATCAGAACTCAAGCAGAGCGGCCACTGGTGGCAGACACGGAGGCCACGTTGTCCGCAACTTCACCAAGACTGAGGTTGATTTATGCCACTATCAGGTACGTTCCAACAGTCCTTTTAAGGCACTCAGAGAAAAGTTTGTGAAGAGATTTTAAACATTTAATAAATAACGAGAAAGAATCTAACTTCGCCACGCCGATTCTAGATTAATATATAATGTTTATATATCAAATTTAATGAAAATCTGTTAAAAACTGGAAAAGTTCTATATTTCTTTCTTAAAGTTTTCCGATCGTTCCTATCAGCTATATATACATATATGTATACATATAGTCCACCGATTCGCCATGCTCCGATTTACATACTAGTAAAATTATATAGAAGAATATCTCCGAAGCTTCATTTAAATAGCTTGCTCTTAAATTTGTTCCGAAGCACTTCTCGCACATCTGGGCATATGATTCCCAACTGGTTCTAACATCCCCGGAACGAAGTGACTTCTGCCGGCCAAGTTCCAGAAGTGTGTTGTGTTACAAAAGTTGCAAGTCATTGTTTATTAGTGTTCAAAGTTATAAACTGACCATACGTACATACTGGTCATAGTTACTTACTAGTCATAGATACTTACTGATCATAGTTACTTACTGGTCTTAGATACTTACTGTTCAGAGTTACTTACCTATCACAGTTAGTTACTGGTCATAGATACTTACTTTTTAAAGATACCTACTGATCCTCTACGTTAACAACCCTTTCTCAGGCAGTTACTAATTTATTATATACTATTCTGATTCTCATAAAAACAAAAATCGAAATTCTATAATAATAAAAGATAGCTTTGAAACAAATTAATAAATATTTTATATATTTGAACCTACAACTTAGTTAACCTTTCCTTTAGATGCACTTTTTTCTCTTTGACTGTATAATAATTTCCTTTTCCATTTGGTTAACCGCCCCATCTAGGGACACATTCGTGGCCAACCGGACTCTGTGGTGGCCCTTTCCACCTGCGACGGTGCACTGGATGGCATCGTCTTTGATGGGCGGGACACCTACTTCATCCATCCCCATGTTGACAGCACGGGGCGACTGCAGGATGACCACTATCTGTTCAGGTGAGTTTCAGGTGTTTTCCACTCAAATTGGATTAGAATTGTGCAATAGGTGGAAGAGGAAAACGGTAGGAATTATTAAATTGCTGGGCTAATTTGTTAACTTTATAGTTATAGATGATGCATAAGTAACCAAATTTCTTAAAGTAAAACCTTTATAAAAGTCCACAAAGATTACGATTTTATTTTGATATCGATCTAAACGTAATATATATACTATATATCTTACCACTCGCTTATCTAATCGCGTTCTTCGACCCAAAAAAAAAAATTCTTTGCTCACTTGTCATAAATGTTTGCGGTTGATAGCCGCACGGGGGTCAGTTTTGGCCACGCAAATGTTTACCTATTTGCAGGCCATAAATATTTGCTTTTGTTTCGCAAATATTTGCCCAAGGCCCGAAACCGAACCCAGAACCCAGAACCAGAACGAGACCCAAAAACCCATAACCAAAATGCTCTCATTCATTATGTTTATGTGGTGCCAGCGCCACTTCCGTTATTAATTCCTTTTGTGGGCCACGGAAATATCAAATTACCTTCGATTTATGTTTTTTTTTTTCCTTTCACAGACAGGCTGACATGGTCCCAACGAATGCCACCTGTGGCTATGATAGCCATAGCCATGACCACGAGGAGGCGGTGGTACCTAATGGCATTGGAGACGACGAGAGTCCTTTACTGCCACACCTCCTTGATGGCAACGAATTCCAGCGAACCCTACTCCGGAAGCGGCGCCAGGCGGATGACAGCAGTCAACTAATCCGAGGTCCGTACAACGCCAACAAATATTCCAGCTACGTAGAGCTGGTCATTGTGGTGGACAATAAGGTGTACAAGCACTTCCAGGAGAGCGCCAAGAAGGTCCACCAGCACTGCAAGAATCTGGCTAACATTATCAATTCGGTGAGATTTATCTTAAAAAAGATATTTTCCACATGAAAATAAACTTATTTCCTTTATTTCCTTCTTTAGCTCTACGTTCCACTGAACATCTTTGTGGCGCTGGTGGGCGTGGTGATCTGGAACGAGTCCAATGAGATCGAGTTCTCCAGCGACGGTGATGTGACGCTGCGCAATTTCCTAAACTATCGAAGCACCAAACTGGTGGTGGATCATCCCAACGATAATGCCCAGCTCCTGACCAAGGAGACCTTTGCCGGCGGCGTCGTGGGCAAGGCACTGAAGGGTCCCATCTGCACGTACGAGTACTCCGGCGGCGTCAGCATGCAGCACAGTCCCAACACGGCCATGGTGGCCACTACGATGGCCCACGAGATGGGTCACAACTTTGGAATGGAGCACGACTCTGACGACTGCAAATGTCCGGACGAGAAGTGTGTGATGGCTGCCTCGAGTACTTCTGTGGTGCCCGTGAGTTGGAGCAGCTGTAGCATTGACCAGCTCACGATAGCCTTTTCGCGTGGCATGAATTACTGTTTGAGGAATAAGCCGGAGAGGCTCTTTGAATCCCCCACTTGTGGCAATGGCTTCGTAGAGCCCGGGGAGCAGTGCGATTGTGGTTTGCCCAAACACTGCACGAATGCCTGCTGCAATGCCGAGACCTGCATGTTGCACTCCAACGCGTCTTGTGCCACAGGAGAGTGCTGTGACCTGGCCACCTGTCGTCCCAAAATGGCAGGCAGTGCCTGCCGGGAGGCAGAGAACGAATGCGATTTGCCGGAATACTGCACTGGAGAGTCAGAATACTGTCCCACAGATGTTTTCCGTCGCGACACAGAGCCCTGTGATGGCGGTCAGGCCTATTGCTATCATGGCAACTGTCGCTCCCACTCGAATCAGTGCCGAACTCTGTGGGGACCCACTGGAGACAACTCAGAGCATTGCTACGACAAGAACACCCTTGGCTCGAGGCTGGGCAACTGTGGCTACAATCGGTTAAACAAGACCTTTGTCAGCTGTCCCGCGGAGCATGTCAACTGCGGCATGCTGCACTGCATCCACCTGAACGAACGCCTCGAATTTGGCATGGAATCGGCGGCTGTGCTCTCCCATTCCTACATCAGTCACGACCGTAAGATTGTGGCCTGTCGCACTGCCCTAGTGGACCTCGGACTGCAGACCACCGATCCTGGCTTGGCGCCCAATGGAGCCAAGTGTGGAGACGACAAGATGTGTGTGGACCAACGCTGCCTGCCAGTGGCAACGGTACGCCAGAAGGGTATGGGTATGCCCTGTCCGGAGGATTGTAACGGCAAAGGTACGTGCAACAGTCGCGGGCACTGCCACTGTGACGTCGGATTCGGTGGCGAGTCATGCTCCAGAACGGGATCTGGAGGCTCTCCGGACAGTGGACCAGCGACGGATCCAAATGGTGAGTGAAATAAAATTAAAAACCTTATAGTTTGCATAACTTAAATCATTGCATTCCCTTCCAGGTTCTGTTGGTCTCAAGAAATTCCTTAAAGTGCTGTTCTTCTACGTCCTGCCCATGGTGTTCCTATGTTGGTTACTCTTCCACGGCTACAAGAACGGATGGTTCGCACGCGGAAAACTGGCGGATAATATGTATGTATCGACATCCTCGTCCTTCAGCAGCAGCAGCGGCTCGAAAGGGAGCACCAGCAGCCCCGACAGCAGCAGCAGCAACACTACACAATTAGCATCCTCCCTGCCACCCACTGCACCCGTTGCACCCACTACTGCACCTAACACCTCACCCATTAAACTAGCCCCGGTTACGGTTACGGCTCCGGCCACCATTACTAACATACACGCCACCCTGCCGCGCCACAAGTCTAACCCAGATGCAGTGCATCATGTACACATTCAGCCGCCCAGTGTGCCCAAGAGCAAGAGCAGTCACGAGGTGAGGCGGAAGCTGTCCGCTATTACGACGCCAGTGGTAGACCTTCGTGGCTTTTGCTCCAGCTCCTCAAGCTCATCCACCTCCTCCTCCTCCTCCTCCAAGAACAACAACACCGAGTCACTAAACAACAACAACCACAAAAGCACACTGACCGTGCGGCGCAAGCTGGACATAACTGCTCCGCGGCTGCATGCCACCACGAATCCGCTGGCCCTCACCGAGGGCGCCCAGTACATACAGAGCGACACCGCGAGGTGCGCCACCAACAAAACAATTAATCCACAAACATAACCACAAGCTACTACAGTGAACACTGCCTACACTGCTCTGAAATACTTTGCATGACTCTGCGCTTGGCCACCGGCGTTTCTATATCCTTGCAGGATATTTTTATGGATTTTCTGATAGCAGATTGAGCCTTAGAATGGAGTTTAAGAAAACATATTCTCTGAATCTTTTTCTGATTATATTAAAACATTAAATATTTTCGATTATTAATCTAGGAACTAGTAACAAAATACTCCAGAAACTCAAGGAATCAAAACAATGAATTTACAATAATGATTTAAGATTGTAAAGTTATAAAGTATTTTATTTAGGAAAGCTAACTTAAACTTTATAAACCGAGAGAGATCTCTAGATAGCATAGGAATAAAAAGTATCTTATGAATTTTGTGAATATTAGCACCAAAATCCAGTATATAATATCTGCAAGGATATATTTCCAACTTCGGTGCTGCCGAGGTTAACTTTTTCGTTAATTTTTAACAAAAAAAAACCCGTTTTGCACGTTTATGAATGTCTGCCATTTAACAAAAGTTCATAATCCCTACCAACCTCTTACTAACGCAACCTTAATTTGTGTTTGATTCCCTAGATTTAATAGATCCAGATTTTATGTGTTGTGTTTCCAATAAATGTTTATTGTTTTAATTGCTTTTTTGGTGTCGGTTTTATGCTTGTATTTGTCTTGCTATTTTCGAATGTTTCTTTACTGTCTCCTAGCACTGGTGTTTGGTTTTATGCACGATTACTCTCTTTGGTATGTTACACAAACCAGCACTTTCAACTTTGACTCCCAGAGCCCATTGTTCCCACACTAATCTCTTAAATTCTGTGTCCTTGCAGCTTGAAACCCACAGGAGGAACCAAAGTCATCACCATTCGTACGAATCAAAATGGCAGTGGTCCGCCGCCTGGCAATGGTGGCTTACTCAAGTCCACTCCCAGTAGCACCGATGATATGGATGCGGCCTTGCTGAAACAACCAACGACTGACCCAGTTGGCCCCGCAGGATTGTTTGGAAAATTCGAGGGCTTTACACTGCGTCCCCTGAATGATGCCACCTCGCCTGGCAGCAACTACAGCGGTCCGAATGTGGCCTTCGTCCAGCCCACGGTGCAGCAGGACGGACCACAACGAATGGCACCACCACCGCCGGCAGGAGCGGTTCCGGTGCATGCGCCCAAGCCAGAGGCCACATGGGTGAGACCAGCGCCAGCCCTGCCACCGCCGAATCCTGGCTCCACGGCGCGACCCATTATCTCGCCACCCACATTGGATTCGAGCACATTAACCATGGTGCCGCTCAAGGGCAGTGCGGAGGAGGATCTTTCGCCAACGCGATCCGCACCAGCTCCTCCAGTGCCCCTGCACATGGATCCCAAACTGAATGTCAAGAGGGACGGCACCATTCGTCGCTTTGCCTCGTTCCTCAAGAAGGAGGAGAAGCCGCCGGTAAAGGAGAAGACCTACATCGATCGGGAAAGGTTGCGCACGCTGGAGATATCCGCTCCTATGCCCGTGCCCGCTGCTCCTCAAACGGAGTCCTCCAACTCGGATTCAGAGACAACACCCAGAGAAGAGGAGACCCAGAATCTGGTGAAACGCGCCCAGTCCATGCGGTCGCCCACGAAAAAGACTCCACTTCAAAGCTTTGGCTCTATGCGTTCACCACCTGGATTACCGCGTCCTAAAAGCGGCCAGGTAAATAGCAGTGGCACCTCGAGACCCAAGTCACCACCGCCAAGACCACCACCGGTATCGATCAAGAAAACGAACTCCATTACGTCCACGGGCTATCAGAGACCAGTGTCCACTGCCCAGCGTTCTGTGGAGAATACCTACGACGACTGTGAGTTTGTGGAGGAGGCAGTTCGGGCCTCCAACGATGATATATACTCCGTAATTGATGAGATACCGCCGGCGGCACAGACCCTCAAGCGGAGCGATCTCGTGGCCAATCGAGCGAGCAATGGCAGCGACATGGGATTACTCAACGAGATAGTTAACGAGCTTGAGAAGATCAATGGCGACTCCTTATATTCGGGGAAACCAGTAGCAACAGCAGTCGCTGCAGCAGATCCCCCAAGAGTCCCCAGCGACCGGCGCCGCCCAAGCCAGCGAGCAGTGTCCTGGAGGAAAAGGCAGCCGCCGCGGCGGCGGCACCTGCCAACACATATCATCGTACGCCATCTGTCAATGCACCGGTGGCTCGGGTCAAGCCCACACTGGCGGAAAAATCTCAACCGCCCAGTATGTCCAGCTTTAAGCCGTCGTCAGGAACCGGCAGCGTTGGACAGGTCCAACCAGCGCCAACCGTTGTCCAGCAGCAGCAGGCCAAACGGAGCAGCAGCGGCAGCGTTAGCGGAGTAGCCTCCCGACCCAAATCCTTTCTGAAAAGCACAACGAAAACACTGCCCAATGGAACGGCGGGAGCGGCGTCAACTGCTGCGCCCTCGGCCACCATTCAGAAACCGAAGCCGCTTTCGGCCAAGCCATCGTTCAGCGGCGGAGTAGTCCTGGGCAAGCGGACAACGCCGCCCACCGTAAAGACGGTGACAGCGGCGCCGCCAAAGTCCAATATTGCATCGCTGACACAGCGATTCGAGCAGAGCAAGTAGACTAAGGAATAGAGCGAGTGGGTAGACGGGAGGAGGAGCCAGACCATGGACATGGGTAGGAAATATTGATTGGATGAGATAGGATGAGGTTTACGCAGAACAGAGAGTTTATCAACTGAAATTGATAATATTATATTTATTATTCAAAATTGAATTACTTATTTGACACCATTTTTTTTAAATCTATACTTTTCGACCTATTTTAAGTTGTAAATTATATGGTTTAGGATCCAACACATTTTTATGGTCTGCAAATTAAATAACATAGATACACTCTGATCACAAATCTGAGATTACGGTTTAAATTCTTTTATCGACTGATATTTCATATTTAAACCCCGACATTTTTATGTTTTTTGTAGAATTTTTACCATTTAAATCAACATATTAAAACAAAAAAATACATGTCAACACAGAGTAAATTATGAAACAAATTCAAAAATTTACAAAATTTCTTTATTATTTGGTTACGACAATATAAAAAGTATTTATTCTTTAGTTTAAGGAGCGACAAACATATTTACATGTACATAAGCTTAGTAATACTCTTAATTTAAGACGAAAAATATATTGTAAGCCAGAAACATTTAATATGTTAAAATGTGAGGTTCTAATATGGAAAAGCTTTAAAAACCTCCTGGGAATTTAAGGCAATACTTTCATTTCCTAAAAACAAAATTAATTTCTAGCCACATTGTGATTTTTAGCCCATGTCCTTGGTTTTGCTCGATACCCTTCCCTCCGTGTGGACTTTGAGTTAATTTTAATTAAGATTACGATCAAAAATTTCATTTGGGCACTGACTATGCCTGAGACTACGACTGCGTCGTTCTTGATATTCATTCCTGTACCGATCGATGTGTCCCACTAGTTAAACGTTAAGGCTTTGCTTAACTCATGTGCTAAGTATGAATGTATCTCAATTTGATAATTTTAAAGCGCATTTTAATTTAGAACCTAGCGATAGCTGCGTATTTTATATGTGTACCTATAATCCTGTATCTATTACTCCGACAGTAGTCCATGTATTTATGTATATGCAATATGCTTTTGTAAATAAAAACCAAAGATGTTCAATTGTCACAGCAAATGCGCTCGCCGCCCCCCGAGGTAATCAATTAAAAAGTGTTGTACAGCTGGGATAATGAAAAAAATAAAATAAAAATAGTACGAGAACTCGATACAATAGCGAAATCAATTTTAAATGTCTAAATGTTGCAAAGAAACTATGTTGTATGCCCTAAAATATTTAAGAACGATATCGAAATGTGTATAGAGCCCAAGTTATGTTAAAAAATATAAGTTTAACTAAATCAATGCATTGAGTATTTTTTGGGAGAAGAATTATTAATTTTGAGGAGAAACTATGGAAATCAGGACAAATGTGAAGCTAATATGCAGTAAAAGTATTTTAAATATCGCGCGCTATTTTTTATCGAACTATCGATTAATTTTACCATTTTTAAGTACAAAGAGTTGTGGCACCTGGTAACACTCCAAAAGCAAGAAGAAGAATACAAAATCTAAAAATGAGCGCACGAAAGGTAAACAATTTGAATTATTGCCTCCTAATGGGTAAATAACAAAGTATTTATTACATAGAAAACCTGGGCGAGGAGCGCCTTCAGCGAGATGAGCCTTTCGGCCAGTCCAATCACCACAGAAGCCACTCCCGTCAAGAGAAGCAGGAGTTCCTCCAATGTGACAACAACAACCCGTGTTTCCAGGTCTCAAAGCGGAAAATCAGCGCCAACGCCAAAGCCCTTGATGGATTCCGTAGATCTGACTACTCTGTCTGATAAGGAGGAGCACAATACCGATACCAAAGAACCCCCACCGGAAGTAAAGGAAAACTGGATGGAGAGCTTTGCGCCGGCAACCAGCGAGGAGTTAGCCGTTCATCCCAAAAAGATTGGAGAACTCCGGGATTGGCTGCGACACTGCGAAGCTGTTCGTAAGAAGTTTCCGGCCCAAATGTGCCTGCTTACGGGACCCACAGGCGCCGGCAAAACTGCGACGTTGCGCGTTCTGGCCAAGGAGTTTGGTTACCAGGTGCAGGAATGGATAAATCCCATCGACTGTGAGGTAGTCAATGCCTTGGGGGATCAAGCCAACGGCAATTCCTATGTGGGTTCACACTTGGAGGCTTTCAAGAGCTACTTGCTGCGTGCCTCGCGATATAAATCTCTGCTGGATTCGCAGAATAAAAGACTGTTGCTTGTGGAGGACTTTCCCAATGTGTTGCTCAACGATACTCAGGATGTCAACTTTGAGGAGTTGTTGGAGTAGGTTTCCTAGAAATTTATGTGTACCAATGTGTAATCGCTTTTTCTTCCAGTGAATACTCCTCGTATGGCAAATCCCCATTGGTTTTCATTGTGGCCGATGCCAAGTCTCGTGGCCTAAACATCAGCTACCGTCTATTTCCAGACCAGCTGAAGGCAAAACATCGCATCGAACACATTAGCTTTAATGCCATTGCATCCACAATTATGCAAAAGTCAATGAAAGCCTTTTGTTCCGTGTTGCAGCAACCCCAGAACAGAGCCTTGTACAAATTACCCTCGTCCACTATTGTCGACTCAATAGTTGTTGGCGCCCAGGGTGATATAAGGAATGCGCTAATCAATCTGCATCTCAGCTCCTTGAAGGGAGTTGCCAATATGCCTACCAAGAAACTCAATGTCAGCGTGGCCAGCAAGGGTCGCAAAAAGAAAACAACTCAGAGTACTCTAAAATCGATTGGAAGGGATGAATCCATTACGTTGATGCATGCTCTGGGTCGCGTCCTCAATCCCAAGTGTAAGTAGCATTTCTCTCCCTCAGCTCACACTTTTAACCCCCGACCTTTGCAGTTAATGATGACAAAATGCTGCTACACAGTCCCGAGGAATTGACCGAAGCCTTCAGCACAGAGCCCAGGAACTTTGTGAACTTTGTGCATGCCAATTATCTCCCACATTTCAAAGACATTGAGGAAGTTGTGACTGCCATAGATGACTTGGGCCTAGCCGATTCGATGCTTAACGAATATCGTGAAGGTGCTGTGAGCGTCATGGGTTTAAATATTGCCATCCGTGGTGTAATGCTTGCCAACAGTGCCCCAGTCAGCGGTTGGATGCCAGTTAAGGGGCCAAAGCGTATAAACATCAAATCGCTGGCCACTTTGGCTGAACAGAAACTGGTCGGTGTAGGATATGCGGGCATTTCCAGGACACTCTATGCCACCGAATATAGTTCCCTTGTAAAGCGCATAGCCGACAAGCTCTCAGAGGTCAATTCAGGCCAAAGTATAGAATAGTATTTAAAAATGTGCTGAAAGTGTTGTTAAGTAATCCCTTACCATTTAATAATAATACCTAGTATTCACGATTCAACATTTTATTAACTTACAAATCGAGTTTTCATTATATAAAAATTCCATTAAAATCAGTAACGCATCGGGGATAATGAACTTATGATTGGCATGTAGATGAAGGGAAATTAAAAGAATTGTAACGCTCACAGATGATGTCTTAAAAACTAAACAGGGGCTCTCTTTCTATTTCCAAATATGTATTTTTGTCGCCACCACAATTGGAGTGTTCTATGTACATGGCGCGGTGTGATCCGCATCCTTACTTAACCGCTGCATCGGTGCCCTGTTTGGCCACATCACTGGAGTTGTCCTCGTCCTCGTCCATTTGATTGCTGCCGTCCAATAGGCGCTGGCGCTCCTCCTCGTTAGCATGCCCATTCAGATGAATCGGGGATCGGGAGCGGGAACGAGTACGACTGCGTTCATGGCCGCGCTCAGCATGCCCATTGGCTATATTCAGCCCAGCCACGCCCATCTCGTGCCCATCACTGCTCGAGGACGAGGATGTGCTGGAAGTGGTGCTCGATGTGGTGCTGCTGCTATCACTCTCGCTATCCTCGCTGGAGGAATCCATGGGCGTGGGCTGTGCCAGCTGCTGCGGCGGCTGTGGTGGCTGTTGTCTGGCCTGCAGTTCGCCGGCCGAGCTGGGTGTGGGTGCCACCGCTGAGGGCGGAGAGGCCGCGGCGGCAGCAGCAGCCGCAGCAACCGCTGGACCCGGTGTCGAGCCCGTGGAGCAAGAGCGCAGGAAATGGGAGCGCAAAACTAAAAGGAAATATAAGATAACTATAAATCCTGACTATAAATAATAGGGATAACCATACTCACATTGATTCTCCCTCGTTAGCTGACGCATCTTCTCCTCCTGAGCTCGTATCTTGACACTGAACTCATTGGATGTGTTCTGAGCCTTGGAGTACCGATCTTCGATCTGCAGGCACTCCTGGATTAGCTCCTGCTTGTTCATCGTCTCCAAACGCTCCAGCCGCGCCCGTTCGTATACATTTGAGAATTCCTTGGAGAGGAAGAGGTCCTGATCCTCCGTCTGCGAATTGAAGCAGTTGTCATCGGAGTCGTCCTTGTTCAAGTCGGACATGTGCTCCTCCATCAGGAAGCGATTGGTGTTGTACGGCACGAGCAGCGACCGGGAGCGGACCAGCTTGGTGCGGCTGTTCGGACGCGGATGGGGATGCCCCTCGGCATCCGCTGGCATGTCTAGCTTCCACTGGGGAAACTGATTCTTGGTCTTCTTCGGCAGAAGCTTGGACTTTTTGCCGCGGCGATGTTTTCGCTTGGGCAATCCTGATCCTACTCCGCCGCCGCCACCGGTGCCTCCTCCACCACTGCCAGTACCTCCTCCGCCATCCAAGGGACGCTGCTTTGAGTTTTTTTCTGCAAGAACATAAAAAAAGGACACAAAGTTTTAATTTTTAAACGGAAAACGGCCGCCAACTTCCCGAAATGCAACTCTGACGAACGCTTTTCGGGAAAAAAAAACAGTCTACTAGTCAGTCGCCATTTGTCTTGCTTTTTGGTCTTAGCCACTTAATTTCCAATTTTTACCTGTTTTCACTGCCTCTGCCATGTTGCTAGCTCAATTTATTGTTGCACAAACACTTGGCGTTTGCTCGGAGCGCAATTTTCAAGTTCTGAACTTATTTTTAAGCTTGCGAAATTTGTTCTAAAGCAAAGACTGAACAAGTGTGGACAAGCACAAATTTTTGAAAAATTACCGAGTGCCGTTGGAACGGTCACACTATCGATATCGATATTCCCCCGTTCAAAAAGTTAAAAAATAAACATTAATAAGTAACTGAAAATTGTTATGTGTTCATAAAAGCTTTTCTTGTCGTTTTCCACTAGATTTATTTTCCTATTTCCGAGCTTAATGTTTTTTTTTTTTTCAAAGAAAGTAGAAATGATTTCGCGAATCTTATTTGTTAAAATTACAAAAAGATCAAGTAATTAATGCCATTCAGTTTTTTAAATCGATGCATACGTATTTTCTTTAAGTATTTATTTAAATAATAGTGCTTCAAAGCTCCTACATTTTCCTAAAAAAAATAGTAATTTCAATCAAATTTCTTTATTTTAACAACAAAATGAACTAAATTTTTTTATATTAAACACAAAAGAACTTGGATTGCTTAATTATTCCCTCAAGCTGTTGTGAATCCAGTCAATGAAGGAGGCAACCCTTGTGTAGACATCCGGCCAGTCAGGATTCGGACATGGTACTGGTCCGAAGGACACCAATCCGCCTAGAAGATAGGCATCGTTTTTGAAGAGCATCAACGGTCCTCCGGAGTTACCGTGGCACTCCTTCGAACTAACGAAACCGCAGAGCTGTGAACTCTGAATGCTCAGCTTATGGGCCGAGTACTTGAGGTGACAGTCCGCGATAGAACTAATGGTCACAAAGTTCTTGCGCATGCGCGGCGACGATTTGGCCAGCCAACCAGCCTGCTCCGTGACGAGACCCTCCAGCTCATCCGCTCGCAGCTGTTTGTTGGGCAGACAGATCGGCACCACAAAGTCATTGAGCTTGGCCGGAGTCTCTAGGCGAATGATAGCTATATCGTTGGCCTGACTAAGGTTGGAGCTATTGTACAGGGGATGTGGAAGCGTCTCCTCCACTCCAATGTCCTGGTAAGCCGGAGCACAGTCGGCCTTTTGGGTGTCTTCGTGGAACTGGCAGTCTGGATTCGTGCTGGTATCCCATTCACCCAGACGCACCGCCGAAATCCTCAGATTATTTGTCATGGCTTGCACCACACAGTGGGCAGCAGTCAGCACATATCGCTCGCTGATAAGCACTCCTCCACAGCCGTGGAGCTTCTCCTCGTTGGATGCTATGAGAGAGATATGCGAGTGATTAAGGAGAGTCTGATAGCAGCCAAGACGTAGACTCACCCTTTGTATACTCGATGAGAGCCAGCCAGGGAAACTCCCTGATCCGCGTTTCAGTGTCGTTGGAACGTTGCCACCGAGCTGTGCCACAATCAGTGGGTAGCAGGGGATGCGTCAAGGCCCCCAAACCGGCGGTACTGGGACAGCAGACCTGGGGAAAAACAGGAAATAAGTTGAAAAATATTTAAATTTAAAAAATTACTGATAATATTTTATAGTAAACTTTTGTGAAATAAACATTTAACATGTTCACTAGAGTTTAAAAACTATTATTCCTAGCTACTAATTTAATATCTAATTAAAGTTACATCTTCTCTTAATTATAAATAAAAAAATAAAAAAAACAACATAAGAACACTAAAAAATCTTCCCGCTTTTGCTTAAACTTAGTTTTGTTGACATATATAAACTGATTAGATCATTTAAAACCAAAAGCTTGGGCTGCTATCTCTCCCATTTAGAAATCAACGAATAGCATAAAAGACTCAATGAAAGTGAAAACCAGAACACAGGTCGGGGAAAAACCAAGCTTTTGGGTTCATTCGCCATCGGAGTTGGACTTGAACTCAGGTGTCTTCCCGGTGAGTCACCTGGAGTAAACTTACCAAAACATCCCTGCCCTTTTGACCGCACTGGTTCTCCCGGAGCAGGTTACGGTCGCTTTGGGTCGGATTCCCGGAGGTCAGGATGCGCATAAAGTAGTCACACTCCCGGATCGAGATGCAGTGGCCTGTGATCCTGCCATTCTGCAGCTTGGACACGCAGTTCAGTTGTTGAGCTGCAAGTTCATTGCCAGACTTGTTTACGTCTCTGAATTCCTAATTCCGTGTGCACTCACCACTCGTGCCCAATGCCAGCAGCAGTAGGCAGGCGCCAACAACAAGTACAGCTGGAAAACTTCCCATGCTGGACCGGATCGATCAGATATAGCGGCTGGCGACGACGGAGACGTTGGGACAGTAGCAAGCGACGGAACGAATGAGACTGCGGCTGTGATCGAGAATAATGGGTGAGTTAGGCCCGATGATTACCGGGAGAGTGAGAAGTAGCTCTCGTATTCAGATTTTGATTCTGATTGAGTTTCAGAGACAGATTCAGATTTAGAGCTGGAGGAAACCTGGTCCAGATAACATAATCGTACAGCACGAGAGTGTTTCGTAGGAGCTTTTAAGCCGAGTGGCTTATTAAATATTCTAATTGTTTTCCATTTTCCGTTTTCGAACAACTAAGAACTTTTGCAGTTTGTAAATTGAATTTAAGATAGAATTTAAAATCGAGCATAACTAAGCTTAAAATATTCACATTCTTTGAAACTACATTTTAGGCAATTTTGAAGAGTTTAAAAGTCTCATAACTAAGGCAAAAAAGCATTAACTTCAATTTGGAAATCAGTACTGTGTTAGTTTTTCTTATTTTGATAAATCGGCATACTCCGTTTAATATTTAAAAAAAATCAAATTTTTAAATTTTTTTTTTAAATTTAACGATGTAACCCCTTATTGAAAAAATTGAGAAATATGTCAAAATTTTAATTTTTGACCAGACATGTCCAGATTGATTAAGTTTTCGATGCTGATCGAGAATATATATATGATTTATAGGGTCGGAAATGAGTCCTTCACAAAATGTTTAAAAATTCAAATTTTTGACAATTTTTTACAATTTTAACGATGTAACCCCTTATAAAATTTTGATAAATTTCGAAAAAAAATTTTGTTATTAAAACATGCCTAGATTGACTCGCCTGTTGATGATGATCAAAAATATATATGATTTATAGGGTCGGAAATGAGTCCTTCACATCATTTCAAGCTTCTGAGTAAAACTATATTACCATTTTTTGGCCGATATTAATATATATTTATAAATACAAATTTTAAAGTTTAAAAAACTCATAAATGTATATGATTTATAGGGTCGGAAATGAGACTTTCACTTTGTTACAAACGTATGACTAAAATTATAACACCCTGAAAGGCAATAAATTCGAGCTAATACAGTTAAATAAGGAGTTAATGGGAAAATTTTGAAAGGTATTTTAAAGGACAAATTTCAGCTTATGGACCGGCCAAAGCTTTCGCTCTCTTTCACTCTCAGGTAAAAATATCGATGTATCGATAAGTACCATCGATGTAGCGCCTACTTTGGAAACATCGATTGTATCGATAGCCATCAATGTTGTTGCACCTCTAGAGGTTCTCTTTTTATTTACAAAATGCAGTGAAAAGTGGACAAAAACAAGTGAAAAAACGCACAAAATGGCCACCCAAAAGCCTGGCGAATGGGCAAGTGCCCTTTTGGCCCGCTTCGAGGATCAGGCAAGTGTTTTTTGGGCGCTTTTCCGCTGCTGCGTCTCGCGGAGCCCAAGCGAAAAAATGTACCTGCTGCTCGGCCACCACCCCGCTCCGCCCTCATCCACACTTGGTCGTGTTGTTTTGGGGATTGCGTGGGCGCAGAGGTGGTGTGTGGGCAGGTGGGGAGGGAGGGCATTCCCAGCATGAATGAAATGAAAATAATCAATCAAATGCGCCGTCTCTGTGTCTTTGCAGCTGCCAAACCGTATCGGAGCCTACGGAACGCAGGCGAGGATGAGCCAGGACCAACTGGTGGCCTGTTTGATACACATTTCGAGGTACCGCTTCTCCCTGGTCATCTCCGGCCTGACCAAGATGCTGCAGCGCGTCAATGAGGCGGTGAGTACTCAAGAAGAAACAACTATTGGGATACTCTTAAATACTAAATACATACTTCCTATACTTTGCAGGCCCTTCAAAATCGCCATGAGCCGGAACGTTGTTACTTCGAGTCCCTGGTCATCATACTGACCACCCTGGAGCGCTGCCTGACCAACCAGACCAAGGATACGGCTCGCTTTGAAGAGGCCATGAACGTGAAGCTCCTACTGCGGGAAATCTCCCAGTTTGTGGACGTACAGAGTGACAGTAATCCGAATGCTGCCCAGCTAAAGGCTTTAGCCTCGAAGGTGCTCTTTGCCCTATCCCAGAATCACTTCTCGGCCGTGTTCAATCGCATCTCGGCCAGGATACAAGAGTTGACATCCTGCTCCGAGGAGAATCCTGACTACAATGACATCGAACTGATACAGCACATCGACATGGATATGATAAAGCTAACCAAGCTGCTACAAGGTACAAATAATTAGGGAAGAGCTAAACAAAAGTCTTGTCATTTTTGTTTTCTTTAGAAACCATTACAAAGTTTCGATCCAAACGTGCACCGCCATTGATTCTGCTTTATTCGCTGGAGAAGGCCATATGGAATTGGATTGAATACCATCCGCAGGAGTTCCAGGACTTGCAACGGGGCACCAATCGGGATATATCCACGTATGGTTTGAATTTAGATTTATAAAAAGAAGCCAGTTATTGTTACGTTTCTCCCTCCATTTAGCTGCTGGGAACCCTCATGGACTTTGTAGAGTACTTCAAAACAGAGAACAAGAAGAGCAAGACGCTCGTGTGGCCATTGCAAATGCTGCTGCTGATATTAAATCCCTCCTGCCTGGAGGCCACTGTCAACGAGCTGCAGCAGTCGGAGAAGGAGAAGGAAAAGGAGAAGGTCCCATCCAAATCAGCTCAATCAACGTCAAGGGATAAGGACTTTTCGGCCAAGCAGTTTATCGAAAGCATAAAGCGGGGACTTGGCCAACACTCGCCGTCCAAGCAAGTTACCGAGTCCTCCGCCATAGCCTGCGTGAAGCTTTGCAAGGCCTCTACGTACATCAACATTACCGACTCGAATAATGTGGTTTTTAAGCTGGTCCAGTACTTTATCAACGACCTCAAGGCCCTGCTTTTCAATCCGGCCAAGCCCTTCTCCCGAGGACAGGGCTATAACTTTGCGGACATCGAGCTGATGATCGACTGCTGGGTCTCCTGCTTCCGCATCAATCCGCACAACATCGAGGCGTTGAAAGTGTGCCTGAATCTGTCGTCTCCGCAGGCCTACCACTTTGTGATTGTGTGCTCCCTACTAAGGTAAGCAATGCTGCCTTGGATAATATTTAATGAATTATAATAATATTCAAACTGTTCCAGACTTGCTCACATCTATGTGGATTTCCGCCTTCAGAACAAGAACCCTTTCCGGATTGTTAACCAACCCAGATTGTCCTGGTGGCCTCAGACGGATGTGGTTCATTACCGCTCTGCCGAGCTGCGAGCTTTGTTTACGGATACGCTTAACAAGGCCACCCAGGGCTATATAGCCCACACCCCACTGCGCTATATCACCTCACTCACGCTTAAATCTAAGGACACTCAAAAGGGTCTAACGCGGGCCGAAGAGGGCCCTGCCCACAAAATGCTATTGCTGCTGCTCGTCCGGCTGATCCATGCCGATCCCACCCTTTTACTAAACGTAAGATTGGCTGTAATTCATAGCTTGATCTCTATTAAACAACTCTCTATTGCAGACTCAGGGAAAGGTTGCCCACGAGGTTCAAAGTTCCACGCTGGAGTTGATCAACGGACTGGTGAGTCTGGTGCACCAAACCACCATGCCCGATGTGGCCCAGGAGGCCATGGAGGCGCTGCTCGCTCTGCATGCACCAGAAAAGATTGAAGTCTGGAATCCGGAGGCTCCCATTAACACCTTCTGGGATGTCAGTTCCCAGGTGCTGTTCTCCATCTCGCAGAAACTCATCCAGCACCAAATTGCCAACTACACTGACGTTTTAAAGTGGCTGCGCGAGATCCTGATCTGCCGGAATACGTTCCTTCAGCGGCACAAGGATTACGCCCACGTAGGCAGTCAGATTGCCATATGCAAGCAGGCCCACATCAAGATGGAAGTGGTCTTCTTCATGTATCTGTGGAGTGTTGACTTGGATGCAGTGCTGACTTCACTGTCGTGCTTCGGGCTGCTCTGCGAGGAGGCGGAGATCTGTTGCAGCTCCGATGAGCTGACTGTGGGTTTCATTATGCCGAATTACCACATCTACCAAGAGCTGGCACAGCTGTCTTCATGTGAGTTTATTTGAGATTGCTAAGGTTTATCCAATTTCATATATTATATTCATATTAGCTGCTACGGATACTCGAATCTGCTTCTTTGACAACACCCATGGCAATGTGCTAAGCCGACTTACACTGCAAAAGCGGATTATGACCCTCCTCCGCAAGATCGAGCACTGCGTCCACGGTGTCCAGCCCGCCTGGGAAGAGACCTTTCGCAATTGGGAGGTGTCCAGCAAGGTCTTGCAAACCTATCCAAAGTGCAAGGGCGAAGATGCCCAAGCTGAGGTCTTTCATCGCGGCATGGGCAAGCGACGAGCCAGTCATCAGAGCTCGGAGCACGATCTGGAGGAGCAGATCAATGAGTGGGCCAATATGACTTGGTTTCTCTTAGCCCTTGGCGGCGTCTGTCTGCACAAGCGCAGTAGCAGTCGTCAAATGTTGCTCCAGCAATCCCAGAACAATGCCTCCCTGGGATCCTTGGCACAGAACTCTCTATACTCGAGCTCCACCAGTTCCGGCCATGGTTCACTGCATCCCAGCACCGTGTCTCTATCCACGATCCCGCCAGCTCCACCACAAGATGTCAGTTACTGTCCTGTCACGCAGTAAGTCCTTAAAAGAAGGTACAAAAGAATATTTCTTAAAGTTTATTCCCTGAAATAGATTCATTGGACAACTGTTGCGTTTGCTGGTCTGCAGCAACGAGAAGATCGGCCTCAACATCCAAAAGAACGTTAAAGAACTCGTGGGCGAGGAGATGTCCACCCAGCTGTTTCCCATACTCTTCGACCAGATACGCGCCATCGTGGAGAAGTTCTTCGACCAGCAGGGCCAGGTTAACGTGAACGTGACCGACATCAACACGCAGTTCATCGAACACACGATTTACATAATGAAGTCCATCCTGGATCCCAAAGCCAGCAAGGATCCCAACAACGACCAACCTTCACCTTCGGAGCACCTGGGAGTCACCAGCATCGAGGGCATGATGCTGGGCATCGTTCGGTATGTCCGCCACCTGGACATGACTGTCTACGCTATCCGGATCAAGACAAAGCTTTGCCAGCTGGTGGAGGTTATGATGAAGCGGCGCGATGATCTCGCCTTCCGCCAGGAAATGAAGTTCCGTAACAAGCTGGTGGAGTACCTGACCGATTGGGTGATGGGCACCTCACACCAGATAGCGCCGCCCAGCTCCGCGGACGCTTCTATTCTGACCAACACATCGCTCATTTTTCGCGACCTGGATCAGGCCTGCATGGAGGCAGTGGCCGCCCTGCTTCGTGGTCTTCCGCTTCAGCCAGAGGAGTCTGATCGTGGAGATCTGATGGATGCCAAGAGTGCGCTGTTCTTGAAGTACTTCACTTTGTTTATGAATCTCCTGAACGATTGCATCGACAGCTCCGAGGCGGAAAAGGAGATGAATAATACGCCATTGCTGCCACCACGACCTCGAATGGCTGCTGGAAAGTTGACCGCCCTCAGGAATGCCACCATTCAGGCCATGTCGAACTTGCTCGGTGCCAACATTGACTCGGGCCTAATGCACTCGATCGATCTGGGATACAACCCGGATCTGCAGACACGAGCTGCTTTCATGGAAGTTCTCACGCAAATCCTGCAGCAGGGAACCGAATTCGACACTCTGGCCGAGACTGTGCTGGCGGATCGCTTCGAGCAACTGGTCCAATTGGTAACGATGATCAGCGACAAGGGAGAGCTGCCCATAGCCATGGCTTTGGCCAATGTGGTGACCACTTCGCAGATGGATGAGCTGGCCAGAGTTCTTGTCACTCTGTTTGATGCGAAACACCTGCTGTCGCCTTTGCTGTGGAACATGTTCTATCGCGAGGTAGAGGTTTCGGACTGCATGCAAACTCTCTTCCGCGGAAACTCCCTGGGCAGCAAAATCATGGCTTTCTGCTTCAAGATCTATGGAGCTAGCTATCTACAAATGCTACTGGAGCCGCTGATTCGTCCGCTGCTTGATGAGCAGGAGGAGACTTGCTTCGAGGTGGATCCGGCTCGCTTGGATCCCACCGAGGACATCGAACAGCATCGCAACAACCTGATCGCACTCACCCAAAAGGTTTTCGATGCCATCATCAACTCTTCGGATCGCTTTCCGCCCCAACTGCGCTCCATGTGCCACTGCCTGTACCAGGTGCTAAGCAAGCGCTTCCCGAATCTCCTGCAGAATAACATTGGTGCTGTGGGCACTGTGATCTTCCTGCGCTTCATTAATCCCGCCATAGGTGAGGTTACTATATTCAATTTAAGAGTTCATTTACAAACTTATTTTTCTATTCACAGTATCCCCGCAAGAGTTGGGAATCGTTGACAAGCAGGTGCACAGCTCGGCTAAGCGAGGACTCATGTTGATGTCCAAGATCTTGCAGAACATTGCCAACCATGTGGAGTTCTCCAAGGAGCAGCACATGCTTTGCTTCAATGACTTCCTGCGGGATCATTTCGAGGCTGGTCGCCGCTTCTTCATTCAGATTGCCTCGGACTGTGAGACCGTGGACCAGACTTCGCACAGCATGAGCTTTATTTCGGATGCCAACGTGTTGGCGCTGCATCGACTGCTGTGGACGCACCAGGAGAAGATAGGAGACTATTTGTCCAGCAGCAGAGATCACAAGGCCGTGGGCAGGCGGCCCTTTGACAAGATGGCCACCTTGCTGGCCTACTTGGGTCCGCCGGAGCACAAGCCCGTGGACTCACACATGATGTTTAGCTCATACGCACGCTGGAGTTCCATTGATATGTCCTCGACGAACTTTGAGGAGATCATGGTCAAGCATCAAATGCATGAGAAGGAGGAATTCAAGACCCTCAAATCGATGAATATATTCTACCAGGCAGGGACCAGCAAGTCGGGTTATCCGGTCTTCTACTACATAGCCAGGAGATACAAGTAAGTAAACCCATTAAGGAAACAATGGAGGAAATATATAAGAAATTTCAATCCCTTCTAGGATTGGAGAAACCAACGGAGACCTGCTAATTTATCATGTCATCCTCACGCTGAAACCCTTCTGCCACTCTCCCTTCGAAGTGGTCATCGATTTCACTCACACCTGCTCGGACAACCGCTTCCGCACGGAGTTCCTGCAAAAATGGTTTTATGTCCTGCCCACCGTGGCCTACGAAAACGTCCATGCGGTGTACATCTATAACTGCAACTCCTGGGTGCGCGAATACACCAAGTTTCACGATCGCATCCTGGCTCCGTTGAAAGGAAACCGCAAGCTACTCTTCCTGGAGTCACCAAACAAGCTCACGGATTTCATCGACGCTGAGCAGCAGAAGCTGCCGGGTGCTACCCTCTCCTTAGACGAAGATCTCAAGGTATTCAGCAACGCACTCAAGCTTAGTCACAAAGACACCAAAGTGGCCATTAAGGTGGGTCCAACAGCTCTGCAGATTACGTCCGCGGAGAAGACAAAAGTTCTGGCCCACTCAGTGCTTCTCAATGACGTATACTACGCATCGGAGATCGAGGAGGTGTGTTTGGTGGACGACAACCAATTCACGCTGTCGATAACCAACGAGAGCGGTCAGCTGAGCTTCATTCACAACGACTGCGATAATATTGTCCAGGCCATTATCCACATTCGAAACCGCTGGGAGCTCAGTCAACCAGATTCCGTGACAGTGCACCAGAAGATCCGACCGAAGGACGTGCCGGGCACCCTTTTGAACATGGCGCTGCTGAATCTCGGCTCTTGCGATCCCAACTTGAGGACGGCTGCCTACAATCTGCTGTGCGCCTTGACCGCTACATTTGACCTGAAGATCGAGGGGCAACTCTTGGAGACGCAAGGTCTGTGCATCCCATCCAATAATACCATCTTCATCAAGTCGGTGAGCGAGAAGCTGGCCACCAATGAGCCGCATCTCACGCTAGAGTTCCTCGAGGAGTCCATCCAAGGCTTCCAGCGTAGCACCATTGAGCTGAAGCATTTGTGTCTAGAGTATATGACGCCCTGGCTGAAGAATCTCGTCAAGTTCTGCAAGTCGAACGACGACTCAAAGAAACTCAAGGTCTCCCAGATCCTGGATAAGCTCATTAACCTGACGATTGATCAAAAGGAAATGTATCCCTCAGTGCAGGCCAAGATCTGGGGCTCGATTGGCCAGATCCCAGAGCTCATCGACATGGTGCTGGATAACTTCTTGCACAAATCGATCACCTACGGCCTAGGATCACCGCAGGTAGAGATAATGGCTGACACGGCAGTGGCTCTCGCTTCAGCCAACGTCCAATTGGTGTCCAAGAAGGTCATCACGAGGATGTGCCGGGTCATGGACAAGTCCTGCACGAATCCCACGCAGTATCTGGAGCAGCACATGATGTGGGACGATATTGCCATCCTGGGACGCTACTTGCTCATGTTGTCTTTCAACAATTGCCTGGACGTGGCCACTTCGGTGCCCTATCTGTTCCACACCATTACGTTCCTGGTCTGCTCCGGATCACTCTCGATGCGTGCCTCCACCCACGGCCTGGTGATCAACATCATCCACTCGCTGTGCACCTGCACAAATCCCTCCTTCTCCGAGGAAGCACAGCGCGTGCTCCGGCTCTCCCTGGACGAGTTCTCACTGCCCAAGTTCTATCTGCTCTTTGGCATCAGCAAGGTCAAATCGGCAGCAGTGACTGCCTTCCGCTCCAGCTGTCGTCATCCTACTGATAAGTGGCTGGGAAATGAGAGAGTTACCCAACCGCTGCCCGCTGATCGCGAGCGCTTGTCGCTGCCCTCGCTGGAGGTCATTACGGACGCCCTGCTCGAGATCATGGAGGCCTGCATGCGCGACGTTCCGGATTGCGAGTGGCTGCACACCTGGACCTCCCTGGCCCGCAGCTTCGCCTTCTGCTACAATCCTGCCCTGCAGCCAAGGGCGCTGATAGTCTACGGATGCATCAGCAAAAGTGTAACGGACCACGAGGTGAAGCAGCTGCTGCGTATCTTGGTCAAGGCCCTGGAATCGTTCAATGATTTAATCCTGATCGAGGCTCTAGTCATGTGCTTGACGCGAATCCAACCGCTGCTGCGACCCGAATCGCCCATCCATCGGGCTCTCTTCTGGGTGGCCATTTCGGTGCTGCAGTTGGATGAGATTACCTTGTACGGAGCTGGCTTGGCCCTGCTAGAACAAAACCTTCATACACTGAAATCGCAAGGCTGCTTTGACAAAAAGGAGACCATAGCCGAAGTGATGATGAAGACTCGCGAAAAGCTAGAGTGGCACTTTAAGCAGCTGGATCACGCTGTGGGTTTATCATTCCGCAGCAACTTCCACTTTGCCCTGGTTGGGCATTTGATCAAGGTAAGCAATTGCAGGTTTCTTGTTAAAAATGAAATGTTAAAGCTATCTTTTTTAGGGCTTCCGTCATCCCACTCCCACAACTGTTTCCCGCACTTCCCGAGTGCTGACCATGCTTCTGGGCATTATAGCTAAGCCGCTGCATCGGGACAAGTTCGAGGTGACCCCTGACAGTGTGGCATATCTGACGGCTCTGGTGGCTGTTTCCGAGGAAGTCCGCTCCCGCTGCCACGTGAAGCATGCCCTGCCCCGCTGGCCAGCCGATCTGAGCGGCAGCGTGGAGAACGGCGAAGCGTCCAACGGAGGAGTGCAGGCCGTAAGCTGAGGACTCACAAATTAGCTTTAACATATGGGCTAAATATTAACATCCCTTTAGATTGGCCAGCCCCTGTCGCGTCGGCAGAAGAGTTGGGACATTCTCGACCAGTCCGCCTTGCAGTTTGCCCGACAGCACAAGGTTCCCACTCTTCAGGTAAGTTCCTAGGATAATCGCAGCTGAACTTAGCCGAGCTGAGCTAAGCCTTGATTCCCACTTGTTAGAAATTCGCTGTACAAAAGTTGTTATAACCATCTGCTATATTAACTTTTGGCTATCTATTTGAGTTTATATATATCTCAGCCTATATACTCCACCTACTGTGTAATATCAACTACCTATTGAGATCAGCCTTTGCATAACTAATAATCGTTCAATGACTTTTCTTTTCTCTTTTATGTTTGATTTGAATATGAAATGAAAACCTTACAAACATATATCACAATGTATACTCGTAATACATCTGCCTGCCGACTCTTACATCTAATTGGTGCTTGTAACTCTCCTCCATATTAACTAAATGTCTTATGAACTATATAAACTATATAACTATAAACTGCCATTTCTACTACAACTACTACGCATGAATATTGTCATTTGATTTACGTTTGATTTGGTTATCGAACCCCGCTAAAACTACAACTCCAACATCAACACTGTGCCAAACAACACCACGAACATACCATATCAAACATCCGTAGAACGCTCGAGTTCTGTTCAAGACTCAACGCTCTTTCTCGGTGCCGACGACCAAAGATCCGAACAATGCAACCGGCATCGAAGAACGTCAGGTACTGCTCTACAAAACTTATCTCTCTTAGCTAAGACTAACCCCAACCCACTGTACCCACTAATTCCAAATTCCTAGTTTCTACAAGTTCGCTACTAAAACATAGTCTAAGCTAACATCGATGTCGCGCTCGTTTGGTTACTCTGCATGACACCTGCCCTCAAGCACATCTCGCATTTCTCGTAGATCTTTCATCTCAACTAGTGTTTTTCAGTCCATATCTATGTGTATTTAAAGCCTTGTTTAGTTAAATTTAATTAACAAATTCATAAATGTATTTAAACAGGAACGCGGCTCGCGTTCTTCGGTCTCCAACGAGTCAAATGTACTGCTCGATCCCGAAGTCCTGCCTGATTTGTCCATACAGGCACTTGTGCTGACTGTTTTGGCCACCCTGGTGAAGTATTCATCAGATGAAGGCGAAACGCGTGTCTTGTATCAGTATTTGGCCGAAGGTTCGGTGGTATTTCCCAAGGTGTTTCCAGTCATGTGAGTTGAATTCTTTGTTTCCCTTAACTCTTAATAAAATATTTGATTTGATTATTTAGCCACTCTCTGCTGGATCAGAAGATCAACAACATTTTGTCAGTGTCACACGACCAGGTAGTGCTCAATTCTGTGCAGAACATTATACAAAACATGTTGGCGAGCGAGGATCCCTCCCAGCAGCAGTTGCACTTCCTGCAGAGCTGCGGTTTTGGCGGACTCTGGCGCTTTGCCGGACCCTTCACCAAGGTGGGTCTTTAAATATATATTGTTATTAAATCGCACAATAAAATACATGTTTTGCAGTACAACATGATGGGTGAATCCTCTGAGCTGTTCGTCAACTGCTTGGAGGCCATGGTCGAGACCTGTTTGCCCGGCGATGAGTCAGCGCCGGTGCCTCCATCCCCGCGACCATACAACCTAAGTTCCAGCCTGAGCAGCCTGACCTTGGGCTCACCCACGGACAAGGGTAAGTAGCTGGTGGTAGTTAATGCGTAGACCCTAGACCCCATTTATGGCATTGCTTAACCTTAGCGCATTTACTCAATCGAATGATCACGAAATTGTACAAACTTAATCTTTCTTTATATGTATCACAACAATTGCGTTATATAGCATTCTCATCGGAATCATTAGATTTTTATGACAATTGCCCGGGCAGCGTCAGCAGCCTGCGACGCGCCTCACACAGCAAATCACGCGCCAAACATCGAATTAACGACAGTCCATCACATTGAACGATCCACGACTAAAACCAAAATAATATATATAAAATATGAAACAGCTAAAACAGCAACTAAAGCCAAACAAAAGACAATTGAAAAGCTGAGAGACAGCAGCACAACACCATAATTGGAACCAAATATGTAATTTGTAGTTATCTAAGCGACAAAACTAAACATTGTCCCAAAACTCAAAGCTATTGATTTTAGTCTCCAAATTAACTATGCATATTGTTAAAACCAAACTAAAACAAAAAGATCAAATGCCACACAACATTGCACTTTATCCTACACATATTAGCGAATTGATATTCTAAACTTTGAGAATCGTATTGACAATGTACCTGGTACTTTGAAGCATTTACAACATATTCTCGAAACTATGTATATGTGTGAAATTAAATGCACCCTAAGTAGCGTATTGTAGTAGTGTTGCTCATATTTATATATTTGTTCAATGCTTACACATTTCCTTTATAAACGATGGTGAAAAATTTAAGAAAACAAGTAAACCAAAGTGCAAAGAATGTCATGATGATTGGTACAAGAAACTCGCAAATGCTAAATTGTAAAAGAAATCCAAGAAAAATATAAACATATATTTAGAAAATGCATGCAAATTTAAATAGTTTATACAATTCGGTTCCCAGCAGCTTTTAGATTAGATTATAGAACCCCAGAGAGAAAAAAACACACAGAAAGTTTATCAAAAGATTTCTTTATTTTCACACAAACAACTTAATTTTGATACCAGAAATTAGATAATTTAACTAAAATAATAAGTACGCTGCTTCACCGCTTTGTGGCCCAGATGTTTTTCATTTCCCACCCAATTACACCTTTCCCCCGATGTGTTTATGCAACTTTTGTCTTACTTTCAGCTGCATGAATAACAACAACAAACCCACGCACTAGACGTACCACACTAATCGCAAAAGTATTGCGTTTCCTAAATCTGTTTAAAAAGTGCTTTTAGAGACAGTGAAAATACCCCCACAGAGAGTCGTACAAAGTCATAGAGTTATATACTATATATATCTATATTGGTAATTGTATGTATAGAATGACCAGCAGAGCGAGCAGAGGAAGTGAACGCTAAGATCGATTAATGTAAAAAGTGAATGTATATATGTATGTGTATGTGTAGAAAGGAGGCGATCGAGAAGGATGCTGTATACCGAAGGTTAAAGACAGGACCGCTGAGGATGAAGATATCGAACGAAATATTTTTTAACGAATAACGATTGTACATTTTAAAGATTGTAATCCGCCATTAAATAGTAAGCACACCAAGTCCACCAGTTCCTGAGCAGACGACGACCGTGCAAAACGGAGTTAACCCAGAGAGCAAAGCAAGCACAACGCATGAACATATAAATATATAACTGAGATCAAACTATCGAACAGAGGAATAACCAAAAGCTTTAAGAAGGCGACATGCCTCATTGATTTGTATTATAAAATAATCTCCCCGTTATCAGATGGCATTTATTTTTTAATTGTATACTTTGTATCATCTTCATTTCGATTTTACTAATTTATTTCATTCACTCATATCCTCCAAGAAAATTCTAAAACACCAAAAAACCAAAACGAGAAATCCTCTATTATTGTTAAGCTGAAATACGACACAAAGTCCGCTTTAAATATAGTTTAAGTTTAGGCACCATCCAACAAGTTTTTAATCGAAATAGAGTTGATAAGCGAACAGTAAAACGAAAATTCAGAGATTACGAATGTTACACATATGTACCTCTTATTAAGCAAAACGCAACAAATTAGTACGTTACAATTACTTTCTAGCACAAGAGTTTTCTAACCGTATTAGACGGGAACAATTTTTTTTTAAATAAACACTAGAGACGAGCGAAACCTAACCAGTTACTTTTGCATTATTAATCTAAATGTATATGTGTGTGTTGCTAAATGTGTATTAAACGAATATATGTATCTTTGTATATTAGAGCCATTTGAAGATATTTATGAAGTGTTAATGTCTTAAATTTATCAATGTACAAGAATATCGAACAAATTAATATACTTTCATTAAAAATGTTTACATGAATCGAAGCTAAGGTTGGTCGTTTAAGTGGGATTGGAAATGCTTGGAAACTTTATGATCTAAAAATTCAAAAGGCAATCCGACACAAAATAAATGAAATGATTCATCAACGGAAAGTATTTATCCCCCTTTTATAATCTTGTTTTCCTTCCTTGCAATTTAAATCTTTGTTTTTGCATATGGTTGTCTTCCTTCAGTCATCCATTGAGACCCATATCAAAACAATTGCACCGACGATGATCTCAGAAACCTCCCCCACGACGAATCCGTAAACTGGAAACGAAATGTACGAAATCAGTGCCATCAGATGTCAACGATGTCGTCTGGTTCTGTTTGTTAACCTCTCGATTTCATGGATGCGATTGCAGCGACCCTTGGTCCTCGAACCCCAGACCCTAACCTGGCTCACTCACTCACTCACCCTTCGGGCAGGTGGATTTCGTCAATGGCCCAATCCCGAAAAATCCAGAACCCCTGGGCCCAGGTCTCGGCAAATGCGCCAAACAAGTGTCACAGCTGACCGAGCCGAGCCGAGCCGAGACCGGGAGCAGCAGGAGTGAGGCACAATCCCAATACTTGTGGGAAAATGCCTCCAGTCAACTTTCTCACGATGCACATCCACCGAGCGATCCGGCAGAGCACCGGCTGCTTGCTACTTGCCTGGGTGGTGTGGAGTGCTCGTTGTGGTGGTGGTTGCTGCTGCTGCTGCTCCGTGTCCGCAATGTCGCGCCAAAGAGGAAATGAGGTCTGTGTGACTGTGCGCCAAAAGGGAAGAGGCAGGCACTGAGAGAATTTTTGTAGAGTAAAATGGGTCATCTTATTAGTTAAATATGGATAATATTAAAGGTAAATTAATATTAGATTTTATAATAAATTAACTTGAAGATCCTCTTCTTATACGTTTTAAATGAATTCATAGTTGGAAATGATGTGTTATCCTTTTGGGATTTTAGTTCAATAAAATATCAAAAAATCCTAACAAGTTTTAAAATCATAATGAAATGATTAATATGAGTAAACAGTTTTGTATATTTTAAATGAGTGATACCTGCTACGAGCTCCTATTTCCTCTCTGTGTATTGTTGCACGCACACACCGAGGGACACACACCCATGTGCAACAAATGCCTTCATAGTCTCGACGAGATTGGCTCTTGGCTTAAGTGAGGACGGCACGCATGGGGCACGGCTCTCTCCTCGCAAGCGGAGAGCGTGTGCGAGGAGCAGGGAGCAGGCAGGTCGAGGTCATGTCGCCGTCGCTTCCAAGCAATGTCATGTGTGCGTGTGGTGCTCTGCTGCTGCTGCTGCTGGTGGTGGTGGTGGTGGTTGATTGCTCCGGCTCTCGTCTTTCCTGGCTCTTTCTCTTCTTTCCCCGTCCTCGTGCAACAACTCCCTCCCCTGTTTTCTCCACCAGTGCGTCGGTTGCGCAGGCGCACGGGGCAGCAGCACTTCTCGTGGAAGAGAGACGTCGAGAGAGCGATCGAGCGACTTGCCTCGGGTGAAGACACCAAGAACGTGTTATTGGGCCCAAGTCGATGCACTGGAAATATATTTTAAACCTTTCAGGGTATTATTATTTTAATTAGAAGTTACAAATGTAGTGAAGGAGTAATTTCCGTCCCTATAAATCGTATATATTATTGATCAGAATAGAAAGCCGAATCGATCTAGCCATATCCGGTTAAAAAATAAATTTTTGGAATTTTTGCCATTTTTTTTTTAATGATAAGAGGTTACATCATTAAAATTGAAAAAATTGGCAAAAAATTCAATTTTCTTAAATTTTAAATTGAGTATGCATATTTGTTAAACTATCAAAAACTTATAAAGCAGCGCTTTCTGAATTAAAAATAATGCCTTTTTGGCTTAGTTATGACATTTTAAAAACCGGAATATGCTATAAAAATGATCACATATAAAATAAGCGACCAAGTCTTATATATTCTCAATTTTTCTATGGTAATTTCACACCATTAAACCATATTTTATTTTCAGTGCAAAGAGAGATTCGTGTCGGCTTCCGCCCGATACAATTTGTTTTGAAGTTGCACACGTGCAGCGCCCCGACTGAATCTTGCCACAAGCAGAGAATGACCCGATTGATGCTTCGTGGTGATCGCAGCTCGAGCTCGAAACTCGGATTCCATTGGCAGTGGCAGTGTCAGTTAGGGGAGGATTTCGCAAGTGTACGACACCGGCGACGAGACGCTGGTGCAGCTACAAAAAGGATCAGCTTACCTTGCGGCAAGATCATTTCTCAAGTGACTACCGTGCAGTGCGGAGCAACAGCAGCAGCAGCAGCAGCACCTCTTCCACCGCTAGCAACAGCTTTGTTTACAAACTAAACCAAACCGATTAAATAATAATAGATATCATGGCCGTGCAGGGTCAAAGATTTATGACCAAGACCCAACACTATCGGAAAGTGACCAAACCCCTGCTGGAGCGCAAGAGACGCGCTCGGATGAACCTGTATCTGGATGAGCTAAAGGATCTCATAGTGGACACAATGGATGCGCAGGGGGAGCAGGTTAGCAAGCTGGAGAAGGCCGATATCCTGGAGCTTACCGTCAACTATCTGAAGGCGCAGCAGCAACAGCGAGTGGCCAGTCCTCAGTCTCCACCAGAAACGCAGGTCAACATCGACAAGTTCCGGGCCGGATACACCCAGGCTGCCTACGAAGTCTCACACATATTCTCCACCGTGCCGGGCTTGGATCTCAAGTTTGGCACCCACCTGATGAAGCAGTTGGGTCACCAGCTCAAGGACATGAAGCAGGAGCAGGCGGAAATGGAAATGGAAGCGGAGGAACCTGTCAATTTGTCGGATCGCAAGTCTAAGGATCATCTCAATCGTCCCTCATCACCACAGGCGGAAGAACCCCCCAACGGCGAGGATGTTTGGCGTCCCTGGTGAAGATCCTGGAACCAAAACGAAACAAACCACTTAAGAGAGCTTTACTACTCTGGATTTAATTGATACTCATTAAGAAACGATCCAAGTTTTCCAAGGTCTAGTGTAAACATTTGCCTCAATATATTAATTAGATATATCTATAGGAGTTGATAGTTGATATGATGTGATGTTCCTGTGATAGTTTTTAAGTTCGTATTTTGTATTTGATCTCCTCTAGACTTAATGATTCATGTATTTAAATGATTATAATTTATTTTGAACAACATTACAAAGAGCTTCCCCAACGAGCTTCCAATTAGTTTTATTTAAAATTAAAATTTTGTATGCTTTACTTGCGCATTTATTGCCAGAATTATTTAGAATAAGATATGATTACTTGAATAAAAAATGGAAATAAAACTGAAATTTAAAAGAATATTATTTATGTTTTTTATTATGGGAGTTGAATGTGGTATACAGGGAAAAACGTTCACCAATTTCAATTAGATGCCTTTGGATCCTGTAAATTAATAAATAATCTTTTTGGTTTCCAATTGTCATAATCGCTGATAATTCCTCTGTGAATTTATTACCAATTAAAGTTTAGATTCTTGTGGAATCAAGATCTATTTTGTTTTTTGTAAAACCAATTATTTTACAGGGCTTACATTCTTTATTTTTACAATACTCGATTTGTTCTGTTATATTTAACATAATATGTCGACATCTTTACTTAGATTTTTCCCTTAACTTTCTTCTAATATTTATTTACGCTTTCAAGTTCATATAACCATTATAAACTAAATAATTTGAAAACTAACTTGGAGAACCCGAAATTTCGATATCCTTGCAGTGAAAATCCATCATAACCCAGCCAAAAATTGATTAATTTCCAATCGGAAAGCATTTCTGTGCTAGTTTTTATCAGGTTAACAAATCTGCATACTGAGTTTTTTAATTTTAAAAATTCAATTTTTTGTCAAATTTTGATAATTTTCCCCTTTCCTTTTTTTAAAAAAATCGAACATTTTTGAAATTTTTTTTTCTTCCGGAGATAGCTAGAAAGATTCCCCTGTTGATCCTGATAAAGAAAATATATGATTTATAGGGTCGGAAATGCCTCCTTCACTTAGTTTCAAACTTCTGACAAATAATATATTACCATTCTTTGAGTCGATATTTATATATATTTTTATATGACAATTTTTTCGACATATCAAAGTTTAAAAAACTCATAACTAAGCCAAAAAAGCATTTATTTTATTTCTAAAATCGTTCCAGTGTTAGTTTTTATAAGGTTAATAATTCTGAGCACTCAATTTTAAATTAAAAAAAAATTAAAATTTTTGCCAATTTTTGACAATTGTAACAATGTTACCCCCTATTAATTAACGATATACATTTTCTATTTCAATAGCAATAATAAAACAGACATTAAATTTAAGTACCGCCAGAGTTAATAGAAATTCCAAGAAAGACTTAATCTACTTAGTATTCATATCCTTCCCACTATTAGTCTCCTTTAGAAGCTCCCACCCAATGCGGCAGGATACCGATCTCGTGTTACAAATCCCGGACATACTCGACCCATCCATCGATTACAAAGTCCTGGAACGCGAACAACTTACAGCCGAAAGTGTGTCCACCGCGAGCCAGAAGCGGGCAGCGCTCCAGGAGCAGCATCGTTAGCCCCTTTTTTACATGGAAGATGGAGAGAGAGAGCCAGAGCCTGAGGCAGAGGGACTGGCAGAGGAAGAGGTCCTGCCGGGCAAGGAGGAGAATGAGAATGAAAGCCGAATGAACGCACATTAAGCACACTCGACGCACACGAGCAATGTTCCCACAGGATCATAACAGCCGACCAACAAGTGCAGGATGCCTCTGCCTCTGCCTCTGCCACAACTCGAACCCGATCCTGATCCCAATGCCGATCCAATATGGAATGCCAACGGTAAACAGGAAGTTGCTGGGACGAATTGCAACGCCCGGTCCCCATTCCCCGGCCGAGATCCTCGGTATCGTGGGAACTCCAAGACTTCGTCCTCGTTCCCCGATGAGACGGCAGTTCATTATCCTTATTCCCCTACCCTCTAGTCAAATCATAACACACAAATCTAGAAACGGCAGCTGTTCGCCCTGCAAATTCCCATGCTTATGCCCATGGCCATGCTCCGCTGCCTTTAAGGGCAGGTGAGCGACTTCGATGTGAGAAACCGAGGCGGAAAGTGTTTCCCACGATCCTGGCAGAGCGATCCTGCTCCCTTTGGCCGCCGTTGATAAGGGTGCGCTGGGCAACAATAAGAAATCGCCTGAACAATAAGGAGCGGTCTCAAGGAGCGGAAGGGTCGCCATCGCCGTCGTCGTCGAGCAACCCTCATGCCAGCACACGGAGCGTGTCTTTCGTCCCTTTTTCCCCGCATGCCGGCACACACACACACACACACACACACACACACACACACGATCCCTCTGATCCCTGGCCCTTTTTTGGGGGTAGTTTCTGGTGGCCTATAAAAGTCGGGCCACCGAAGGCCAGACAACACACACCGTCTTCGACCGTCGGAGCAGCAACAGCTCAAAAGAACTTACACCAAAAGAAAAGAGAACTAAAACATTACACAACATGTCGTCGCTACAAATGTCCGAGATGTCCAAGACCTACCAGTACCGCAAAGTGATGAAGCCCATGCTGGAGCGCAAGCGTCGTGCCAGGATCAACAAGTGCCTGGACGAGCTCAAGGATCTGATGGTGGCCACTCTGGAATCCGAGGGCGAGCATGTCACACGTCTGGAGAAGGCCGACATTCTGGAGCTGACCGTCACCCATTTGCAAAAGATGAAGCAGCAGCGCCAGCACAAGAAGGCCTCCGGCAATGAGAGCCTGAGTCCGGCGGAAGGATTCCGATCTGGCTACATCCATGCCGTCAACGAGGTCTCCCGCTCTTTGTCTCAGCTGCCCGGCATGAACGTCACCCTGGGCACTCAGCTGATGACACACCTGGGACAGCGCCTCAACCAGATCCAGCCCGCCGTCAAGGAGGTCCTTCCAGTGACAGCTCCACTCTCCGTGCAGATTGCCAGCCGGGATAGCTACTCCGTGCCCATCTCACCAGTGTCCAGCTACGCCGGCAGTCCCAACTCCAATCTCAGTTCGGCCAGCACTTCTCTGCTGACCACCATTGATGTGACCAAAATGGAGGACGACAGCGAGGACGAGGAGAATGTCTGGCGTCCCTGGTAAATGGGGATACCTGAGCCTGCAAGAAGGAGAGATTATAGAAAATACAAGTCTTCCGGAGTCGATGGAATTCCCCATTCGACTTCCACAACCTAGTTCTAAGTACACAACAAAACAAACAGCTTTAGACGAGGACGCGCAGTTCATGTGATAACTAAATAAATAATAAATTATATAGCTTAAATTGAAAGATCACGACTTTTTACTGCCATTATTTACTGGTCATTGCAGTGACTCACTTTGAAAGCGGTCATGCAAATTGCTTAGACACTCCCCGTTCTAAGCAATAATTCCCAATAATTCTATCGGTTTGCTGCGGTCTAGAACGGAAATGCTACAATCCAAATAGCAGCTCATTGTTTGGGTTTTGTAACTATTCGATTGCCCCACGGATACCAATTTCCAATTCCCAATACCCAATACCCAATTCCCAATGCCCAATGCCAAACAAAAGAAAGCGAAACAATGCCAAGGCCGAGACAAGAAGAATTTTGGTAGAAGAAGATGCCATCGGAGGAGGAGGAGGAGATAGAGTCGGGGCTACCGATGGACCCTCGAACACGTGTGCGGACAATAAGCCAAGGTAACTCCGAAAATTAGAGACTTATCTCAGCGTGTCTAATCGAGTTACGACAATGTCGCTCAGACTTAGGAGAAAAGGCCGCAAAGACCATAGGGAGAGTAGGGATTCGAGAAAAGGGATCGAGTCATCATTCATCCAGCATCCATCCTGATTTTTGGTCCGTTTGCTTTCCCCTCACACCCCAGGGATGTGAGGCCACTCGGCTAGAAAATCGTGTGCACAATGGTCAAGGCAAGCTACGGGCACATAATTGCTTCGGATCAGGTAAATGAGTGCCTTGCCCTAGGGCAACCTTAAGATGGAGCCCCGACTTTGGGACAGGATATCGTTTTTTTTCTTCTGTCTGTATGTGTGTGCCTTTTTTATGGGTTCTGCCTTGGGCTTCGGGGTATTTTTTGTATTCTCCTTGTTTTTTGTGATCCGACGCTGCTGACCCAGCATCATTTGGTTATCTGTTTTGGGCCAAGACCAGTAGCCGTTCCCCAGACGCCTCTGTCTTTAAAATCGACGGAGGGCATAACGAGGAAATTGTGGACGAGATTGGTATCGGGGTAGGAGCAGCACAGCCTTGGCTCTAGGGTTGGTTGTAATAAATTCAAAGGAATTGAATTTATAGAGATTCTTTTTCTTTTTTGTTTTTTTGTAACTGATTAACAATCTGTTAACTTGTTAAGACTGAATGCAGATTATCTTGTCGGATCTTTTTTATTTAAGTGCTTAACCTTAATTTTACATTTCCGCCCCAACTATATACATTTTTTGGAAACAGAAATTACACTGATCAACAGATTATATATGGAAGTGTTTAAAGTCCAAATTTATCATTTTTATGTTATTTGAAGAAGATTAAGAATGTCACAACAAGGAAACTAACTTCTGTAAGTGAAAGTGTATAATCCCATGCAGTTTGCAATTGAATTATAGGTTCGCATCGAAAATCAATCATAACTAAACTTAAATATTCTTTGATCTATATTTATTAATAATTTTATATGACAATTTTTGCGACAAAATCAAAGTTTAAAAAACTCATAACTAAGCCAAAAATGCATTAATTTTAATTTGGAAATCGTTGCTATGTTAGTTTTTGATAGGGTTACAAATCTGCATACTCAAATTAAAAATTTAATAAATTCAATTTTTTGTCAAATTTTGACAATTTTAATGATGTTATAAAATTTTCAAATTTCGAAAAAATTTTAAAAATTTATTTTTCAACCAGATAAAGCTAGATCGATTCGGCTGTCGTTGCTGATCAAGAATATATATGATTTATAGGGTCGGAAATGACCCCTTCACTGTTTTACAAGTTTCTGACTGAAACTAGAATACCCTGAATGGGTTGAAAAAAAAGAACTTTGAATATGTATTAACAAGCTACCAAACCTTAAAATTCAAACAAAATGCATTGCAAAAACCAATTCCTATTCCTTGTATGGAACTTTCGTATTAAAGGAAAGTGTGTGAACCTAATTAAATTTAATTTCAAAAGGCCTGAAGCACGCACGTGCTGACCCCTATTTAACAAAACACTCCAAGAATTCTATTAAAATGGTTTTAATTAAATCAATAAGCTTGGCTATTGTATACCCTTTTGTGTTATTTTATATTCCACTACAGCTATTTAAGTCTTTTATTATCCATAACTGCAAGTGAAAACTGGTCACCCTTGAATAAGACAGAAGACCAATCCTTTAGGGGGTCATGTCATGCCAAAATCTCAACTCATTTTCAAGGCTTGTCCATTTCTTGATGATCCGATCACGCAGACAATAAGGGAGAAGCAAACCCCAATCCCGATCAGACCCAGTTACGACAATGGGCAATAAGAAAAGTATGGCAAGGAATCGCTTCGCATCGCATCGCCTCGCACCCAAAATGCCAAAAAGGAAATGCGGCACAAAAGATACTTAATCTTATAGGTAAACCCGATGAATGATGAACGAATGGCGGCGACGTAACCGAACCCCCGATCCGAGCGAGGTTCGAACGCAAGCCCAAGTCATTAAAAACTACAATACACAAACTGCATACGAATCACTCGGAGACCCTAAGAAAAGGGTCTCCTTAAGGGGACCGGAGACCGGAGACCGGAGAGGTACAAAAAAAAAACGAAATATCAGAAGCGAAGATCGTGAGAAAATGGTTTGGAACGTGGTTCTCACACGATCGACACACCTGCCCTTTTTTATGTGTGTGTGTGTGTGCAGTAGAGGACGACTGTGCATGAGTATTTTTTTTACGAATTCAAGATACAAGACCACTTACCGGGCAAGATCACGACCGACTCGAGCTGCTGCCATAGTTGTGTGGCTGTGTTGGCTCTATACCTACACCTATACCCAAAGCCATACCCAAACCCACAGCTCTCGTTCGACATGAAAGAGAAAAGCAGCGTGCGGTAAGTGTGTCTCACTGAGACTGACTTTTGTGCATTGGCCAACATTGTAATGACTGTGGACACACGATCGTTAAGAGCGCGCCGTGTGATCTGGACAGAAGGGGTTTGAGCTTAAGGTTTGGATTGGACTCGCACTCGGATTCGTATTCGGATTCAGCATCGGCGCATGCGTCGCTGTTTTGTTGAACGAACTCAATTTAGTTGGTTTACGACCAAAAAAAAAAGAAGAAAAAAAGCGAGAGCAAGCGGGATGCAAGTGGAGATGGTTATGGTTATGGAGATCGGAGATCGGAGATAGGGAGTGGGAGATGTGGTAGATGGACGCGGAGTTAGAGAGGAGCCCGGCGAGAGATGGCGCACTGGAGAGGCACCCGAAGCACACTTATATGGTGTGCTATTGACTCTGTAATATCTTTAATATGGGATGTTCTTACACTACATTGGCACACGCTCTGGCTGCCCCTGTGTCTGTATGGGAATCGCTTGAAGCCGGACTCGGACTGGGAACTGAAGTTTAAGGCACGAGTGTGTCCCATCCATTTCCATTCCCATCGGCGGGCCGGTTTGCCGCTTCCGCCACCGCCGCCGCCTCTCCTTTTATTAAGTGGTGGTCTTTGCGCTCACTTTAATATCGCTGCATTAAACTTCGGCGGTGGCGGCGGCGTGTGGAGTATTATGACTGAAGTAGGTGGCCAGGGACCCGGTTCCCGCGGTGCCTCCGACATCACAGAGGTCATGTGATGGATGACGTGGGGCTCTACTGTACCTACAGGCTCTACTGTGAGGAGTAGGAGCTGGGCTTGGGGTTGGGTTCGGTAGCTCAAAAGGTTAATTACTTGTATTCTTGAAAATAAAGTCTTTAATTATAACTTAATATAAATAAATACCTTTAAGAGAACTTAAAATATATGTATTCTATGTATATTAAATAGTTATATGCTAATTTTTAGGGTAAATCCCAGTTTTGCAAATATCATAACAAAGCCAAAAATGTCTTAAATTCAATTCGGAAAGCATTTCAATGCTAGTTTTTATAAGGCTAACAAATCTGCGTATTTAGTTTTTGAATTAAAAAAAATCAATTTTTTGTCAATTTTTAACAATTTTAATGATTTAACCCCTTATAAAATTTTCTAATTCGAAAAAATTTCAAAAATTTATTTGTCAACCGAATATGGCCAGATCGATTCAGCTTTTGATTCTTATCAAGAATATATATGATTTATAGGGTCGGAAATGAATATTTCACTGTGTTATAAGTTGCCTAATGAATTTATAATACCCTCACAAAAGTTTAAAAATGTTACTAGAAGCTACATAGGGATATGATCATTTACAAACCATTTAATAGTTAAATTTCCTTTTAAGACCTGTCACTGTTGCTATTTATCCACTTATAACTAGCCTAAGCTCACTTTAAATTGGCCAGACAAGGCTAAAATGAAATCAGATAAAGTCCAAAATAGACAAGTTCAATTGGAGACCCCGTCGATCCGTAAACCAAGTCACCCAATTAACCGTCGGCTATTACCAAGGCTGCACTGCCAATCGAGACTCGACTCTTGTCCAATGATCGCTTTCCAAGTGTTCGATCATAAAATAGATCACCTATTTGAGCCAACAACTACCGTTGAGCCCTATAAATAGCCGTTTTGTAGCCCAAAAAAAAAAAAAAATAGATATATATCCAAAGAAGAGCCACAGAAAAAATGCCCCCAGGTGAGTCTCATGCCAAAGTTACGTGACTAATCACATTTCGCGAAGATTAACAGCAATCAGCAAACGGCTTGAACGGTCCCAGAGACTCACGGCGACCCGGTAAGTAGTCATCATCATAGTTGTCCACCAGACGAACACGAAAGCACCGAGACGGGCCTGAAGTTCCGTAATCGAACCTCACTCAGAAACACGCAGATATAGACCCAAACCGACCTGGCCTGGCCTGGACACATCTGAATGGAGTTGGGCTTTAAGTGGCGAGACGGTCGCGGTCGCGGGCTTAATTTGCAATGTCTGGCCGTCTCCGGCGCATGTGCCAAGCGGTCAAGCGCAGTTAAAGCTGTCAAAGCTTAAAGAAAACGAAATATAAAAAACAGAAATAAGCAAAACCACACAATGGCCACAATGCTGAGCCATTGACAGCGGAGCCGCGGTTCTCACACTCGCAGGCCTCATAATAAATGACGTTTCCTAGAACTGACTTTTTGCTTTATTTTATTATTTAATTGCGACAGCGCCGGCGCAAAACTTCCCGCAGATATATGTATGTATGTATCTGTGTACGTGTGCCCCCATGGAAGCCCCCGAATCCCCGCCAGACCCACTTCAAGGGGGCACATAATGAGGCCAAGTCAGAGCCAGAGACCAGACGATAGTCCGAGTGTGGGAAAATATTCAGCGACTTCCGGCTGTGGGCCGACGCGGAGTTTATCTCCAATTCGTTTCTTGTTTTATGGGATTTCTGGTTGTGGTTGGACGCCTACAAAGAGCTTGAGAACCCTCCAAGTAATCAGTGGAAACCCTAAGTGATCTCCGGTTTAAAGAAGGAATTAAATAAGTGAAGGGTTTTTAATTTTATATAGATTTTTATTTCATGATCAGTTGCAAGTATTCACAGCTCGAGCGCTCTCTATAGCCGAAATTGAAGGCTCTGCTAGAGGGCGTTATCCAGGCTGCTGGGTGGAACCAATCCCGGCCAGCAGCCGAGCTCTGTCTTTGAGGTGGGCAGTTCCAGCACCTCTTTGATGAAGACCTCTTCTCACAGGACGAAGCATCGTTTTGTAGGAAGCCTTCCACTTTGAAGGCAATTCAGTTTCAGGTCCATTTCAGACCGGCAACACCTCTCACCAGGGACGCCACATGGGACCAGAGGTGGAGCTGGCCTCACTGGGAGCCGGACTGCAGGCACCGCTCTCCAGGCTGCCGCATTCCGAGGGCGGAGGTGTGACCATAACTTGATCCTCGGCCTGAGCTTGGAGTGGGACACCAATGGGCAGCGAAGGCACCACCACTTGCAGATAGTTGAGACGATGACCCAGGTGGCTCATCAGCTGTGTGCCCAAATCCACACTCACTCCGGGCACAGCAGCCAACGTCTTGGACACCTCATTGGCGGCATGAACATAGCCAGCGCGGAAACTCTCGGCAATGCTTAGCTTGGGATCAGCTCCAGATGCGACTCCTCCTCCTGAACCGGCGGCAACACTGGACAGACGCAGTTGCTTCTGGGCGCGCAGCTTCTTCATGTGCTCCACGGTCAGCTCCAGGATGTCGGCCTTCTCCAGGCGTGTAATATGCTCGCCCTCCTGCGTGAGGCACTCCACCATGATGTCCTTCAGCTCGTCCAGACACTTGTTAATACGCGCCCGACGCTTCCTTTCCAGCATGGGCTTCATCACCTTGCGGTACTGATAAGTCTTGGACATTTCCATCTCTAGCACCATGTTTCTCGTCGAATATCGATGCAAACTCGCGTAATCCACAGAAGATATGTATAGTATTTGTAGTTGGAACAGGCAGACCTGTGTTCACGCAACGAAGTCGGAGCTTTGAATGAGTCGCTGGCTCTGGGATCGGCTTTATATAGCCTCTGCCAGCCGGGGATCGAGGCATAAGTGCGAGCGAGACTGTCGTTTTGCCTCGTGCGCGGCCTGCCGCTGTTGCCAGCGGTGGTTTCCAATGGTGCCTGGTGGTGGTGGTGGTGGTGGCTTCTGTTTTTTTGTATGCTTTGCACACGCTGACTGTGCTGTGTGTGTGTGAGGGCAATAAAATGACTTGAGCCCGAACCCCGCTGCTGCTCCCTCTACCGCTCTCAGTCGCCCCTTATGTATGTGTTGTGATTGTTATACCGTGGGAAACTGTTTCGCAGCCGATTTCCACGACGACGACGACGACGACGACGGCTGGCCTGACTTCTTCTGATTGTGCATGCTTGGGGTCTTGTACGATCCCAGGTCTGTCCGCCAGTCCCATGTCCCAGCCCGTCCCTCTGTCTCTTGGACAGGCAACAGGCCGCCTTTAAGAGGTCTGTGCGAGCCGGGGATTCGAGATGCGATGCGATGCGATGCCACTCGGCAGCCGGGCAAGCACATGCCTTCCATCCATAACAAGATGTTTGCATTTCAATTCATTTGTATGGCTCGGGGTCCGGTCTTGGGTCTTTCGGTGTTCGGTGTTCGGTGTTGGGTCTTGGGTCTTTTTGGAGTCTTTCGAGACTGGGTATGAGTATGGGTATGGGTATGGGGTTTGCCATGTGCCTTCACCCTTTTGCAGTAGCTTATGGCACGCTGATAATTGTGGAATCGTCATCGGGGCAGCGTTGTTATTTCTTCTTTTTTAGCGCTTTATGGATCATTGATTGGATCGTGGTAGTCGTGGGTTTCGTGGGACGAGCATTACGCTTTTCGTTTACATGATTATTCTTGATTGTCGGTTCGGGGGATTTGGCTTTGGTCGATGGAAGGGGGTTTTTGGATATTGCTTGGCTTTTTCTTTTGAGCTTGGACTCGGACTCGGACTCGGACTCGGGCTCTTGGTTGGTGTGAGAGCCAGGGGGATTTTGGGTCGACGCTCGCTTCTATTTGTAGACAATTACCGGGCGCAGAATCGGTGGGAACCGATCGGAATCAACTTCAACTTGGACTTCGGCTACGAGCGTTAGCACACGCTATAAACGCGTTGGCTCGTGGGGGTCTACATGGTATATATTTAGCACATTGGCTATTATTATTTTTAGCTTTAAGTCCATTCAGTGATTCATCAAGCTGAGAGAGAGAAGACTCATTCGCCGGCATCTGACACATCTTGAAGCAGCTCAGCTCAGCTCAGCTCGGGTTTCACCATATTTAATTAGAATAACGACGACAATGACGATGGACAGCAGTGACACGAGCCCGGCTCATTGGCATATAAATAACAAAAGGCAGTCACATATAGAAAATAAAGACAAACACAAATAAGACAAATTAAGACTGCCCCTCGACGCATCCAAAATGAGCGGAGACAAATGGCTATAACAACAAGCGGGCCAGCACAATCAGTTAGCAACTTATCTAACCGAAACCAAAACCAAAAATCAAACCGTTTTGTCAGCTGAACCGGGAGACCGTTAATTTTTGAATGTCAGTTAGCTGAGTGCTCCGGAAATGCCTAATTGGATGTCATAGGTGGTTCAGTGTTGGAAAGTGCCAAGGAGTGGGAATTCTGGAAGAGGGTGGCGATTTTTTAAGGGGTGGTAATTTGACAATATTTTAGGTCAATTACCTTTCTATTTGGACAATTATACTAAAAAATATAGGTAATACAAGAAAATTACTTTATTATTTCCAATTATACAATATATACGATATCTCCTAAGAAAGTCTCTAAAAGTATGCAATGAAATGTTTCAGGACACCTTTTTAAAGAATTTTTAAATACTAGAATTACTTTATAAATATCTCTTTACACAATAATCAAACTAAATTTACACATACAAATATGTTTGTTCTACAATATATATTTTAAACTATTAGGAAAATATTTAATTTTGAAAATATTATAAGAAAGGTATTTTTCTTATTTGAAAAATGTTTTCTTAAGTATATTGTAACCAATTAGTAGGTTTTGTAATAAATATTTCTGAAAATAATCATTTTCAATGTCTAAATAATATTAAACCTAAATTATTAATAATGCTTATACGGATTTATATAATTTCTAAGCTTAACTAGCTCTGAATCACTGCTGTAATTCGTATCATTAATGTCAATTGCCGTAATTAAAGAATCGAGTGGACGGGCACGTGCCCTTAATAGATTAAATCAAGTGTAACAAACGGAAAATTCAATGCAGAAGCACAATCTGCTGGCTTTCTTAAATAATATAGAACAATATACAATTTATATCTTAACGATGCAAATGCCACCAGCTGACTAATAAGGAAATGCCGCCAGCAGGAATTCTACTCCGCTCTGGAAAGTGATTCATACAAAAGTCGGTTCAGAATTTCGCCAGGTTCTGCAAGTCTCCTCGTATAGAGCATATCGCACAGTCGCTTAAGACCAACTGGCATTTATACACCCAATCAACCAAAAGGCACACACACTCACTTCTATATATCCGAAGACCTCATTTCTCTCGCTCGGTTTATTATTTCTCTGAGCTGTTGCTGCTGCTGCTGTTGTTGCTGTTGCTTTTTGTTAAACAATTTTTTTATCGATGGCATACGCACGCGCGAATTTCAGTGCCCCCGCTGAGACAGGCGACCAACATTCGGGCCGCGATCGCCCCCGGGGGCCATTGGGGGGTTAAGACGGGGGGCAGCTTAGGAGGCGGGGCGGTGCAGGGGCGGGACGGGAGCAGCAGCACGAGAGCGTGCAAAAGCTCGAAGACCCAGAGCAGGAACACAGAGAAAAATTGTCAAGACATTTATAGAGGGTTTATTAAAATGAATTTAAAAAAATTAATTAAACAAATTTAACTTTTTATTTTAAAGTGCCTGAACACTTATATCTAACTAATTTTAATATCTTTATTATTTCTAAATAAGTTCTAATATATTCTTTTAAAACTGCCCCCAAGAAACATATTATATGAAACATATAAATTTAAATCTTGAGCTTAAGCTTAAATAAAACCGCTTCATCAGCTTCTAGCTTTTTCGATCATACAGAAATCCATAAATTCCAAATAATATATTTAAAATCACTAAATAAAATACTAAATTTATTTCTGAAACATTAAGTAATATTCTCTGAAGACTTTTACTAAGCTTATAAGATCAAGAAAATATTTTAAATGATGAATATAAATAAATATTTTTAAGAATATGAAATATGAAAATTCGAACCTTTTGGTTAAGTTGTTTCTTTCTAGCATTTTTACTCTCACAAAATCCTAAAAATTCTATAAAATTAATTTAAAATAATTAAATAAAGTACCCAATTTGATTTACAGTGTATCTGTAGCGTGTTGTTGAATTAATTTATATCCAACAGTGCGCTTTCAACTTTATTGCGCCGCGAAAAGCAGCCAGCCAAGTCAGCAGTCGTCGGTGCTCGGAGCTTGGAGCTCGGAGCTCGGAGCTCTCCACCCCCCGCAAACCCACACAGTTTGTGGATACACCAGCTCACAGATACAATACACACACACACACACACACACCAGGGCAGGCCGGACCGTGGGAAACAAACTCGTGCCAGTCGTTTCATTGCTGTCAAATAATATCTTGATGGGGATCAACTTGAAAAGATTGGTTGGGGCTTGGGCCCGGGTTCGGGCTCGGGCTCAGGCTTGCCGCTGTTTAGGATGCGGTCGACGCTTTTGTTTTTGTTTTTTATTTTATTTTTCTCTTTACTCTTTTTTTGTTGTTTTTTTTTTGTAGATCTCTTTTTAATGCTTTACACATTTGTTCGTCATAGCCCGAGCGTTAAGTATGTGTGTCCATGATGGGTACACTTGAAATTAAAAGTTTATAACTCCAAAGAGGTTGCCTCTCGGTTCATAGATCAATTGTGGAGCTTTTATGGTAATATTTATTTAATGTTTTCTTTAATATAAGTGACTTAAGACATGATATCTTTAAGCAGTTCATATAAAACATTATTAAATTAAAGGTAATTGTTACTTTCTCGCATTTGTCTGTCTCGATTTCGGCATAAATATACCACAAATATGGTTATTGAACCCATAAGGTATATGTTATTAACCTTTGTGGGTTAATGTTAATGTTAATGTTAATGTTAAGCTTACAATATAAATTAACAAGTTGTAGATGATTTCTTACAGTGCACACCGACTGGCATTGGCATCTCTTGATGGTATATGTAAAGATCCAAAAAAGGCCAGAAACCAGTTTGCCATCCGCCAAAGCCAGTGGTCTCTGCTCCTCCTCTGATGCTGGGATGCCGACACATACTCCGCTCGGAAGATCACATAAAAGACCCGGCACACCTCCAACTGCAGCCTCGGAGACTCGAAGCCTCCATCGCCCTCCACGCCCCTTTTTAACCAGCGCGTCTTGTGAATGGCTCCTCCGCCTGCCTTTTATGCACTGTTTGTTGTGTGTGTACACACACAACCCAACTTGGGCACTTGGCACGTTGCCCATTATCAACCGAGGATGAAGCTGTGGCAAAGGGGCTTTTAGGCTTGTGAAGATTTCGAGTGCATATATCATATTACCACCACCAGCGGCCCAGAGATGCACCATCATCATCATCATCATCATAGCCATTCCAGGCGGCTCCAGGCCCCCACTTGGAGCTGTCAGTGGGTAACTTGACGGGAGGCCTCTGTCTCTGCGATGGTGAGATCCCCCGTCTAAAAAGACTCCCACTTTAGATTCCGATTTCACATAAACATAGTGTCAGGCTAGGCTTGGCGGGGGATCCATTAGTTGCACTGATAAAAAGAGCCATTAAAAATGGGACGGGAACCCCCCGAGTTGTCCCCTAGCTAAAGTCATTCAAAGTACTATGTATGTATATATCTCTCCCCCTCCTAGCTCGCTTCGCACACACTTTATACCCGGGCCTTATCGAGTAATCCTCGAGAACTTGAAAATCCTCCCTATCATTCCACACTTTCAGCACACTTGGGTCGCAAGAAGGGAATTAATTAAAATATCTAAAAGATTTTCCACACAAGCCCCGAGGGAGAGTTTTCTGTTATAAAGACCGAGGGAAAGACAAGTGGCAAGGACCTGGTTTTATTGGTGGTGGTTTTTTTCGAGAACGATTCGAGCTCTGTGGGAAAGTTGGAAAGAAATCAAAACACCATAACAAGTGATTCGAGATGCCTATACAAATAGAAGATACTGCAACCCCATTCTGTATAACTCCCCCCCTATATTCCTTTTTCATATTCGAAACCAGAGACAGGACGAAATGTGTGGGAATGCGTGGGAATGGTTTCCCAGTTTTCAGAGTTCTGTTTTTATGTTTTTGGGTCTCGGTTTGGTCCCCTAACCGGCCTTTATGTTGATTGCCCATTAGGAATACAATTTGCAACTCCTTTTTCCACAACGTGATCCCCTTGTTGATCCTGGGCTTCCTTCGGAGTCGTGAGAAATTTTACCAAGGAACACCTGCCCCTTTTGTCTGTGTGTATCTGTGTGCCTGTATAGGATTTTTTTTTTTTGCTTCTGCTCCTGTCTCTCTGGGGATTTCTCGGCACTCGGTTTCGTTTCCGAAAAATTTTGAGGCCAACGAAAATTGTTTCCCACACTCGACGGACAGTTGCAGTTTTTGCAGGGGTTTGTTTCCTTTAAATGCACTCTCCCTCGCTCTTGGTCTTGGCTACCTGCTCCCGATCTCTCGATCCCGTACCCGAACCCGTACCTTCTCCAGGAGCGTCGTATTTCAGGTTCTCCGCCCCGATTATCTCTGGTGTTTTGAAGGGTGAGAGGGTCTTCAGGTCTTCGGTCGCCAGTGTCTTCTTTCCCTTTCCTCCTTGTGCGTGTCTGTGGCATGGGGTCCGTTTCGCCCCTCTCTTTCTGTCCCGTCGCGGTTTCGATGTTTCCCTTCCAGCGGCGCGCACACACAGGAAATGCACTTCGGGCCGGGGCCGGGACCGGGCTATAAAAGGCGAGCGGTTGTCGGTTGGGAAATCATTCTGACACCGTCAGCCTTTCAAGACACACACACGCACTTCAGCTCAACGCAGCTCAAACTCAAAACTCAAATATTACCAAAAATGTGCCAACAAGTCGTCGTCGTTGCCACCACCAACAACAAGATGAAGACCAGCTACAGCATCAAGCAGGTCCTGCGCACGCTCTTCAAGAAGCAACAGAAGCAGCAGCTAACCAAGAAGCCTCTGGGCTCTCTGGAGTCTTTGGAATCTGTTGATAATCTTCGCAACGCCCAGGTCGAGGAGGCCTACTACGCCGAGATCGATGAGAATGCCGCCAATGAGAAGCTGGCCCAACTGGCCCACTCTCAGGAGTTCGAGCAGGACTCCATCGAGGAGGAGGAGGAGGAGGATGTCTATGTCCCCGTCCGCTTCGCCCGCACCACGGCTGGCACCTTCTTCTGGACCACCAATCTTCAGCCCGTTGCCAGCGTCGAGCCTGCTCTCTGCTACTCCATGCAGTTCCAGGATCGTTGGGCCCAGGCTTGAATACTACAATCAATGCCTCAGCCTTTGGTCTTCCTTCAGCTTTAAAAACACTCGACACTCATTGTGATAGCAGCAGCGGCTTTAACTCACCCGACATCTCAACGGCGATCCAGCGCTTCCATTAGTTAATAAGATATTGTGATAGAAAATGAGAGCTTTAAAACAAATCGTACAAAATACAAAAAACAAGAATTATCAAAATCAAATTCAAACATTTTGTAAATGGGAATGGGTTTTGGGGTTTCATATTTCGGCACAAATAGAAATATCTGTGAATGGATACAGATAAGAGATAGCCTGGCATTCCATGTGAATGAATCTCTAGTTGTCGCACTTTAAATATTGTTTTTCAAAGTCTACGTGACAGATAAGAGCCAATGCTCTCTTAGAGATCTTTCTAGTTATTTCTGGGTTATGATAAAAGAAGTAAAAACACTTGAATTACATCCCATATAATGACCTTTTCATGACTTTTCCTAAGAACTGTGAGTAAGAGTTGCTTACTGGAAAGGAAATGGTTTCAGGGATAATTCTCTGGAAATTACTATAACTTATTTAGGGATAACTTTATGAGTTATTTGATTTACATTTACATTTTATTAATGCGGATATTTTAAGAATATTTTCCAATGTTGAGAAGGTAATAATAAATTTATATCTCTGAAGAAGAAGGCTCTATATATAACATTAAGGCTTGAAACTGGGGAAACATTAACCAAAACAGGCCATATTTGTTTGCTATTTCTAGGAAGAAAAATAAACTAAGTATTTGATTTACAAGAATTAATTTATAATTTAACAAAACTTCAAACCTATACGATTTGTATCATATTAGAGCCACATACATATATGTTAGGTTAATTTTAATGTATGTATTATCCCAATATGAATCCTAACAAATAAGGCTTAACTTATAGCTCATTAAATTAAAATCCAAGGGAATGTAGGTTCATAAAATTTAAAAAAATTGTCTTATAATTGATGCATTCACAATTAAAATACTGGGTCAGTGAAGAGTGGCGAAGAATAATTGGCACTCCAACACATCCTGTAGAAAACCAGCTCAAGTGTTAGCCCCAAGAAAGTCAATTCTTTGGATGGCTAACTCCCAAAATGGACAACCTTGCCGGCAGCCTTGGCTAGAATGGCTAGAACATAACAAGGTGTGAGGAACGAGTGCCTGGAGAGATGGATCTGGGCGACAGCCAAGTTGGCCCGTTGCCACGGGCTGTGTTATGGCTATCACCTTGGCTAAGGCCGCCATCGCCACCTGTGCCTGGCCAAATATGGATGTCGTGCGCATAACTTCACGGCGCTCCTGGCCACGGGCTGCCTCGCTCGTCCCATGTCGGACAACTTATTTATGAGCCGGAGCTCACTGCCAAAGAGAAGGAGTGGAGAAAGCCGGGAAACAATGGGGGAAAAGACCTTAGAACTTGCTGGGATCTGTGAATCCCAAACCGAAAACGCACAATTAAAATGCAACATGTAGACGTCAACACCTCGGAGACATCGAATCACATGCCAAGGCGTCTCGAGGCGGACGTTGGAATTGGGCATAAAAACAGTTGCCGCAAAAGATAATCGCTCCGCGGGATGGGCTAGGGAATCTCGGTATCACCACACAGCAGGTCCCCTACAAGATCCTCGCTCCTCCTCGTCCCGCTCTATCAATCACAAACGCATTTCTCCTACAAAATGCAAATTGATGCCGACAGCAGGAGAAGGAGTACCAAAAGAAGTTGGAAAAGGAAAGGCTAAGAAAAATAACAAAAAGTATAACCAGAACAAGAAAGGAAGCTCACTTTGATAAGCCGACATTTATATACCCTTGGATATCAATACATATCGACTCAGCTAACGATTCTGATCGGTCGAGAATGACTCCTTTACTGCATAGCAAACCAATTCTCTTATTTCTGGTAAGATTTGTATAAAGTGCTTTTAAATGAATTGTATTTTATATTGTTAATGAGCCATATAAAATTCCCAAATTTATATAGTTTAAAGACCCTAAAATACTACCTTTCAAGAACTTCCCAACCTCTGCTATACCCTTTTTGTAGTGTATAACAAAAGTTCTGGTAGCGCCGTGGCGTAAATTAAGTAGCAATATAAGTTTCTGTTAAATTGCCTTTGACAGCACATAATTAATTTCGTATGCAAAGCGAGGCTTGTCTGCACGAAAGAATTGAAAATTGGAAGAAAGAACCCATCATGGAATGCCGTTGATAATGCTGATGACACTGTTCATGCCGATGGTGATGATAGCATAGAGTCTGAGCCACAGGAGGAGTTGGAGGAGGAGCAGCCGGATAGTCATCTACATGGGACGTGGCCGTGCCTCATTTACATACCTGTACAGTGAGCACTGTGGAGCTGAGAACCTGTCAACCATTCCAACCTGATCCTGCACCGAGCTGTCTTCGCCGTGGTTTGATGTTTGCTCTTGGCTTTTGGCTTTTCGGTTTGGGTTTGGGTTTGGGTTTTGGGCTGTGGTCATCGGTGGGTTTAATGGACGCGTGTGTACCCAATTCTCGACGGTGCGGCCTTCGCGTGCGTGACGAGCATTCGCTCAGCGGTCATTGATTGGTCTGGCCAACACCAGTTGGCTTGTTGGTCTTGGCCAGCTCTATGGAGGGCGCCGCGCCGGTCGCAACAAGTGTGTGAACACCATTAAACGGTGATTAGGCCCGACCACCACCACCACCGCTACGCTCCCTTGGCCATTACCTCCTCCTTCTCCTCCTGCTGCTACTTCGTAGCAAAGCGGAGTGTGTGTGTGGCTTGTCGAGAGGCCTCAATTACCACCAGATCCGTTCCCGTACCCATATCCATGTCCATTCCCCATGGAGATTGGCGGTTGCAATGAACTATTTAACAATGTGGGCGGCCAAAGAATGTTGAAACCGAATTAGATCGAAATGTGTGGAAAGAGCCAAAAGATCATTTGTCAAAAGTGTAATATGGAAGAGAATTAGGGTATAATTCTTTATAAGATATGGAATCGATATATTTGTTAAGTAAACTAATTAGAAGTTTGAGAGCAAATGTTGAAATATGATAGAGATCAGTTCAAGGAAAACTTTGTTATTAAACTTTTCCATTTAGGTAAAGTAATTTTCTTTCAACTAATGTAACACTTTTCCAAAAACCACACACTTTTCAAAATTTGCCAAAATAAAGTAAACAAAACTACGCAGTTCCACAATAAGAGTTCAATCATCTACCAAAAAAAGATGTTACTTCACGGTAAAGTTTTGTAAACAAAATTTATCTGAAATATAACCAAAACATTGATATGGAAAATAATACTTCCCCGATATTATCAATACTACTTGTACATGAAACTCCCCTTCGAGATGCAAAAAACAAGATAGAAAAGAAATCAAAGATGCTGTTATGGTAACCAAACTCTTTTCCAGACAAGGCAATTAGGCCAAAAAAATGAAGTTAGTCATCCGAACAGAGAGCACCAGCACCGCGTAGAACTTTGTGGGCCACATAAACAAGTTTTTTGTTTGGTACGCTGATAAGGAAACCGGTGTTATCAGCACGCCGTTACTGATAAACTATCTCCAGGTGAGTATAGGAGTGAGAGCAGACCGCGGAGAGTCATAAAAATATATAAAAATCAATGGAACTTCAGACAGTCACAGCAATTGAAATCAATAGCTACTGCAGAGCGAACGCAACGCATAACCATCGAAAGCAACTAAATAAATAAAATACAATAAAACACTCAATATGATGAGCCAAACTTTAACCCTTTGCTGCCTGGTGGTACTGGTGGCCGCCGTTTCCGGTAATACAGTGTCCACAAATGACACAGCCTGTCCACAAATCTGTGCCTCCATCTACAAGCCAGTGTGTGCCACCGATGGCCAGAACTTCAAGGAGTTTGCCAGTGACTGCAACCTCCTGTCCCACAACTGTCGCCGCGAGAGGAGCAGCCTGCAAGGTAAGTCGTATTAATTACAAATTACCAAATTACTTTAATTAATTCTCTACTCTTCTCTTAGCCTATGCTGCCACCGATGCCGCCTGGTGCAGCTCCGAGTTTGTGGAGAATCTCCACGAGAAGCTGGGCAACTTCAAGCTGGAGGTCAAGGAGTGCTTCAAGCCCTGCTCGATGATCTACCAGCCGGTGTGCATTACCAATGGCAAGTACCGTGCCGAGTTGGCCAATTCCTGCCTGCTGGACAACTTCAACTGCGCCCTCCAGGCCTCCGGCGCCCAACCCGCTGAGTCGTTCCGTGTCCTTCGCGACGAGAAATGCTAAAGACGGGATCGGGATCGAGATGGAATACAATACAGGCAGGCCCTTCTTTTGTTTGGAAATAGACAGGCTATTGTCTGGAACGGAAATATAACCTAACGAATTTATGAGACACGAGTAAACGACTTGTTAATGAAGGTGTCACAGTGGGAGGGAATTGCGAAAGTGAAATGAATTTATGGCACGAGCAGTTGGGTTTTTACTCTCTTATGATTAACACTGCAGTTAACTTGGTTTAAACACTACGTTTCGGGAAAAGAAAAACGAAAGCAAAAAATGTGGGTCTGATAAGATTAGGTTATAGATATTCCATATACTAAGTGGGATTACGACTGGCTGCGAAATATGTCAAACAAACTTGTATTAAAATCTTTAAATATTGAAATGACTTAAGCCATAAAAGGAGTGCCTCACACAGGATATACGCTTTGAAGTTCATCCTTGCCATTAACCTTAACTTTTTTATGTATTGCTTGTAAGCATCGATGTGACATCCTCTGGAAGATGACACCAGTTTGCACATCACATCTTCTTTTTTATCGGTCTCCTCCGGCCGTTCATCTGTCAAGCCTCATTAGGTTCCACTCATAACACTGCTTCCGTTATCCTTTGCTCTGATCTTCGTTCTTCCGTTATACGAGTGTTCACAGAGATCGAGTTCCCCTTCTACTCCATGATCCCCAAATGATGATAAGGCGGAAAAGAGCTCTTGATCAAGTTCTTGCCTCGGTGGAGACCTCTAACGATGATGGAAAAGCACCTACATAGTTGGATAACAAGCTCTAACAAGAGATTCTCTGATTAGGTTCAAGCTTAAAGCAGCTTTGTCATATCATATCTTTTATGATAATTAAATTAGAACCAAAAGGAAAGACCTCTTATGAAGATAAAGCAAAATGGGGATTCTTATCAAGTCAATTCGTTCAATCCAAATGATATATAAACATTCTCGTTTCTTAAATATGTAATATCTATTCCAAATGTATTGCCAATAAAACTACCATATTATATATGCAACTATAACCAATACTGGTGCTCCCTCAATCATTAATAATCCCCATTTTAATAAAAATCCCTTTTCAATAAATTAGCCATTACTTTTCATGTTCTTTCCATTTAAATGGTTTAAAAATCAGTGTTTATATTTTATTTTACATGCAAATTAGTATCACATTAACAAAGTAAATATATTGCGATGGATAATAAATAGTTGAAATTACAATATTTTGGAGGTATTACCCCCTTTATGATTGAGATCTGGTTTAGTGTTGTGAGTTCAATGGGTGGGGTTTAGTTTGTGGGTGGCGTAAATCCACCTTAGCATAATGTTCCTGGCAACTGACTGAAGCTCTGACAGAGCAGAGCATGAAGCAGATCGTCGTCAACTCTTTCCTGAGAGTTGGTCCAGAAGAAGGTGCCGTTATCCGTGCTGATGTACTGCAGCGGCAACTGAAGATCCCACACAGAACTGGGCAACTGTTGGGGCGTGTTGCTGCTGCTGCTGATGTTGCTGCTGTTGATGTTGATGTTGCTGCTGCTGCTGCTGCTGCTGCTACTGTGATGTGTGTGCTGGCAGTTGCGTCCATGCTGGCAGGCCCCACAGCTCCGGGCACTGACCTTCTCCACGTAGACACTGCTTATCAGGGTGGGCGTGTTGGGTGGCTGAGTGAGAGACACATCCTCCAGCTCCTCCTGCGGGGATTGTCTCAACTCCAGGCCGTATTTTTGCGTAGACTCTTCAGGTGCTGCTTTACTCTCGTCTGTGATGAGCAACTCCAACTGGGGAAGCTGTTGCTGTGTGTTGTTGAGATCCACGTTGTTGGGATGGGCCAAGGTCAGTGGGGCGGGTCGACCTTTGCCACCCACTGTCAGCAGACGTCGCAGTGGCAACCAGACTTTGCGCATGCGCTTTGCAGGTGTCGTGGGCATTGCCGCTAGGCTATTGCTGCCACTGTTGGCCGTCAGGTTTTTCGTATCCAGATACATGTTGTGGCTAGAGCTTTGTGGCCAGCTTTTCCTGGTTCTTTCAATTGGGTGTTTCTGCAGCGAGCGTTGCGTGTGCGCACCTCGCGAGACCTGCTCGATAACTGATGCTGCTGCGCCGGCGTCGCTCATATTTATATATGAGCCGCTGTCGCTGCGCTGCCGCTGGCCAGTCAAGAGTGAAATCGTACGCCGGCTGATCTCACGAGCGGCGGTAGTAACAGCAACAGCAACAGCAACAGCAACAAGCAAGCACCGTACGAAATTTGAGTGCACTCTCACACACACCGGACCAAAGCCATGGTCGGGGGTGAGAGGTGAACCTTTTTATGTGCGCGTATTTCCCAAATAAATTCCAACAGGAATCCACAAGCTCCCCCCTTCTGCTTCTCTGTTTCTGGTGTGTGTACTTTTCCCATGCACGTACAATCGACAAGGGCCGCTTGATGAGTTTTGGCTGCAGGTAGAAGAGAAGATGAAGACGACGCGACTGCACAGTGGTCACAGCTTGGTTGGAACAGGTGAGGAAAATTATAATCAAATTGAAAACCAATTGTAAATGCTGTAGTACATCATATCTGAATGGATCGTAAAGAGAGATGTGATTATTTTCCATAAATTTCCATTTTTGAATACAAAGACTTATAAGAAAGATACTAAGGGACCATATCACAATAATATATTCAGATTGGGTTCATAATAAGCTAAAATTAAAAAATTAAATCATCCAAATATTAATACCAATATTGATTATTTATTTTGGCGAAATATTTCAATAAAAGAATACAGATAGATAGAAAGGTGGATAGGTTGTTTTATATGTTAAATATACATAGAGATAATTATTAGATTGATAGATAAATACATAGATAGAAAGTGAGATAGATTGATAGAATACAGATAGATAGATCGATTGATATATAGATGGATGGTTAGCAAGACATATAGATGGATAGATATACTTAAATAGATATATAATTAGAGTCATAGATGTGTGGATATAGAGATAAATAGATTGATCGATATATGGATGATAGATAGTCAAATATTTCTATATCCTTAATTCCCCTTAATCCTTAGCACCCTTTATACCCATCTATAACCACTGTGCACATCGCCTGTTCCTCATTTATGCACGACTGACTTTGTTTTCACATTCACACGGTACCCAGAGCCCCGGAGCCGAAGCCAGAGCCCAGTAGTACTCGTCCATGGGTTGTTGTCCGGCCTGGGCTTCAGGGTTCGCTGTTCGGTCGCTGCTCGGGACTCCGGGATCAGGGGCAGGGGCAAGGGCAGGGGTAGTGCACCACAGGGCCGTAGTCACGAAGGGGCCAGGCCCTGGCAGCACCTGTTCCCTTCAGCGAGCGTGGGACTAAGACGCTGCGCATTTCCGTCCTGGGGAATTGAAGACAAAAACAGCAAGGCAATGGTAAAGGCAAAGGCGCAGGCGTCGCTGCTGCTGCTGCTGCTGCTGTCGATGTCTTCGAGTGTGGGAAAGGGCTTATAAGAATTTCACTTGGTTTTCGGCTTTTTGGGCACTATTATTGTTGTTTCTGCTTCGGTTTCTGTTTCTGTTTCCCCATGCGAAGTGATTTTGTTTCGGGGCGAGCAGCTGTTATTGCTACTTGTTGGCCTGCTTGTTGTCATTTATAATCAAGGCTCGCAGCGACCGGCGCTGATAAGTTCATTTCGAGAAGGGAACCAAGGGACTAGTCCCGCCAAGGGGATTATGACATGTTGTGGTTCACACGCTCGCTGGGAACGGGCTTGGGATGGTGTCTCAATGTGTGTGTGTGTGTGTGTGTGTGTGTGTGGATGGGGATCTAATGAGGCCGTGACCTGATTCGAGCAGCAAGTCCTTGCGCGGATCGCAGGTTCCCACACTGCACAACAATCGGGAGTTAGCTGCCAGCCACAACTAGTTAGGCCAGCTCAGCTACGAACCCGGTTTTGGTACGTACATAGTTTTTTTTTCTCGATTTTATTTGTGGCCGAAACTCGTGCCAATCGCGTGTGCACCGCACGCTTGCGCCCAAAGAGATCTCTCTAGCCTCCACTCCAGCCACTTGGAGGCCCCAAAGCGGCTCTCTTGCCTTTGGCCGCTATTAATCTTGGCTGTAAGCCCCCCCCCCGCCATCACCCGCGCACTTTTGCCCCCAATCAGCGTCTAGGCTTTGAACTGCACGTTTGCCAAATTGAAAGCGACTGACTTGGCAACACACGGACACCGACTCCAACTCCAACTCCAACTCCGACTTCAACTCCAACTTCGAATCTGAATCCACGACCAACGATGCCAGCCTCAGCTGTGACTTCCACTTCCAAGCTTGTGCCGGGGCTTGCGCCTTTTCAGCAACAGACACTTGGAGTAGTTAGGCGTTAATACACTGCTCTTAAGAGGGTCTTACGGTCACAGGATGTACCAGGAAATAATAGTTATAAACTTAAGAGCATTATGCAAAAGCTTCTGGGAACTTAAATAAATGGTTTTAGTAACATTAAATATATATTTTTACAACATTTTATTAGTAAAGAATTATAAATAATGAAGTATAATATATGTTCAGAGATAGAATTTTATTTATACAAATACCTTGTGCTTTACTGATGTAAATATATTAGTTTAAAATAATTTCCTTAACAATTAAAGACTCTCCCCCTCTTAAGAGCATTTCCTATTCGCTATTTAGTTACCATTTAACATTTACCCATCGTCGACTATTTGGCTTTTAAGCTTTTGGTTCACACGGCCGGCAACTAGTTTTTTTTTGTGCAAAACTATATACTATATAGACACACATTCGCGGACAGACATGCGGACGGTCGGTCACATATGACAAGCAATTAGTGTGCATTGAGGTTAGTCGAAAATGGCTTTGCGGTTCGTCCGTGTCCGTGTCTGTGTCTGCGATGATTATTTTGCATATTCGCATATTGCTCATACGCCACGTGTGCCGGCCAAGTTGAAAGTTGAGGAGGCATCTTGAAAAGCGATGCCTTGAGATGCTTAATTGTTGCGGCCATACTGAACTATGAGCTGTGAGCAGTGAGCAGCGATGATCAGTCAGCAGAAAGCCGAGATTCGAGATTCGAGAGCCCGAATGCCGAATGGCCGGCAAACGGCTAACGGAAGTCATGGCCAGAAGACAAACAAACAGAGCGATTCTGCAGCATCATGGGAAATGCTTAGCCAGGCAAAAAGCCTCGGTCTCCAGGCCACAAATAACAGAAAGCAACAACAACAAAAAATAACTTCGAGGCGTCCAACCACAAGTGTCATATTGCCGCCACGGCGATAAAGCCCAGCTCGAACGGCAGCTGGCTGCGAATAAAGAGCGACGCACATAAAAAACCAGGCAACATTTTATACACTCTGTGCTGACCAGTAGCCCTGAGATCAGCGAATTAAAAAAAATTGTATATATGAGGCGGGCGAAAAACAAATCTTAGAACGACAACCGGATGTTCAAGTTTATGATGATTCCCTCCGGGTGGCAAAGGGTTGCTATTCCTATGGATCCTATGTATGCAAAAAAAAATAATAATAAAATAAAAGAGTTTTTCGGAACCCCCAATGCGCCGAGATAGCGAAACTGTTACACTTAATCGATACGCTTCAACGAAAAGTCAAGCCAAAGCCAAAACCATCATAGTGGTTGTGCACTGAGCGAAAAACTCGAGCAGTTTCGATTCACTAGTGGCACTTCACTAAGAGTTTTAGAATATTTTAGTGGTGATTCTGGAGATTTGATAAGGTAATTTATTTATATTTAATTTAAAAAGTAAACTAAAATTTTAAATTGGTAAAAACAAAAGTTTACTTAATTCGAAAAGCCGAAGTTTATAGACCCTTCTGTTTGAAATTAAATTATAGGATCAAAATTGATCATAGCTAAGCTCACGATTTTCGCATTTTTCGTATTGATATTTTTGTATGATAATATTTTTCATAAAAATCTCATAACTAAGACACAAAAGTATTAATTTTTGTTTGGAAAGCAATTTTATGCTTGTTTTTATTTGGTTATTAAATCTGTATACATAATTTATAATTTTAAAATATTCAATTTCCTTTGTAAATTTTTGACAATTTTAACGATGTAACCCCTTATAAAATTTTCAAAATTTTGAAAAAATTAAATTTCAACCGGACATATCTAGATCGATTCGGCTTTAGATGCTGATCAAGAATATATATGATTTATAGGGTCGAAAATGACTCCTTCACTGCGTTACAAGCTTCTGACTGGGTATATTAATATTAAAGTTAAACTATGAAAATTATTTCATACTGAAAACGAATCCTTACTCCATCTTTATCCTTATTTAGTATCACATACTAATTTTCTAGGTACCTCTAAGTACCATGCCAATTAAATTTCCCTCAGTGCAGTTGTCGCAGTCATCATCATCAGCCAAGCATGCGACATAATTGCGCGAGTTAAGGCCCCTGTCCCCTCTTAGCCCACTCCCCGGTCGCCCACTGCCCCCCCTCGTTGCTGGACTGAAAAGTCAACCCGCTTGAAATCAACCAGCAGCTACAGCAAGAGCAACAACAACAGCAACAACAGCCGGAGCAGCAACAACATTTCAGCAATCCATCGGATCGCATCACAATCCAGCCATCCGTCCAACGTGTGGGAAACACACGACAAATCTGTTTCCCACGGTCTCGTAAAGTAGGCACCACACACACACATACAGAGCGGTACCCTAGCTGGCACACTCGCACACACACACACACCCCAAAGTCTCCCCCAAGTCTCCTCGTAGGTGCGAGCGAGCGGCAGATCGACTTCGACGAACGGCGAATGGGAGCCGAGCACTGTCATCATTGACAATAAGTATGACATGGGTGCGGGCAGCGGGGGCCAGGCAGTGGGGGCCATAGGGAGAACGCGCAGTCGGTGAGAATGAGATCCAATCCGAGTGGAGCACAGAGCTCCCTCTCTCTCTCTCTCTCTGTCTCTCAACGGCCATGCAATCAATTGAAGACGACGCGCGCCAGAGCACAGCCACAGGCGCAGTTACTTACACAGATGCAGAGCCACTTGTAGCACGCTCGCTCTCTCGAGCACAGTGGGGCAAAATCTTCAGTCTTAGTTACAAATATGCTCAGTGGAATGCATGCATTCGTTGCTATTAATTTTATCTTATTTGTAATGAAAATGGTAAAATCAGTTACGATATTTGCACCGGATATCATTCTTTTTAATTCTTTAGTTTTTATAGCCTACTTTTTGGGACCACACGGAAGTGAAGATGGCGGCGTCTTGTATTACTTTAAATTTAAATCATGTCATAATAACGTTTTTGTTTAATTTAAAAATGCATTTTAATTTGTTTTATTATTTTTATATGGGATGTATATTATATTTAGTATTTAATAGTATTATATATATAGTATTTAATATTTAATTGGCTTGATGTCGGGACTGGAGTTTAGGCTAGGTCACACTCAGTTCATTTTTGCTTGAAGACAAATACAATAGGTTATTTAAAAAGTCCGTGTTTGATTTCAACACCTCTTTAGTAAACTTTCCTTGCGTTTTTTATACATATTTATAATTGATTTTATGTTTTAAGCGGCCTCTTGTTATTTTTTACGTTACTAGACCAATTTTAAAAACATAATTTAAAACTCGACTATATGCCAAGATCCAAGATCTTTAAACAAAATCACACACTTATTGTTTTATAACTCTATGCTACGTACCAACCTGTGCCCACTGTGGCTCCGCAGATGTTCCAAATCCAACCCCAGTGCCGTGGCGGCTTACAGTAGCCTCTCTTTGTGCCCGCTGCCGAGCGCCGCTACCGATCCGAGACCGAGTTCGGCTCGGGCCGAAGAGCCTGGGAACACGCGTGTGTGTATGTGTGTGTGATCATGCGGGAGCTTTGTGGACACGAGAGCTGCGATCCGGGAGAGTGGCTGTGCCTGTGGCTGGCCAACGGGTCGTATAAAAGTAGGGCTGGGAACTAGTTTGCCACTCATTTCGTAAAAGTCCCGCCTGTTGAACGCACCACAGTGCAGCAATCTCGTAGATACCCATATGAAACCGATCGAAATCGGACGTGATAATGTGCCGTCGAGCGATCTAAGAAAGCCAAAAGAACAGTCCTTCGAAGAGCTAAATTGAACAGGAAAGCCACCAAACCGATCATGGTCATGGAGATGTCCAAGACGTATCAGTACCGCAAGGTGATGAAACCGCTGCTGGAGCGCAAGCGCCGGGCCAGGATCAACAAGTGTCTGGATGACCTCAAGGATTTGATGGTGGAGTGTCTGCAGCAGGAGGGGGAGCATGTGACGCGGCTGGAGAAGGCCGACATCCTGGAGCTGACCGTGGACCACATGCGGAAGCTGAAGCAGCGCGGTGGTCTCTCCCTGCAGGCAGTAGCCGGAGGCAATAGTCCGCCCAGCGCCACCAGCACCGCCCACGTGGAGTCCTTTCGTTCCGGCTACGTACATGCCGCCGATCAGATTACACAGGTCCTGTTACAAACTCAGCAAACCGATGAGATTGGTCGCAAGATTATGAAATTTCTCTCGACGCGACTAATTGAGCTGCAGACGCAGTTACTCCAGCAGCAGCAACAGCAACAACATCAGCAACAACAACAGCAATCTCTGGGTCGATTATCCTTCCCGCTGCTGGGTGGGTATGGACCGACGGCCGCCTCTGCCGCCGCCAGCTACGGTGCCTTCCTAACCGGCAAGGACGAACTGATCGATGTGACCTCCGTCGACGGTGCCGCTATGTCCGAGACGGCGTCGGTTAGTTCGCAGGAGTCCGGCGCCTCGGAGCCCGTCTGGAGGCCGTGGTAACGCCCTCTAGATCCTATCTTAGTATTACGACCGCAACCCAAAAATGGCTATTAACCGTTCAAGCAACAGGATCCGTTGTCTTCCAAAGTAAATCATAACAAACAAAGTAAGTTTTGTGGTCGATTTGCTAATCGTCCTCAGAATTGGTTTTGAAATACTTCTAGTTTTAGCTACGATAATTGTTTTAATCTCAACTGTGATATAAATAATGTACGATGATCGATCCAGTTAATATTTTCAAGTGCGCTGATTTCCTACTGCAAATGTTTCCTAAGTTTATTAGTTCGTTGCGCTCTCTTAATTGTTTAGACAAGTATGTTAAGCTTTAAATAATTTATAAATGTTAATTTATGGTTAACTGTGAAGAATCAAATCAAAACATATATAATACGCAAAATCAAATAAATCAAAACAAATGCAAAATATATAACTTTCTTTATTGCTGTTCTGGGAGATGAAGGGGATTTTTCAAGAATTTTTTAGATTTTTATAAGGATTTATACAGCTTAAAATTTTACCAACCAACAATTTATAAACCTTTAACTATTTATTATTTAATACCTAGATTTCATTTTGTTAAAGTTCTTGTATATAAATAGTAATATTTCGAATATGTTCATTAATAATACAATACTTATTTTTATTCAGTTGATATACTGGAATATTTAATAGGTGCTACCCACTATTTTCTTTAAAATTTATTTTCGATATAAAATACTTTAAAACTTTACAAAAATACCTAAATATTGACTGTATTTATTGCCCATTTAATGACTTAATTACCCAATAATTGTTAATAGGAAGCTACTGGATCCTCAATGTATGCAACACTTTTGTGCATTCACCCTGATTCATACACATAAGCAGTTCGTCTAATTGGAACCCGAATCTGATCGGCAATCAACAGAACCTCTCTACCTGCACGCACTGGAAACTGGTTGGAAATGCAACCAAAAAAAGCAACAGGCCAAAACAACCCCCGATTATCTGTATCTTCCTTACCTGCTGGCAGGTAAATTGATCAACAATAAGACCTGAGAAAAGGTTCAGGATCGAATCAGATTAGGGTCCCCGTTCGTTTTTCAAATGAGTCATGCCAATTAACAAAAGGATCTCGATGCCTATTTATTTCGTGTTTTGTTGTTGATTTGTAAAACGGGGAAAATTGTTGCCAGGAAATTCAGATTTATCCTCTATTGTTTTGATTTTATTTTGTTATATTTTATATTCTGAGAGAATGTTGAGTCAACTGTATCAGAATTTCTGTTGCGGTTGAAGTTCCCCAAATGAAAGGAACTTAATCAAGGGACTTAACTTCACTATAATTATTATAATTGAGCTGAAAGATTTTAAATGGTTCGAATAAAAATGCAATTGAAATTTCTTTTAAATTGTATATATATTTTGATTTGTGTTTTGTTTTTTTTTTTTTTGTAAATGTTAAAAAATGTATCACAATTTTGTAAAGCTTGAGTTGATCGGCTTGCTTGTTAATTTTTGTGGAACGTTGTCAAAAATTAACGGAAGACGTTGTATTAAAGCTGGAGATCCCATCATGGAAGACATGGTTGCAAGTTGGAGTCGTTGTCGTTGTTTTGCTTAGGCCTGAACCCAACGATCCTGGAACTGGGCAACGGCCACCTCGTTGGCAGTGCTGCAGCCGAGGGGCTCGACGAGATCGTTGTCAGCGGGCAGATCGGAGACGGCGGTCCAGAAGAAGGTGCCATGGGCAGTGCGGACGAAGTGAACGGGCACGGTGGGCAGTTGCTCGAACTCGTAGTCCTCCATGTCGCAGGACTGGGAGAGACGCTCGTTGGCCTCGTTCTCGAAGGACTCGAGGGAGGCACACTCCAGCGAAGCGTTGCGGCTGTTCTCAATGGATTCGAGAGATTCCAGAGAGTTGGCCTTGATGGTGTTCTTGAGGTTCTGCTCCTCCTCCTCCTGAGCGACCTGCTGCTGCTTGAAGATCTTCTGCAGCAGCTTCTTGACGCTGTAGGACAGCTTCTTGTTCGACTTGATGGTCATGGTGTTGGTCTTGTTCTGGCACATTTTTGTGGAGATGAGTTTGTGGATGTTGATGTTGTGTACTGTACGAAGCGTTGAGCTCGAATGATGTCTGATCCTCCGAACTCGGTGCCTTTTATACCCGCAGGACGAGGGAGAAACCCGAGCCCAAGCAGGTCACAAAACACCGAGTGTGGGAAACTACAAGGATACGTGTTCAGAAAATCCTATACACAGTACGGAGCACAAGGCAAAGGCAACAAAAAAAACGGCAGGTGTGTTTTTCTGATGTTTTCGAAAAAGGGACTGCATCGGCATTAACCTGCATGCGTCGGAGTGTGACGGCATGTCGTTCGGCACCGCTCGCACCTGCTGGCGGTTCGGGCAATTTTATCCTGCTGCAGGATCGTGAGAAACGAGACTTTCTACCAGTTCCCACAGTCTCGAAAGGATCCTTTTTTGAAAAGGAGATTCGTTTTTTCCCCTCCTCCTACTCCTTCTTATTTTGTGTTGTGTTCCTCGTTTCTGCTGATCACTTTTGGTTTTTATGTGCACTTATCTTATCACAAGGATGTGCGTGCGAGGGGGATGCACGATCCTTTGGGGGGGCGGGGAAAATCCCTTTTCGATTTCTCGAACACGTGTGCAGCTCGAGAACGTGGGAGAATATTTTCAATTTTCAACGCTCGAACGAAGGCAAACAATTAAGAGCTGCCCCGAACCGTACCAGAGGATCACATAGCTCAATAGGCAAACAATCTGAGGATCCTTCGTCTCTCGACTCCTCCTCGTTTAATGCGCTGTAATTTGAAATTTATCAAATTGTATGTGGAGGCGAGACGGGGCATAAATAATGGTCGGAGGGATCTCGAGAGCTGGAGGACAAGGATCGTCGACGAAGGAGTTGCTTTTAATTTCTGTTGCTGATGGCACACAATTAGCAGGGGACCAGCGCGTTTCTTATTGAGGGGCATTCTCTGCCTGAAGGATGAGTAAAAAAAGAGAAGAAGGCGGAGAAGGAGGACCACGAGGATCACACTGGAGGAGCACACGCACAGCGAGCGTTTGTCCCTCTTTTTGTGGTTCCTTGTTTTTTTGGGTTAGGGATTGGACACGTGATGGCGCGTGAGGCGCTGAAGCCAAGACGGTTCCCAGGATCCCTTGCTGCCCCCACTCCCTCTCTCGCTGTGTTGTTTTTTATCTGCTCCTTTTGGATATCCCTGGCGTACTTAATGGATTGTCCTTTGACTTGGCCATAAATATTTGGAACCCGGTGTGTGAGTTGGGACAAATTAAGGCAGCGAGATGCTGTGAGTTGTAGGCTGGCGTTAACAGTTCGTCCTGGATCCCCAGATCTATTGATCCTCTGCTGAGGTGATGATGATTACTTGCCTTGGTCTTTGTAGTATATGGTTGGGCTGTAGATCGATGAGTTGAGATTCACAGATTGGGGGATAATTGGTTCAGGGATCTTTGAAGTTTTTTGTGTGGATCACTTTTTGAAGGATTTTTAATTAATTAAAAATTAGACGATGAAAATAGAGCATTATTTCTTAAGGGTAAATTAAAGGATTTAAGATTAAAACTCTACAGTTTAAAGTGTGAAATAATATGATTTATAATTAATTAAATCTTCAATTAAAACACAGATATTTTTTAATATATTTCAACATTAATTTTTGTGTATATCCTCTCAGGGTATTTTAATTTTAGTCCAAAGCTTATAAATGTGTGAAGAACTCATTTCCGACCCTATAAATCATATATAATCTTAATCAGCATTGATAGCCAAATCTATCAAGCTATCTCCGGCAGAAAGATAATTTTTTTAATTTTTTCAAAATTTTATAAAGGGTTCATTAAAATTTTCAAAAATTGGCAAAAAATTCAATTTTTTAAAGTTTTAAATTGAGTATGCAGATTTAATAACCTATCAAAAACTAACACTGGAGCGCTTTCTGAAATAAAATTAGTTGTTTTTTGGATGAGCTATGGGTTTTTTAAACTTTAATTTGGCTTTAATTTTGTCATATAAAATATCGACTTAAAAAATGGTAATATTTTAAGCTTAATCTTAAATTCATTTCAAAGCTTTATCTTCCCGAAGTAAGTTTCCTTTCTTCAACACTATCAAGGCATTTTTAATTTAATTTCTAAGCTTCAGAAGAGCAATGATTTGGACTCATCAAATCTACATCATATAAAGATATTATTCCAAATTCATTTTTATAAGAACATACTTTTCAGATATCTTTATATAATTTTATTTCAGCTCAATTCCAAATAAGATATTTGGAAAAACAAAGCCCATAGAAACCTGCCCCATATATACACAGAATTAAGAGCTATAAAATCCAGGCACCACAATCCGCCACAAAGTGGTTTTGATTGAGAGGTTGGGATATTTCTATAAAAATCCCTTGGGTTTTATCTTCCAATCTATTCAATATCCTTTTGCTGGATCAACAGTACCAAATTATTGGATTACTTCTTGGAAATTGTCCCTTTATATAGCCTTGGACATTTCGTCCGAACCCAAAACAAAATCAGAGTCCGAGATCCATTTTTCGGTTGACTCATGCTACCGCATTATTTGGGCCTTATTATGCACGGATTGTGTCCGATCTAATTGTGTTTTTTTGGTCCTGGATATTTTCGGTTGACTCATTGCCCCCAGTTTTTCACTGTTTTTTTCTTCGGGCTATGTTTTGTTTTGAATCTATTTTTTGTTTCATTTCGATTTTATTTGTGTGCCCACGTGCAGGCCCAAAACAAATAAAAATAGTTAACCTTTTGGGTTGGGAAACCAAAACTAAGGCCCCGCTGGGGGTCCCAACATTTTCTTCTTCTGGTGGTGACTACTGTGGTGCCTTCCATTTCCCTCCGTGGCCTTTGTGCGAGTGTATCTTCCAAGGAAATCTTTTGGTTGAACACGTGCACTGATTTCTTATCGCCTGACGATCACTTAAGGTCCCAAAATTGTAGATTAGCCGAACGCTCACACAAAAAAAATAAAAGAAATTGGGATACGAGAGAGAAATAAAATCAACCTGACCCTGGCACTACTACCATTGTCTTTCCAAATCCCAAAAGGGGGTGGGAATGATCGTGTTTGTACACGTGACGACCTCGTTTCGGTCACAGCAGGGTGTTACAGCACCAAGAGCACGTCCCTCGGTCCACATCCACCCATCTGGTCATATGGTCATCCACCTATATACTATATCTGTCCAAAAAAAACACCGCAACGTGAGCAAGTTGCGAACGTGAACATTTCACACATGTGCAGCGATTTTCAGCCGGGGGAAAAGCCCATGCCATCGATCATTGAGGTCGTTTCGTTACCACTCCTCCTCCTCCCTCGGCTAGTTCCAGCAAAAAATTCCGCAGGTCCAGTTACACAGGACACGGGACTTTCCACACCCGCTAGGATGCGGACGAGAGGATGTGCTAACTGCCCGAATCTGTTACGGTATTTCCGTTTACATTTTCCGTGGTCAGCAGCGTGAACATCAAACGAGGCGTGCGAAAAATTCCATTGAATGTAAAACGAGTCGAGTTGAACCTCTCTTGAGATATGAATGTCGAGGGAGTGGATGAGCCAAAGATATGGGACAGAAATAGGATGAGCCTCAGGTTTGGGATGAGCTAAATGTCTAGGTTGATCTACAGTTTCAATAGAGCATCACATGTGTCGATCAGTTAACATAACAATAACGCAGACCGAGACTTTAGTCTTTACAAAATATTATAGCAGATCGAACTTTGAGTGACCTTTATAAAGATTGTATTGCATTTCTGAATTTTTATACTAAAATATATATATTTATAATTTATTTATATTTATAAATTCTATATATAAAAGTCCTTCAACGTTTAACGAAGGTTTATTTAAACTAGACTTTAATTGGTGCTATCTTTATATTGGTATCTTTGATATAGTTAAGCATTAAATATAAAAAATTTATATAATATACTTGATTTGCAAACCTCAAAAATGTATTATTTACTAAGTATATTGACGGCCTAATAAATGTATAATTGATACATAATTTTAACTAATTCTAATAAATAATAACATTGTACTCTGAAACACTATGCATGTGTGGTAGATTTAGAATATGGTTAATAGTATAAATAAATACTCTGATACTCTACCAAAATACTCTGAGTTATTAAATGTATTAACTGTTACAAATACATATTATAGTATATATTATTAAGTACTAAAGCTTTCATATTTCAAACTTAACTCTGTAGCAAAGCATCCCCAAAAAACTTACAACTAAAGGGTATTCTGGCATAACTAAAAATTTAAACACGATCTATTCGACCCACATGGCGGTTTCTTTGGTTTTATAATGATAAAATAACACAGACAGTAATAAGTGTTGGTGATACAACACACACATGTGGGGTCCTTTTTGTCATCGAATTACACAGAGGGACGAAGAGTCCTGCACTTGACACGAGACAGCGAGACATTTTCGAAATACTTTTATGTTTGGTTTTTATTTTTTAGTTTACAAATTAGTATGTGCGATGGTACATATGGATGCGGGAGGCCAGTTCCAGGAACATCTGAATATCGTGTTGGTTTAGGATATCCTTTGGTTCGTTCCTCAAGGATCAGGATCCCGTTGCTCGATTACCGCCCATCACTCAGCGCGCACGTGCAACGGACAAAAGGGGTCGTAATTGATGGCTAACTCAATGGCCGGGGAACCACCCCGGGCTGAATATAATACAATGACGATATGTGATCCTGTCCAGGGGTCCGGGGAGTATGCAGATTCGATGACACCCAGCAACACGTGCACCGCAGTGTTAAGCTGTTGATCGAGGCGTAGACAGGTCTCAGTTTTTCCTTTTTTTTTGTTATTTTTTTGTATCTCCGCTACTCGGGGGCGTCGCTGGCCAGGGGTTTGTCTGGCTTTAAAACCCGGGACCTCCTACTTAGACCCGGGGAGGATGAGAGCTCCGTTGAGGAGGTCGCAGAACAGACTTTGTTTGGATCTTCCATTAGGTGGGGGAAGGAATGGCTAATATGAGCCTTTTACACTTGAAACGGAGTAATTATTCCAATGAATTGGGTTGCGCTACAAGGGGTAAATAATCTTCAAAAATCCATGCAAGCCGAGCAGGAATCTTTGTGGAAGATAATTTGCTGGTATTTAAATAAGTACAGAGAGAGAAATACAAGACATTTTTCGTTATTATATTTACAATGGGGATTTCATACAACTAATTAGCAGTATTTACATACGACAAATTTATATTTTTGTTCGAGACAAGTCTCTATCCTTAAGAGTATACAAACTATACTTCTTTTAACAATATTGGGCAACGAAATAGTGTTGCTTAATAGAGTTATTCATTTTTATATTTTCATACACTTTTAGGGTATTATAATATCAGTCAGAAACTTGCAAATCGTGAAGGAATCATTTCCGACCCTATAAATCATATATATTATTGATCAGCATTAAAAACTGAATCGATCTAGTCATGTTTGCTCAAAAAATAAATTTTTGAAATTTTTTCAATATTTTATAAGGGGTAACATCGTTAAAATTGTCAAAATTTGACAAAAAATTTAATTTTTAAAAATTTTAAAAGTTAGTATGCAGACTTGTTAACCTTTGAAAAACTAGCACAGAAAAGTATTTCGAATCGAAATTAATGCAATTTTGGCTTAGTTATGATATATAAAAATGTTAATTTACCCTAAAAATTAGCATAAAAAATATTGATTTAATTTACCTAGAATTTTAATTTTTCTTGGAGCTATACGAAGGACAAAAATCATATACATTTTTATTTGTATTTAAAATATTATTTGTTGATTAAGCAACAACTTATGAAACATTTTAAACCAATGTTCGGTTTCCTGAAGTCAGCTTCCTTTCTTCTTTCATATATGTAGGAAATATCTCATAGTTTTATGTTCTGTGTTGTTAATTAAGAGAAATGCTTTAGTTTAAATAACTTTGGAAGACCAAGTTATATAGAATGATGAAGTAAACCATCAAATTCTGAAAAAGCGAATTAAAATGTAACCCACTCAAGTTACTAGATAAATAATCAAGTCAATAGTATTTAGTGTTTTTTATAATATTTGTATTTATTACTATTAAAGCTTTTTGTTGATTGTTTCTTATTATCTAAATCTTAGTAAACTATTAAAGCTGGATGCATGCTTATGTCCTAGGTAAAGCTGTTATCACAGTGTTAACGATTCAATTGGAAGACATGATTCGTTGTTGAAAAAGTTGCTGATGGAAGACAGGATTCATAGTTGTTGCTGCTGCTACTGATGATGATGTTGCTGCAGGCAGGATGATTTACCAGGGGCGCCACATGCTGGGCTTGGGGCTGACGGCGGCCTCGGATTCCTCGGTGTCGCTGTGATAGCCCGAGGAGGCGGGACTGATGGGACGAGAGGCGGTTTCCAATTGGGATGTGGATGCGGTTGCGGTTGCGGAAGCTGACTGCTGATCGGCCTGAAGCATGCGCTGGAACTCGACGCCCAGGTGCGTCATCACCGTCTTGCCCACATCGACGCTCATGGCCGGGGTGCAGGCCATCACACGGGAGATCTCACTGACGGCATTCATGTAGCCATTCTTGAAGCTATCCATGGGCAGGGGAGCCACTGGCGCCTGTTGGGCCACAACCTGTTTGCGCATGAAGACGAGGGCGGCTTCCAGCATCTCGGCTTTGTCCAGGCGCAGGATGGCATCGTCGCCCTGGAACTCGGCCACAAGTGTCTTCAGCGTGTCCAGGCACTTGTTCATGCGGGCACGTCGCTGGCGCTCCAAAAGGGGCTTCTTCACCTTCAGATAGTGCTGAGTCTTCGACACGAATTGGGTTTCGTTGTTGCTGGTCTGAGGAGCCATTTTTGTTTTATTTCGTTTGGGTTTCGTTTTGTAGAACTGAGCGAGCTGTGGATGTGTGTGGACTGATGGCAGGATGCTGCTCGAATGATGCTGGATTCGACGGCTGCACCGGCTTTTATACCCGCAGCGAGAAGGTCCTTGCTGGAGGACCTGCTACCTGCGGGCACCGTGGAGAGATCTGGAAATCTTATTGCTGTGCGTGCGTGGGAAAGGAAATCGTTTTGGGTCTCTTCTTGGATCCTTTGTATGTGCGTTTTGCTCCTTTCAATTGTCTAGCCAAGGATAAGGAGTAGGAGAAGTGTGTGTTCTGATCCTGGATCCTTTGTAGCTGCAATTAAACCGTAAAATGCTAGCCAAGACGTGAGAACGTGGTCCAGGGACTAGAATTCTGAACTCAGACCCAATTGTCTGCGACAAACTGATTCGGTTTGGGCCAACAAATGAAAATCAAACTGGGTAAAATTGTAATTGTAATTGTCTTGTTTGTGGCTAACTGATCTTTGGATCGTTGAGAGGAGGAAGAAGTAGCACTAGGTCCCTACACAGGATCAGGGCTAGTTAACGATTAAGAGAGGTTTATTGTCCCATTTCTTAAATATCATAAAATGATCTTTAAAATGTTATAATATTGGACAAAAATGTAATAGGGCATTTTAAGAATAATGTAATGATTGCAATATATATTTTTTAATATTTTTCTGAGGTCTAAAATTACTATTTAATGATATTTCTTCGATTTAAATTTGGAAAGATTCCCATAGGTTATACAACAATGCCTTAACTTTAAAGTGTCTAAGAAAAACATTATTTCAATTCCCTTTAATCACATTAGTTCTTAACCCCGATATGACTTTTCAAATTAACGCTACCCTTTCTTTAAGATAAAACCCATTTAATCTTGAGTTTCCTACAAACAAGCATTTGAATCCTTTTTCCCAAATGAAGATCCCTTCTCAGCACATAAATCCTGGCCCTTATAGCCAGGAACAACCCTTAATGGGTTAACCCCAATACCCAATTCCAGATCCAACTCGAATCCCGAGAAAGTGGATAGATTAAGAGGGGTCTTCAGAGGGGTCCCTCTTGCGTTTTGTGTTTTGCTCGATTTTCATATCGTGAGAACCGCTCGAGACGCGTCGTGTGTTTCCCACGCGATGTGCACACCTGCCATTTAAGACGCTTATATGGTTACGATTACAAACACTCACACAGTGCCAGAAGACACCACTACCAAGGCACTTGGCAACACAGAAGCAACAACCAGATGAGGGCACTCCACCACTCCACTCCACTCCATCGTCTGTCTGCTGTCGGCACACATTTATTGCGCCGGCGCGACGCTTATTATCAGCCCAAGTAGCAATCGTCGTGTGACTGACTGCCGACTGGCTGACTGACTGACTGACTGAATGACTGACTGGATGACTGACTGATGGGCCGACTGACTTGACTGACCTACGGATTGACGTCCCGACTGATTGCCGGCTGCTTTACTTTAGTTTTTCACTCTTGTCGCCGTCATTGACGATTGTTTAATTTAAATTGCCGGCTACCAGTCGGTGGGCTTAATGAGTATAAGCCAAAGAAGCACGGCACGAAATTGTATTATGCTTATCATTACTTAAAGCTGACTATCTTAAAGTCAGACCCCTAAAGTTTCAGATAAATACAATGAATGGTTATTGAGTAGCAAAGGTTTATCTGCAGTTTATATTCAATGAATTTCTATAATAAAAATACTACAAAATCCCTTGAAATTTTTAAAATATTTTAATCTCAACTAAAGTGAAATTTCTCTCTGTGCATCATCTGCCAGATTCCGTGGAACTTGTACGCAATAGTTATTTGTAGTTTACGACATGGGCTAATTGAACGAACGCACCCGCAGAAGAAGTTTAACGAGCACTCTGTCATTGATCGAAGCTCCGAGGGCTACCAAGGGGAGTCGGTGTCCAAGTTGGAGTTAAAGCCAGAGTCCCCGGCTCTCGGCTTGTCAATGGGCAATCAAAACATTAATGGGTCCCGCGACAAGGTGAGTGAGAATCCCCCAGTAGCCGGCTGACAGCTTGACTTGGTTGGATATCAGTGATCCATTCGCTCGAATTATGTTGGAGGATGGGGCAGCCAATCCTTTGAGGGATTTATTTATGCCCGACCACCAGTTTTGTTTGTCAGGTAAATGTTGATGGCAAATGTTTATCCATCTATAAATTAGCTGCACGATAAGTGGACAATTGTTGCGAGACATTAGCAGCGAGCCAACGATCCATGGGATACTTGAAATGACTCAGAGTTGGCTTCAAGGCGGAATGACAACTTCCTGGTGTTAATGTTTATGTCTTGAGAACACCATGGGAAAATACATAACCAAGATGTTAGTTCAAGAAGGGGCGAACTTTGTACTTTCCATTTTTATTTAAATATTAAAGAAGATCATTTGTGGTTCTTGTTTAAATACAAATATTGGATTATTACCTTTAAAGACCTGATATTCCCATGGAAAAGTGTTAATGAAAGTTAATTAAAATCTTTACTCTCCTCTTAAAATCCTATACCGAATCGAATATATGATTAATATATAATGATGCAGAATCTATTTATTCAGTTTTTAAATACAATTGCCTTTTGACAATTGCTCCTTTGATGTTCTCTCCCTCTGACTTTAAAGGAGCAAAGATCAGGGACAAGCCTGTTGATCCTCTTTGGTCAATACCCTCTCACTACTATTAAATATATCCAGGTACCTCCCTAATACTCAAAACGCTTCTTCCTAAATGGTGATCTAATTGAAACAATCTTTCCTTTCTACCCCAACTAAAACCCACCCAATGAGACCCCTATTCACTTTGCATTCAATTACCTTTGACTCTGGGAATGTAATCAACCTCAAAACCCACTTTATACACAGCTCGTGCCAAGGAACAACCCTCCTCGTCCAACCCAAACCATCCATATTATGATCCCAGATAAATGCAATTCAATTAAAGGTCTATCAATGAGGACACCTTGCGGATGGGAGTTGTGTGGTGTCCAAGCACGTGACTAGCCCACGTCCAATCAGAGGAGCAGCACTTGTCGTTGGCCACGCGTTCGCCAGCCGCCAAGCTTTTTCTTTACCAAAGCCGCCCAAAAGCAAACATCAATCAGGTGGAAAGCGATTGTGAAATGGACGCGTGACCTGGCGGCGGGCGAAGCAATTAAGCAAAGTTGAACCAACTCGGCTTTCGCTCAGCAGCAGCAGCAGCAAGTGCAATATGTGTCAAAAGGGGCAACAGCAGCAGCAACCATAAATATAAGGCCAGGAACAACCACCACCACCATCACCATCACCACTGAGACAACGAAGTGAGCGGGGCTGTGGCCTAAATTGCAAACAGCTGCCACTCGAACCGTGGGATACTTTTTCCCCTAGCCTCAAAAAAAAAAACGAGATGCTCGCAGGATAGGGGAAGGCAGACACACAGCCCGACCCGGGACGGGCCCTTCATCGAACCTTATCCATGGGAACCACAACTGCTCAACGCTCTCAATATTTACTCTGCATTGAAACAGAAAAAAACAACGAGGATGATGTTGCAGAAGGAGGTGGAGGAGTAAGAGTACGCCAGGAGTTGGGGGCAAACGAGATTATCCTGCACGTGTTGAGCTTGCTTCGAAAGCGTGGCTGGCGCGGGATGAAGCTGCCTCGGCTGCTGCTCCTGCGCAGAGTTTGGACATGTGGCAGGCACATGTGGCACTTGTTGTGTTCAGTTGGGTGGTTGGTGGTTTTTTGGGTGGTGACTATCCTTGTTCCCTGGCTATAAAAGCAGGACACTTGCTGTCAAACCACAACAGTTGAAATTCGCCACTCAAAGCGTTGAAAACTCTGAACTTTAGAGAAGTGAAACTAGAAGATAATCATGTCGAAAGTTAAGAATTTATTAGCCAAAATGCTGCAGCGATTTGGCAAGAGCAGCAGCTCGCATAGCGACAGTCAGCGATACGACAGTCTGGAGGAGATTGCCCAGAACCAGGCCAATGAGCGAATGCTGATGGCCACACAGGCTGGGATGGAGGAGCACTTGGTAATCTGCCTGGAGACGGCGGCGGGCAGTTTCTATTGGCACTCGCAGTAGCAGCAACAGCAGGAGGAGAAACAACAGGAGGAGCAGCAGCAGCAACAGCAGCAACAGCAGCAGCAGCAGCAGCAACAGGAGCAACAGCCATAACTTCCATAAGGAGAAGATGTCAAGGAGAGGACGAAAGATACTGCAACTGGAGCAGCAAAAATATGCAAATCCATGCAACATCCAGAACCAGCAACAACAACTATAAGGATTGATTCCATATTCACAGCCGGATGTTCTTCAGAAGCAGCTACTTTGCTCAACAACATCCTTAAAAATCTAAGTGAAATCAAGGAAAAGGAGCTAAAGGCTCATTTTAACTTTCAACATCATCAAAAGTCAAATAATTGCTGCAGTATCACCAGAAGGAGCTGTTTACCAACAATCACAGAATCAGCAACATTTCCAAGGCAACCGTGAACAACAGTCACTTCTGCCATAGCAAAAACAAAAACCGGTAGTTGAATGAATGAATAAGACTCAACATATCTTTCTATGAATGAATGAATAGAGCTGCGAATCGAATCGAGTTGCGTGCCAGCTACTAAGAACAAGCATCCAACTAGCTGCAACAAGGAACCTCAAACATCCTGTCCAATTGGAAAGTAAAAACTCGATAGGTGTTAATTAAAAGCCATAATAAATACGTTTTGTGATATGCACTCAAACTTAGTTACTCTAGAATAAATGTTAATTAGCTTATAAGAATGCTAAATATATATAATGAAAAATTAATTGAAATTAATGCTGTCTTATTATTGGGTACTTGGCATTCAGGAAAATCAATCCAATTGGTTTCTGATTAAAATGGAAAACCAACAAATGTCGGGTATTAAGACATTTGTTAAGAGGTTTATGAGGTTTAATTAGATATATATTGTTAACTGATTGGTTATTGTTTGGGGAAAATAACAGCTTCTGTTATGGTTGTTTTTGGGAATTATTTTGTAATGCTACTTGTGAGGAGTAGATCTGGGATATATTAAATATCAAAACATTATCAAAAGGTGAACAAAATCATTATGAAACTAAATAACCCTCAAGGAAATTTTAAAAGCTGTTTATTGGAGTTATATCTTAACTTAAACTCCAAGCGTATGTAAATAATAAAATTGATAAAAAAAATAGATACATCATAAATTTAAACCAACTATTAAATTCATAAAAGAACACTCCTTAAGCACTCCATTTTCACAAAAGTATTTTTATTATGTATTATTAGGTATTTTAAATAAATTGATAATTTTTTTATTATAAATTTATAATATATATATTTTATTATATAATTATAATTTATAATTGATAATTTTTTATTATAAATTTATTTAAAACATATATTCAATATTTCTAATTTTCTAATTAACCCGAGAAAGATTCCAAGTTCTTGAAAACTGATTAAATAATTCTCCCAAAAATGGAAATCAAAGCTCAACCCGCATATCCGGGCTTCCCGGCTAATCGCAATCCATGATAATCGCAGCGCTGTCATTCCGCATAAAATGATAATAATTTCCTGTCGCAGATTCTACTCAAGCTCCACATGCTAAAAAAAAAGTGCAACTCTTTATTTTTTTATTCGCATTGCATTTCATTCGGTTTTATTGCGCATGCGTGGCAAGCTTCCAGCGGGGCAGGGCCCTTTGCGCTTTATTTATTTTTTACATTTATTTTTTTTCTGCTGCTGCTACTGCTGCATGCGTCAGTCGCGCGTTTGGCGTGCCAGGCATGCGCACACATATTCAATTACACGGCAGCAACATCCATCGCAACAGCAACTACATCCAGCAGCAGCAACAACAACAGACAGCAGCAGCAGCAGCGATTATAGCGTTGCATTGACAATAAGCCAACCCCGTTGCGTGCCCCTATTAAATAAAAAAAGAACCCGAAGCTGGCCATGTGCAGCTCAAAAAATTTTCTCACACTCGGCCAGAAAAATTGTAACGGCCAGACGCACACTCTCGGCACACCATCTTCCCCTCTGTCGTCTCTCCGCTCTCCCTTTTCGAGCGCACACTTCCTGCCTTGCGTTCCTCCTATATTGTTTATATAGTTAACGAATGCGATACATTTAATCTTTAGTGTGTGTCAATTTGCCGTACAGTCATTTAGTTTGCATGTCCCTCGTCGATCGACCATCGAACCATCCCTTTTTTTTTTGTGCCTATTTTTCCAGTTTCCAGGTCCCACGATGATGATGTCCCCGGCAATATGGATATACGTGCCCAGGAATACGAATGCAAGAGTATATGTATGCCACTTAGCGATCCCCGGATCCCAGTTCCCGAGTCCAAGTGTTCAACAGAAGCTACAGTTCAGCATTCATAATTGACAACGAAAGAGAGGGTCAGAGGAGACGGAGGGACGGAGGGACAGAGGGCCAGAGGGGACGGAGGGCCCAGAGAGCGAGGCCCACGACTGACAAGAAGAAAAAAATTAAATAAAATAAAGGGCAGGTGGTAGTTTTTTTTTTCTTCACTACTACCCGTGACTCGCACTCGCACAGCTCGGTCAGATTTACACTGGTTCCAGGACATTTGAAAAAGGAATACAATATTTTCTAAATGAATTTCATGAATTTCTAAAGTGTATAAGAAAGAAATGATATTTTAATATAGTTATAATACCTTATTTTTTAAGAAACCCCCAACTAATCTGCTGAGAACACCTTCCAGAAAACTATTTCTATCTTAAACATCTGTGCAAAGTAATATCTGCACATGTGTTACCTCCTTAACCTTCGGCTACCCAACTTTTTTCCAAAATTCAGGTTCCCACACAGCCGGAAAATTAACCATAGCAAGTAGAAACAGGCAACCGAAAGATCCGTAGGATACAAAGTACAAAATCACAAAACCTGCGTGAAACACCTTCCACAAAACTCCTAACAGTTCGACCATAGACGCCTAGAAATTCCACAAACAGCAAGAACCTTTCAAAACCTCACATTCCTGTTCCCAAAACAGTTTTCAAAATTAACCATGGCAAGTAGAAAACATCCCACGAAATATCCGTAAGATACAATGAAGTCAAACCTGCAAGAAGTATCTCACACAAAAGTCCTTAAACTGCACATTTTCGTCCAGAAAAACCCCATTTACAGGACTCATGTTCACACATTTTCCCAGACAGTTTCGAAAATTAACCATAGCAAGTACCGAATCTGTAAGATACAAAGTACCAAACCTGCCAGATATATACCTTCTTGAATGTCCTTAAATTGCACACCTTGGAAAAACCTAAAAACCATATCCCAAAAACTTAGGTTCCCACGATCACCTAGAGAAGAATTTTACAAATTAACCGTAGCAAGTACCGGTACACGAAGCGTATAATCCTTGGTCCGTACATTTCACGTAGTTGGAAAAGCCGTAAAAACTTCATTGAAACACGGGCAATTGAAAATTCCCGCATATGTTGCCATGGTTTGGCCCACTGTGCCATGTGCACAAGGGCTCAAAACTCCAGTGCTCGGAGCTCCGAGCTCGGGACTCGGGACTCGGGACTCGCACACGGGACTACCTCCGATTATAACTTATAACACCAACGAGCGAGAAAAATCTTGTGGGAAACTTGAGGGCAAAGTGTTTCCCACGATTCGAATGTCAGTGGAAAGGAAAACAGAGAAGCAGCATGTGCAACCACCGTGGCCCTACCACCACCACCACCACCAGAACCAGAGCTGCACCATCGCATCATCATCCCCTGCCAAGAGTCATGAGCACCACACAGTTGTGGACAAGATATTAGAGGTTCTTTTATGTTATCAGTAGAGTTTCAAAAATTGAGAAAAAATAATTCAATAGTAAAGTATTAATAATAATTGTCTGAATTTTATAAAAATTAATATGAAGACTCTTATATCTCTTATATATCTTTCTTACTTTCATTTTAATGAAGTTCAAAAAAATTAGGAAAACAACTTTTCAAAAGGTTTTCAAGTGTTCCCTTGGATATATATTTTAGAAATAACTATTCGTAGAAATACTCATAAACTTATAAATTCTAGAATCATCAACATTGATTTGTCTATATGTATAAAAAACTGTATTTAAACAAAATATATTATTTTTTAATTCAAATATTAAATTTAACCACATGAAACCTACTTCTTTGACCCCGTCTGTAGCCCAAAACTTGTTTGTTTGTGGAGAAAAACCCACCACCGAAACTGCAGAGGATCGTGTCCCAGTGACTGAGTAATTTGCTCGGCAGGTGGTGTTCTCTGCCGGCTTTCCAGCTCTCTTGAGTCGCTCTCTGCCAGCGTGCGTTGAGCACGAGGCGGCACGTGCAGGTATAAAAGCAGCGGTAACCGGAGACGAGGCAAACACTTCCAACTCAAACGTCGTGCAGTCCACATCTCAGGAGTAACTTCTCCCAAGAGTTCCGAGTTCTTCTCAAGTTAACAAGAAAACAAATCACAAAAACCGCATCGCAATGGCCACCAAATACGAGATGTCCAAGACCTATCAGTACCGCAAGGTGATGAAGCCCCTGCTGGAGAGGAAGCGCCGCGCCAGGATCAACAAGTGCCTGGACGAGCTCAAGGACCTGATGGCCGAGTGCGTGGCCCAGACCGGCGATGCCAAGTTCGAGAAGGCCGATATACTGGAGGTCACAGTGCAGCATCTGAGGAAGCTGAAGCAGGCCAAAGTGCAGCCCAAAGCTGATCCCGAGCAGAGTTTCCGCGCCGGCTACATTCGGGCAGCCAACGAGGTCTCCCGCGCCCTTGCCTCCCTGCCACGTGTGGATGTGGCCTTTGGCACTACTTTGATGACCCATCTGGGCATGCGCCTCAACCAATTGGAACAGCCCATGGAACAGGCTTTGGCCGTGAACACACCACTCTCCATCATCTGCGGCTCCGGCTCCAGCTCCATCTCCAACTCGAGTGCCAGCTCCTGCTCCTCCATCAGCCCCGTGTCCAGCGGCTATGCCAGCGACAACGAATCCCTGCTGCAGATCAGCAGCCCTGGACAAATGTGGCGTCCCTGGTAAACATCCAGCATCCTGGAATCCAGACACATAACTTCCACCTTCGGGCAATCGCGCAATGGAACTGCAGCTTTAGAAAATGCTTTACAATGATCCTCATTTATTTGTTACGTTACCAAGTTTTAGGTTTCTAAGTTAAGTCTGTGATAGGGCACGCTTTATACACTTTTGTCAGAAATCAATCGAGCAAAAGTCTGTTTTAATTCTACTTTAATACAAATGTTTACCAGCTAAGAGATCTCAGAAACTATACAACAAGAAAATACATACATATATAGAACAAGAAAAAGAAATGAAATATAAAATGAAATATGAAAAGAAATTGAACTTACATCTTCTTATTTGGGGGAATAATTCTTTTACAGGTAACACTTATGGGTTTACGATGTTCGAGATCCTGATACCAATAGGAAAATGTTCTAAGAAATACGGATGAAAATTAACTTTATAATTGGCTTATTAATTAAGTTAATTAACTATTCATATCGACTTTAAATTTTACACAAATTATTAAATGCCTATTTCCATTTTTGGATGAATAAAATAAATAATAGCACTATTTGGCATTATTTATAGCTCTAGAAAATAAATAACAGAAATAAATTTAAAAGAACATACACTTGAAAATTTAATATCCGGACCTTCCTAAAAATTATATTCATTATATTACAACCCATCATTATTTTAAACGAGCTAAATTAAATGTTGAAGTAACAAGATAAAAATAATAAGAAAACATGATGCCTTAATGGGTAGTCAATTTTAATTTAATGCTGGCTTTATTAATATCAAACGACTACATCGTGAAATCTATCAATTAGCCTTATGTTTTATAGATAATAAAGATTTAAATTGTCATTAACTTAAGGTCGAACGTTTCTTCATTGAATATATATAATTTAAGGTTTATGTGTTCAATATTTTGGCACTTACAATTGATTGGGAAATGCATACCTCAGAATGTGAGCTTAAAATATACATAGAATCCACCAAATTTAAATAATATTCAAAAGATAGTTAATTTAATTGTTCTCTTCTTTTATTTTGATATAAAAACAATTATGTTTCTGTTGGGAAAACGCCTGATTTAATACTAACATCCTTTAACTTTTACTATTATAATGCGCATCATGATATTCCCTTATTTGTAATCTTAAAACTCCATTAAATACCAATCTCTGATAAATCATATATGTGTTACTTATTCGAGAAGACTCAGGTAACATATCCACAATAAGACTAAACATCTCCTCACTTCCCTTTATCTATTTGAAGAGGTCATTCAGACATAACAACCTAATAGGTTTCATTAATAAAAGTTATCAGGGGGCACACAATATTCTATGCCAAAGGTAAACCTCTTCAAAAAGCATTCTATAATGTGTGAACATCCCCTGCGAGTACAAAAAGATCAATCAAATATTACTAAATCACCAATTAAAAGCCAATTAGGGGAGATGTGCATATCCCAGGTAGGAACTCATACCCCTCCAGGTACAAGGACCTCCCATCCCTTGTCTATTTGAATAAGTCCATTAAACATGACCACATCTTAGCAACCAATCAAGGGGGGTTCACCGGGAGGAACAAGCACATCTCACGTGTGTGTAAGCATTCCAGCACATGCCTCACCCGGGGCCACAACCTCAGCCACGAGCTGGGCACGCGGGGCACACTTCCTGCGCCCGTCCAACCCACCGTCCGACCTCGTCCCCCTGCCAGCCCACCAGAGATCACGATTGAGCAACAACAACAGCAACAGCAACAAACCACCAAGACGACCCAGCACGAAGCCAATATGCCACATCCACTAATTGTGTCCAATAAACACTCGTCGAGGGGCAGTGTGGGAACGGAAAGCGGAGCCAGGAGTTCGAGGATCGTAGCCAAGAGTAGGGGCATTATGCCATCATCGTCTGCAGGCATTGATGAAACAATAAGCGAGTAGATGGCACGGCAGGATAACAATGCCAGAGCAGCCCACGCACAACCAGATATCCCTGAACCACACACACATCCCCTCCCCTCCCCTCCCCAGACTCCGACTCCGACTCGGATCGGATCGGGATCTCACTCCATCGCTCCAGCGACAGGATGAGGCAGTGAAGTATGCATTAAGGATAATAACACCGGCCCAGAAAGCAATGCGAACAAGGGCCAGCCAAAAACAGCGACAGCTGCAAAAATGTGCCCTGATCCTTAAACTCGAAGCGGAGCGGAGCGAAGCATGTGGCCAAAAGGGAAAACAAACGAGAAAAAATTGTGTGAGAAACTTACTTTCAGCTCGGTTCCCACGCCACGAGCCACAAGGATTGTCCTCCGTCCTCCGAAGCGTGTTGCAGCTGTTCCTTCCGACAGAGACGGCCTGCTCCATGGCAGCCCCTGTGCGCAACAGAGAGGGCACGAAGGTGCGTACAGGGAGGGTGGATTTCAGGGCTCAAGGGAGAGCTATAAAAGGGACGACCTGGTCGGAGCAAAGTATCATTCCTGATTCTGCCAGCAACAAGGCAACACAGCAACACAAGCAAACCGTTGCGAGAAGAAAGATATCTCAAATATTTCAAATATTACGTATTACTCGAACGTGAATAACTAAAAATGGAATACACCAGCAAGACCCAGATCTACCAGAAGGTGAAGAAACCCCTGCTGGAACGCCAGCGACGGGCCCGCATCAACAAGTGCCTGGACAACCTGAAGACACTTGTCGCCGAGCTCCGTGGCGACGATGGCATCCTGCGCATGGACAAGGCCGAGATGCTCGAGTCGGCGGTGATCTTTATGCGCCAGCAAAAGACCCAGAAGAAGGCTGTGGAGGAGCTGCCCCTGGATGGCTTCAAGAATGGCTACATGAATGCCGTCAATGAGGTGTCACGCGTCATGGCCTCCACACCTGGCATGAGCGTCGACCTGGGCAAATCGGTGATGACTCACCTTGGCCGCATCTACAAAAACCTGCAGCAGTTCCACGAGGCCCAGACCACCACCACCACCACCACCGATGACCTTCACATCCCGATGGACTGCTCCGCACCCCTCAGCCCCGCCTCATCCGGTTATCACAGCGACTGCGACAGCCCCGCCCCCTCACCACTACCCCTGGAAGCCGAGAAACTATGGCGCCCCTGGTAAAAAGGGACACTCGAGATGGAGGGGGAAGGTGGAGAAAAGGATCAATTAACGCATCTGTGATAGCCCAACTGTGATGGCAACAAAATAGCAAAATGAAAACCAATTAGCAAACGATAAAAAAGAAATACAAACAAATCGTAAATGAAAATCAAAACAGCTTACTTTTTTGGGTTCTTGGTGGGGGAAATTGTACCTTTCAGCAACTTGAAATTCTTGTAAATATTTCTTAATTTAATTGTTTTTGGGAGGACCGAAGACCTTGTAGGAATTGGTAATCCCTCAATTACTAAGTCAACTTCTAATCTTAATAAAAGTCAATTAACTTATAAAATAAACAAGAAAATAAAACTAACTTCGGGCTGCCAATGCTTATATAGTCTTGCAGTTGTTTATTGAATTATAGAATCGAATAAGGAAATCGAAAATAACTAGGTATAATATATTCACAATTTTTTCGACGAATCAAAATTTAAAAAACTCATAACTAACCCAAAAATGCATTAATTTTAATTCGGAAAGCAGCCCTATGATAGTTTTTATTAGGTAAATAAATCTGCATACTAAATTAAAAATTAAAAAAAATCAATTTTTTGACAATTTTTAAATATTGTACATATGCAAAATTAATGCTTGTAAAAATGTAAAAAAAAATTTAAATTTCGAAAGATTTGGCTGATGATGCTGATCAATAATATATATGATTTAAAGGGTCGGAAATGACTCCTGACAGCGTTACAAGCTTCTGACCAAGCTTTAATACCATTCTTTAAGCGGATATGTATTTATCTATATTTTTGTGACAATATTGTAAACAAATCAAAGTTTAAAAAACATGTAACAAAGCCAAAAATGTATTTTCCCGGCGGAGATGTCTAAATCAATTCAACTGTTAATGCTGATTAAGAATATTTATGAGTTATAGGGTCGAAAAAAGGTCAGTCTGTCGGTTACAAGCTTATGACTAAAATCAAAATACCCCGCATGGGTTTAAAATAATATTTTAGTTTCTTAAAAAACGTACTTTTTCGTGTGTTTAAAAACAATTAGCACAGTTTATGTATCATTTTAAATTAATTTTATTTTTAATAAAACATTGAATATATATTTGATTTATTTTACAATATAAATTGAGAACCAACATCATGTCAATAAAACGTAATCATTTTTTGAATAATGCTTTTTATGGAAATGGGAAAATTAGCTTGTTTTATTTTAACTTATCCTATAATTTTGATACAAGTTAAAAGAAAAAAATTTACTTAACTATTCAACCTTACATTGTTTAATGAAAAAACGATTCCTAGAATAATATTTAAAAGCATTTAAATGCCGCGTTCCGTTTGCCCGCCAAAATTTTAAAATTCGAGCTCGAGTGCTCAAGTGTGACCAGCTTCGTTGCCTTAAATCGCCAATTCCAGTAAGCAGTGCGAGCGAGAGCGAGATGGAAAATAACGAGGGAGCGAAAGGGAAAATAGCGAGAGCGCCGCCGCCAAAAGAAACGAGTACCGAGTTCTCTCTCGCGCCGCCGCCGAAACGAGCGAGTAGAGAGAGCGCCGCCGCCAAAGCTGCCCAACACATACACGCTGTCAGACAGTTCGCGTCGGTCGGCAAAAAGGCAATTTTATACGGGCGAAAATTTGTAAAAACGAAGAATTACCCAGTTTTAAATAGATTTCGGTCGGCTGCAGGGAGAGAGAGCGAGGGCAAACGGTCGCGCAGACCGATAAAACGTGCTAATCCGCGACATAAAACTGGTACTGCCATTATCTCGCCTTTTTTAATTGCTTTTGTTTATTTTTTGTATCGGACACTATAATTTTCTTTTGCGCTGTGCCCGTGTCGGTGTGCGCGTGTGTGCGTGTGTGTGATTTGGCCACTCGCTGATGTCTATGGATGTGTCCAGACCAGGGTTGCCGCCCTCGGCACGAAAACATTAAAAACAGCCTGGCTATACTAAAATAAATTCAAAAACATTAAATATTCTATCAGACAACTTAAAAAAACACGCATCCGATGTGTAAACAATTTTCTAAAATTTAAAGTCAAAGTCATTGAACCACATTTGGTGCTTGAGCCGGCCTGACAACCCTGTTTAATTGCAGTCTGTCTGTATATGTTCGTATGTTGTTTGTGCAGAGTGTGCTGTCTTTGGCTGAGAAAAAGTGCTATATTTTGCGCGGATAAATCCCGCCCCGGCCATTGGAACAATTCGCATAAAGCCGCCGATCGGCCCGGAAAATCAAACGGAGATTTTGCGTAACAATTTCGGCCACATGCAACATTGCGCTTGATTTTTCGGCGGTAAACACTCACACTCACACTCCCGTTTTTGCGCTGGTGTGTGTGTGTCTCGCTGGCTCGGCCATTGCGTGTGCGTGTATTGGTGTGTGCGTGTGTGTGTTGGTGTGTGCGTGCTGCGAACGTATCGAAAAAAATGGTGCAAAAATATATGAAAAAAGCATAACTAAGAAAATGTAAAATTCCATCCGCAGGATATGCAAAAACGCTCGCGAAGGGTTTTCAGTGTTCAGCGACAATAACCGGAAGGCAGGAGGGACGGGAAGGCGGCCGGATAAGCAGGAGCACGACGAGGACTTGCGCTCATCCGGGAAATCGGTGGAGACTGCTGCACTGGCTCCGAAATCCACCTCGGGACTGATACCAGCCGGCAACATAGTAAAATAACATGTATCCCTCACCGGTGCGTCACCCCGCCGCCGGGGTAAGTTCTCCACTAAATCCGGTGTCTTGTCCCTGTGCTAATCTCCACCCCACGTGTCCACCTATCCAATAGGGACCACCACCTCAGGGCCCAATCAAATTCACCATCGCCGACACACTGGAGCGCATCAAGGAGGAGTTCAACTTCCTGCAGGCGCAGTACCACAGGCAAGTCCAGACCCTGTCCTCCAGAACATAGCGAAGCCTCACCACCTAATGATGAACTAAATTAAAACCGAAATCAGATTATACATCAGAATTAATGGTTCAATAGAAAATGTTGTCAATTATCTATTAAATACTAGTCATTTCTCATTAGAACATTCAGTTTAAGATCAGATTATTCAAGTTAAAACCATTTAATTCAATTGTCGATAGTTTTCCCTTATCTATACTTGTTATTAAGTCAATTTAAATTAGTTTTCCTACATAAAATACAAAGTTTAAGAGTCCCTTCACGGAGCACACCTTGATTAAGCCCTACCGAAACACATTCAAAAACCGTTCCGAGCCTTCGCTGTACTGCCGCATGAGCCTGCAGCAGTGTGAGTGTGGATGCTGCGTCTCCGTTTTGCGAAAAGTAAAACAAAAAGCTGAGCAAACCGGTTTGGCGCGCCATATGCGCCGCTGTCATAGGAATAACCTGCGCCGAAGCCACCGCTCCATGCTCCATGCTCCATGCTTCAAGCTCCACGATTGCCGCTTCCTTGCGTTCAGTTCGCTTCCGTCGCCCAACTAATTTGCCCGTTGATCATTTTTCCTGTGAATTCCAGCATCAAATTGGAGTGCGAGAAGCTGTCGAACGAGAAGACGGAGATGCAGCGCCATTATGTTATGGTAAGTCGTCATGATCCGCAAATTATCAGAGCCTCTTAGCTAATGCTTTGCCCTTGGCAGTACTACGAGATGTCCTATGGCCTTAACGTGGAGATGCACAAGCAGACCGAGATCGCCAAGCGGCTGAATACGCTGATCAACCAGCTACTTCCATTCCTACAGGCCGACCACCAGCAGCAGGTGCTGCAGGCGGTGGAGCGGGCGAAGCAGGTGACCATGCAGGAGCTCAACCTGATCATTGGGGTAAGTGGATGGAACACGGACAAATGGTGGATTTGTGGATGATGGATTCCTCAGCAACAGCAGCAGCAACATGGGCACTGCAAATCTCAGCTAGAGTCGAACTGGGATGTGGGCGTTTCGGGAAGGCGAATTAACGCGAATTGTTAAATCATATTTAAAGGAATCACAGAAAGACGTGAACAATCAAATTGCAACTGTTTATTAGGAAATCTGTTAGAATGTTAAACTTTCTTAGACATTTAAGCTGATTATTGTGTTAGAAAAGTTGATTCCCTTGTAAATTGATCCCGAGTTTCATAAATTTCTGTGATTTCCCTTGTTATGATCAAGTGGGGAGCATATCGTTTTCTTTCGCGTTCTAGGGCAACATTTGATTTCAGTTTGTTTTTTCTACTTCCTAATTTGTTATGATTTTGCATTCGACCACTCTAAAAATCCAAACAACGTTGTGCAGCATCAGCAGCAACATGGAATACAGCAACTTTTAGTAAGTTTGTTTCGTTGCAATTCATTTACTTATTTTTGTTTGTTTACTGTTGCCGTCTGCCGCTGCATCCGCCGAATGTGCCACTGCCACAACTACAACAACTGCTCCAGTGCCGCCTCACAATAATGTTTCCCTAGTTCCAACTTTCTGATTGTTCATATTTTTATACCCTTGCAGGGTATTATAATTTCAGTCAGAAGTTTGCAACGCAGTGAAGGAGGCACCTCCGACTATATAAAGTATATATATTCTTGATCAGGATCAACAGCCGAGGCGATCTAGCCATGTCCGTCTGTCCGTCTGTCCGTCTGTCCGTCTGTCCTTCTGTCCGTCTGTCCGTCTGTCCGTCTGTCCGTTTCTACGCAAACTAGTCTCTCAGTTTTGAAGCTATCTGAATGAAACTTTGTAGTTAGCCTTGTATATACTCTCACTCGTATATATGTCGGAACGGGCCGGATCGGACGACTATATCATATAGCTGCCATAGGAATGATCGGAAAATTTTTACAAAAAATTTTTTAACTTTTTCAGTTTTCAATAGAATTGAATCAAATTTGAGATATAGCCATTTTCCTATACTCTACAATTTTGCATAAAATTTTATGAAAATCGGACTACTATATCATATAGCTCCCATAGGAACGATCGAGAAATTAATACAATTAAATTTATAACTTTTTTAGTTTTCAGCTGATTTTCATCAAATTTAAGGTATAGCCATTTTATATTAGTCTTAAATTTTGTGTCAAATTTCATAAAAATCGGACGACTATATCATATAGGTGCCATACAAACTATCGTTTGATGTAGAGGAAAAATGCAAATCTGCGAATGTAAAACTGAAAATATAATATGTATAGGTGAATGAAATGAAAGCAGGTATTACTTCATTGTTTTTTAACACAAATAAATATAATTTATATTGTTGAGATTCCAAGTCATAGAAGTTATATCTGCAAGGGTATATAAACTTCGGCGTGCCGAAGTTAGCTTCCTTTCTTGTTATTTATTTATTTTTTTAAATAACGCTTCAAATGCCGCAGAATTGTTGTTGCTGTTCCTATTAACATTAGATGGTCGGAATTTGATTAAGCAGAATTAATATGGTTATCAGTTTTTGGTTCAGATGAAGTATTTACATATGGTTTAGATGTTATTAGTTTTGATATATTTTATATAAACATTGTATGTAGCACAAAACGAAACTAACGTAAAATTGCACCTAACTCAACCATACTTCAAAATCAATCTTAAATTCAAAACAATAAAAAAAAAAGGATAATGACAAGTCTTTAAATAGCTTGAAGCCCTTGCAAATTAAACAATATATAAAGATTTTAGCGACTAAATTTCAAATATTAACATTTTCAAAACTCAAATCCAAATAGAATATAAATTCGTTCGTAAAACTAACGAAAATAAGCATTTTAAACTTTCGTAACAAATTGTTTTCTATTTATAGGCAAAATATGGTTTCCATAAAGATTAAGACCATTTAGTGTTAATGTTGTTGTTGTTGTTACACACACACAAACATACACATTCCAATGCTTTCATTTTCTCACAAAGCACGATGTTAATTTGGAAAAAAAAAAGCCGCCGCCCACGCATATGCCTGAATTAATAAGATCTCTTGGTTCCATTGCAGCAACAGATCCACGCCCAGCAAGTGCCGGGCGGACCGCCACAGCCAATGGGTGCATTGAATCCATTTGGCGCCCTGGGCGCCACCATGGGTCTGCCACACGGACCGCAGGGTCTGCTGAATAAACCGCCCGAGCATCACAGGCCGGACATTAAGCCCACGGGCCTGGAGGGACCAGCAGCCGCCGAGGAGAGATTGGTAAGTATTAAGAGCTCCCCATAATTAGAGCCCATTTTAATGCTGATGTTGCAGCGCAATTCGGTTTCGCCGGCTGATCGTGAGAAGTACCGCACACGCTCGCCGCTGGACATAGAGAATGACTCGAAGCGTCTAAAAAATGAGAAACTGCAAGTGAGTATTTCGAGCTTTTGTTGGTATTAGCATAACGTCGGTAGTATTATCATCCATCCATCATCGATAACTACTGTCATCTCTCACCTCATCTCATCTAAGCTGAGCTGTTGCTGTCTCTCAACTCACCAAAAAAACAAATAAACTAAATCGTAGTCTATCATTTGTAGTCGTTGTCTAATTCTGCTAACACCTTCCAAACTCATGCTAAACAAAAAGTGTACTGCTAATTTATAAGAGACAAGCTAGAGACAAAAAAAAAACAATAACTAAACGCAATAAATCACGATTTAAGGGGCCGGTTCTCCGATTTACACTTGCTCATAGTTTAATGGGTTTCTGTTTGTCTGAAAATAAAAATATTAACCAGATTACTTAAAAAATTAAAAGATATAATCCTTGTCTTCGAAAATTTGAATATAAATACTTTTGGTTAAGGGCTTAGTAACTCAATAACATGTATGTCCTTGAAGAATAACCTAAATATAAATAATTAAACTGTTTTATTTTTATAATAATAATTTGAAGATCCCTTCTAGCGAATATTTTCCTTTAAATGGAAGTTTATAAATAAATAATGCATAAATATTACCCAGAGCAGTTTAGATAGTTATAAAATATAGATTTAAAATTAAAACGTAATCAAGTCATACCCAGGTCAGGACCGAATAAGTTGCTATTGTTGTTGTGATTGCTATGGTTGTTGTGGCTATTGTTATTGCTTACTGTTGTTCTTTGTGGGTTTTTGTATGAATTTTGATTTATATTGTTTTTGTATTTTTTTCAAAATTATTTCCAGGACGATGAAGGCGAGAAAAGCGATCAAGATTTAGTCGTAGATGTTGCAAATGAAATGGTGAGTTGAGTGTCGGCCCAGATCAATGCAACCATTCCCAAATTCCCCTTACAAAAAAAAAGAAACTATTAAGACCAATGCCTCACCCTACACATTGTGTTTCTTGCCGACTTAACAACCCTTTGTTTCGTATCTACTTTTTAGGAATCCCACTCACCACGCCCCAATGGCGAGCACGTGTCCATGGAGGTGCGCGATCGGGAAAGCCTAAATGGCGAGCGGCTGGAGAAGCCCAGCAGTAGTGGCATCAAACAGGAACGTCCGCCCTCACGCTCCGGCTCCAGTTCGTCACGTTCCACACCCAGCCTCAAGACAAAAGATGTAAGATCTAATTAAATAAGCAAGAAAGTATATCAATTAATTGATATTAATTACATTTAGATGGAAAAGCCGGGCACACCGGGCGCTAAGGCACGCACACCGACACCCAACGCTGCCGCTCCAGCGCCGGGCGTTAATCCTAAACAAATGATGCCGCAGGGACCACCACCAGCCGGCTATCCGGGGGCACCGTATCAGCGACCGGCCGATCCCTACCAGCGTCCACCGTCGGATCCAGCCTATGGACGACCGCCACCAATGCCGTACGATCCACACTCACATGTGCGAACCAATGGCATTCCACATCCCTCGGCCCTGACGGGTGGAAAGCCGTAAGTGCCTTTGCTATTCACTATTCTCTTATACATAATATAATTTAATATATAATTTACCCTTTACAGTGCATACTCTTTCCATATGAACGGTGAGGGTAGCCTACAGCCGGTGCCGTTTCCGCCGGACGCGTTGGTTGGTGTTGGAATCCCCCGGCACGCCCGTCAGATCAACACACTGTCGCACGGAGAAGTTGTCTGTGCGGTGACCATCTCCAATCCCACAAAATATGTGTACACGGGCGGCAAGGGCTGCGTGAAGGTGTGGGACATCTCGCAGCCGGGCAACAAGAATCCAGTCAGCCAGTTGGATTGCCTGCAGCGTGACAATTACATCCGGTCGGTGAAGCTGCTGCCCGACGGGCGCACGCTGATCGTTGGCGGCGAGGCCTCTAACCTGTCCATCTGGGACCTGGCCAGCCCAACGCCACGCATCAAGGCGGAACTGACCTCGGCGGCGCCGGCCTGCTACGCCCTGGCCATTAGCCCTGACTCGAAGGTGTGCTTCTCGTGCTGCAGCGATGGCAACATCGCGGTGTGGGACCTGCACAACGAAATCCTGGTGCGCCAGTTCCAGGGCCACACCGACGGCGCCTCGTGCATTGACATCAGTCCGGACGGCTCCAGGCTGTGGACGGGCGGCTTGGACAACACGGTGCGCTCCTGGGATCTGCGCGAGGGTCGCCAGCTGCAGCAGCACGACTTTAGCTCTCAAATATTCTCGCTCGGCTACTGTCCCACAGGTAATGAAAGCCTATTGAGCAGCAAAAGTTATTCCTTTTAAGACATATTAACTAAACCTTGTTATTTTCATATAAAGAATCTATAGTAATCCTATTTTCACATAATTAAATACACTTTTTAGGCGACTGGCTGGCTGTGGGTATGGAGAATTCGCACGTTGAGGTGCTGCACGCATCGAAACCGGACAAGTATCAACTGCATCTGCACGAGAGCTGCGTTCTGTCGCTGCGCTTTGCCGCCTGCGGCAAATGGTTTGTTTCCACCGGCAAAGACAACCTGCTTAACGCATGGAGAACACCCTACGGTGCCAGCATATTCCAGGTGAGTTCGAATGCCTTTTTCTAGGTGTTTCAGTTGGATTCTAATCTGCTATCTTTATGGTTTCAGTCGAAGGAAACATCATCCGTACTTAGCTGCGACATATCAACTGACGACAAATACATTGTGACGGGTTCGGGCGATAAGAAGGCTACTGTCTACGAAGTTATTTATTAAATCCACAAAACCAAGCAGTTTTTTCATTTTGTAATAAGCTCGTATAGTTTTTATTACAACAACAAAAGCAAAAAACAATTAACTACAACAAACAAAATGTTCGAAATCATGCAAATAATATAAAACAAAACACCAGCAACAGAAAGAAGCAGCATCGGGAGTAAAAAGAAAGAAACAAAAAAGAAACATCAACAGAAGGCAGCAGTAGCAACGCATCAAAAAGCGAAGCAAAAATGAAAATTCTATAATATATATATATACAAAACGGAAAAAACTAAAATTTTAAGCGTACTTTTAGCTACTAAGCCTAAGCTAAGTCCAATAAAAAAGAGAAACCAACAACAAAACCAAGTTGAACACACAAATTGCAAGAAAAGAAAAAGAAACTTTAAAAATAGAACAAGAGAGAAATAAAATTGATAATGCATGCGAGCAACAGAAACGAATGAGAGTATGTTGTAAAAGAAACAGAAATAGTCGGCGATACCTACCTACGTTCATCTTGACATAAAAAACAAAAACAAATAGAAGGATAAGTGCAGGGTCTGCCTGGATTAGTCATTGCAAGTGCATGAGCGTTGAGATTATGATTACCAGCTGAGCGAACGAAGAGAGCGCCGGAGGAGTTTGATGCTTTTTGTTTGTTTAATGTGAGCGGTTTTGTAATTTAGCTAGCTGAGAGTCGTCGTCGGACAGCGAATGCAACAAACAAATGTAATTTTTAAGTTGTCAGTTTCCTTACCTCCCTCCGTTCCCCCCACACAAACACACACACACACACATTTGCATAAAAGAAGGTATATATATATATATAAATATAAATGAATATACTTAGTAAGCATTTTAGTTAAGAGTTTTACATTATAAATTAAACACAGAACAAGCAACCCCCCACAACACACACAAACACTCCCCATACATTCTCGCATTCTGGGGGATCATAGAGCTCGAGCAGTCGGCTTCAGCTTGTATGTAATTTGAAAATATGATGTAATGAGAGGTAACAACCTTTGTGTGAATCAAACTCTTTAGAACCAACTGTAAAATCCTATATTTTGTGCAGCTAAAAAAACAGCAAAAGCCGCATCGACAAGCGAGAAAAATAGAACACAGCTAAATTGTTTAGTGTTTAGAGTATATATATATATATACATATATATATATATTGAAACGAATCGATTTATATACAAAAAAATATATATATAATGCGAACGGCGAAATTGTAATAAGCAAGAGATAGAGTGCAGCACACGCTTCGATTTTTAATTTTACAAATATTATTATTATTGTGGTTATATATGTATATAATTATATTATAAATAATTGAAGCAAAACGAGAAAATAAAAAATTATATGTAATCGAAAGTAAAGCCTTGGACGCGCATCTAAAAGACATCTGTGGTGTAGACACTGCGCTGGCGTGGCAGTGGAGCGCCCTGCTGTCGGGACATCTTGGTGTGCAGTTCGCGTAATCCCTCGCACTGGCGACCCGAGATCTGACGAAACTTGTCGATGGCAATGGGCAGGAGGTTGTCCACCAGAAAGATTTTATTCTTCATCACAAAGTTGGGCTGTAAAATGAGGATATTAAATTAAAAATTGCTTAGGCTTCAATATAGAATCGACTCACATCCACTGCCATGTCGCTGGGTGGCTTCAGTGAGTGCTGGGCAATAAATAGTTCCTTCAACAACATCTCCAGACTCTGCAGTAGCGTCTCGCATTTGGCCAGATAGCCACAATATTCGGTGAGCTGCAGGAAATGGCGTATAAAAACCACTGTGGACTGGGTGAGGTTCATCCAGGTATCCCCCGTAGCCTGAGCCCGCACATCGATGCCCAATACATCCAACTCTAGCAGAAGGCGCTTTAAATTCGACTTGGTCTGCAGATTATACGGCTGCCAGCTCTCCTCTGTCCGGCCAACGGAATCCAACAGTCGCTCCTTAGACTCTTCAATCAGAGACTCTAGGGTGGTTCGCAGCAGACCCTCCAGGTGGTAGCTTATATCCAGCCCAATCTCCGTGAGCTTTGTCGAGGGTTTGCGTACCCGCTCCACGCACTTGGCCACCGCCTCCAGGGAGGTGCCTTTGGTCAGATAGTGTTTAATCAACTGACTGGCAAAGTATTGCAATTCGGCATTGCACCAAACCACGAGAGCTACAAAAATTAGTTTAAATTTAATTAATTTTAATTTAATTCATGTAAAGGGAGTTTTCTATAACTCACCACTAACACAGGCTGGCTGCTGTTCGAAGGCTGTTAGGAAATCGCAGGCCACCTGCGTTAGATCACAGAAGAACAGTTCCGATATGTCCGCATTGTTCCTACGAGCCTCTCGCTGCGCCACCCTCAAACTCACAGCGCACACCTTTAGCAGAGTAGCGCTCGCTTGGCGGTAGCGTCCCATCTCCACAAGAATCTTCAGCGGTCGCTTGGCGGCCCGCAAAGCTATTTGCAGATTGCGATTGTGACTGTTAGATAGCTCCTTTAGCAGCACATTGATCAGCTTCAACTCCTGCTGCTTCACCTTGCCCTCAATGACGGCCGCTTGTGGCACTTTTTTCCTGCTCTCCGTTTTCATAAATTCCTGAGATCGCTTGATTAACTCCTGGGCATCCTCGAAGTGTCGCTGGGCCACCAGAGTCTGGATTTCCTCGCTGGCTGTGTTAAGCCACTCGGGCGTCTCATCCTCCAGGGATTTGGGCTCGCCGGGACTTTGCGGTGCGGTGTCCTTTTCGGGCGTAGCAGCCTTGGACTGCTGCTTCGCGCGCGTTGGTGGCTGAGGAGCTTGACCCTTCTTCGGCTTCTTTTGCTGGTCAAAGCGAAAGGCCTCCTCGAGTTTTTCGATCCATTCGGTTTTTCCAGCAGCCGTGATGCTCTGATAAATCTTGGAACCGTCTGGTGTGATGATATTTATGGCGTTTTTAACGCCATCCAAGTCCTTAATATTAATCACTGCTATTTTCTTCGGATCGTACTCGGTGAGAAAGTCCAAACGTCTAAATTAAATATAAATATTAATCAAGTTTAAGCCGGATAGGTTCCTATGTAGAAACTCACTTGTCATGCTTTACTTTGCAGACGATTAGGACATCGTTGAACAGGAAGAAGAACACCCGCTGGATGGGTCTGTAATCGTTGCCGTCCAACTCAATGAGGGCACCCTCATTTAGGAAGGTTTTCCCCTCCAGGTTCCCATTGAAGCCTTGAACCATTTCCTTTACAGCTCTGGTGGCATGACTATTTTCCACATCGTCCGCTGCTGCGCTGCTCTCCGCCTCCACACTGTCCGCCTTCAGATGGGTGGAGGTCTTTCCATCCGTCATTGTGCCCAGAATATTGCGCTGCTCGATCAGAATGTGGGATAACTGATACATTTCCGACTCGAGATCTGTGCAGAACGTTTGAACAATATTCATAGCAAATACGCAAATGTTGTTAGGGGGCGTAACCTACGTGATATCTCCTTGGCAGTCTGGATGAACTCCATGTAGTTTTTCTTGCATGTTTGTTTGAGAGTCGCGGCCGTGGTTTCGTTGTAAGCCTCGATTTCCTTCTTTCGCTGCTGCAAATCGCTGCCACCAACGCATTCTCGGGTCAGCTCCTTAGTATCTGTATTAAAATAAGATGATAAATAATGGATTATACTTTAAAAAACAGCGAAAACTCACATTTATCAACGCTAAAGTTAAAATCGTCAAACTCCTTCATGATTGGAATGTAAATTGCAGCTGAGAGAGACTGCCATTCGCAACGGCACGCGTATGCTCAATATAAATTAACAAAAATGGAATGTTCTCACTGGTACAATTTGATAAAAATATTTAATATAAACTGCTGGTAAATATTATTTTTTTTTCGTAAATATATTTTGCGGGTATATATTCATGTATAATTTTATAATTATTCCCATGTAACCTTATATATCAATCTTGTTAAGCCATATAAGTTAGTCTGCACTCACTCACCATTGGCCATAGAATCTAAGATTTGCACCTACCGGTTTGTTTGAATTGTAATTTTAAAAAACTCTTAAAAGTTTTATCTTAAATTTTCGTATTTTAGAGGTCTCGAATTAGACTTAAATTAAAACCAAAATTATGAAATAATATAAAATGGCTATATCTTAAATAAGATAAAAATATGTTAAAAACGGAAAAAGTTAAATATAATTTATAAAAATGTTCCGATTTTTATGAAAATATTCTATGGCAGATTTGATGAAAATATTTTGAAAACTGGAAAAGTTATAATAAATTTAATTAATATTTTCAGATCGTTGCTATGACAGTTATATCTATTTAAAATTTAATGAAAATATATTTTGGAAACTGGAAAAGTTCAAATATTTTGTATACAAATTTTCCGATCTTTCCGTTGCAAACGTCTGACTAAAATTTTAATACCCTGCAAGGATATAAATATTGTATGTAAGTATAGTTCTCTTAAAAAAATAATCTCTTTAAATATTGCTTGGAGAATTTTCGGAAATCTAGTTAATATTCGCCACCTGTTGATATTGCAATTTAAGATGCAGGCAGTTAGTGAGAATGCCCTAAAATGAACCGGTCAGAGCTTCCTCTTTTTAATACCACCATTCGCCCGTACGCGCGTACACCCCTCCGCACACCTTACAATCACACACCCTGAGACAACTTATTGTTTTGGTTGATGAGTAATCTTTGATAAACTCCGTCATTCCTTATCCCTCAATCGTCGTAATTAAAGAAATACAGAAAAATGGACTGGCTTTTCGGCAAGAAGATCAGCCCGGATGAAATGCTGCGCAAAAACCAGCGGGCGCTGAATAAGGCGATGCGGGATCTGGACCGCGAACGGATGAAAATGGAGCAGCAGGAGAAAAAGATCATTGCCGACATCAAGAAGATGGCCAAGGAGGGACAGATGGATGCGGTGAAGATCATGGCGAAGGATCTGGTGCGAACGCGTCGCTACGCCAAGAAATTCATGCTGATGAAGGCCAACATCCAGGCAGTGTCCCTCAAAATCCAGACGCTCAAGTCGCAAAACACAATGGCACAGGCCATGAAGGGTGGGTGGATCACCTGATTGATTACCGTGCACACTGACCTCTTCATCTTTTTTAAGGTGTGACTAAGGCCATGCAGAACATGAACCGCCAGTTGAATCTCCCTCAAATCCAGAAGATCCTGCAGGACTTTGAAAAGCAGTCAGAAATGATGGACATGAAGGAGGAGATGATTAACGATGCCATCGATGACGCCATGGAGGACGAGGGTGATGAAGAGGAAACTGATGCTGTGGTGTCTCAGGTGCTGGATGAACTAGGCTTGCAGCTGGGAGAACAGCTGGGCGATCTTCCCTCCGCTTCCGGATCACTATCCGTAGCCGGCGGTGCCGGCGCCCAGAAGGCCCAGACTGCTGTGGCAGCGGGCGGAATTGGAGGAGGAGGAGCAGGCGGCGGTGGCGGAGGGTCAGGTGGTGGCGGTGGAGCTGGTGCCGGGGCTACGGGCGGCAGTGGTGCCTCCTCGCCCATGTCCGATGCTGATGCGGATCTGCAGGCGCGCCTCGACAACCTTCGCAGGGACTAAGCTACTTTTAAGAAAAACCTCCTGCCCATTTTATATAAGAGCCACCTTCCACCCCCCGTTTGTATCTCCACGAAAGCGAATGTTATATTAAACCGAAAATGCTTGCTTTTTGCTTTCCATGCGTGTTCGAAAAATCGATGAGTAAATACCACTAACGAGGTGTAATGGAAGAGTCAAGGTTTTTGCGTCTTCGCAATAAGTCTACTGTATTAAAAATAAGTAGTTGTGACTTTTCTCTCGTTCTGCTAAATCTTGATAATCAAATTAGAAAACTTCAAGCCGAATACTGGAGCTAATTGTAGTTAAACCTAAAAGCAAACCAGTTTAGCTTTGAAATATATGCTATATATTTATCTTTTATAGTTCTCGCAATCGCACTTTGGAACCCTTTTCGGATTTTACATAGATACCTACTCAAAAAAACCTTCCACAGTAATTGTGTATACTTTTCGGTATGTACACACAGATTTGATAAAAAACATGTATTTCTTCCCTTTTACTACAGTAACAAGCGTATATATATGTATATTTGGAGGGCTATAAATGAAATTTTAAGAGATAACACGACACACAGAACCGGAAGTAAGCCAAGCAACCGGAGGTAATTGACACGGTCTAAATTAGAAACCACTGGCCAGGAACACACGCTCCACCTCCCCAAAAACATTATCTGCATCTGGACTGGCATCGATTCGCTTCACCTGGCCGGCGGCTTCGAAGAACTTAATGATGGGCAGCGAATCGTTGTTGTACGTCTGGATTCGCTTCTTCAGGCTCTCCATGTTGTCATCGGACCGACCCGAACCGCTCTGTCCGCGGCCCAAGCACCGTTGGACGCACACGTCTTCGCCGCAGTCGAAGAACAAGACAAACTGCATGTCCACCTTTTCGGACATCTGGCGGTTCCAGCCGTCCAGATTGTCCTGATTCCTGGGGAAGCCGTCGATGAGGAAACGCGACTTGCCCGACGCCCTCATCGCGTTCTCCAGCAGCGAACACGTGACCTCAACGGGTACGATTTTGCCATTGCGGATGTGGTCCTCGATCAGAATGCCGAATTTGGAGCCCTCGCGCGATCTCTCCTCTCGCAGCAGGTCTCCAGCGGACAAATGGGTGAACTGGAAGCGGTCCACGATCTTGGAGCACTGCGTGCCCTTCCCGGCACCAGGTCCACCCAGAACGAACACAACCTTTGGCTTCTCGACGCTCATGATGCCGTTTTTTCTAGGTAGTGGTTGATTTCTTCGGCTGGAGGTGGAGGTGGTTATGTGCTTGGAATGTCGCAAAAGCTGCGTCGGTGTGAGTCCTCTAGGTCCGAAATCGATGGACACTGTTACTCCTCTGACCGCTTGCGTTAAAGCCCGCCACATTGACGACTGGGCTAATTGATTGCGTGGTTTATTGATTGCGTGGTTTGTGTGTATAGCCTGGAAATGGTGGTGGTGTGCAGTATTTTAAATACTAAATTTAGCTCCTATTAATTTATATTTGGCTGTTAATAGGAGATCTCCTAGGGATTTAGTGTAGTTTAAGCTTTAAAATTGATTAGATTACGTTTTATATTTAATTGATTTTGTGAATAGAAAAAAATATTATAAAATAAATTACAAAAACGAAAGCCACAGCTGTTCTTACTATAGACATTGTCCAGCACTGTTTCCGGCATTAGTGTTCACGCACCGATTTGAATGCCAATTCCGATGTTATATTAATAAACAAAAAAGAAGTTAACGTCGTCACCCCGAAGTTTATATACCCTTGCAGATAGAACTTCAATGACTAGGAATTAATACAATATAAATTATATATATATATAAAACAATGCAGTAATGCCTTCTTTCATTTCATTAAGATCTACATATTATATTCACAGTTTTGGATTTTCCTCTATATCTAACGATCGTTCCTGTGGAAGCTATATGATATAATAGTCCGATTTTCATAAAACTCAAGACAAAACTGTGGAATAATATAAAACGGCTATATCTTAAGTTTTATGAAAATCTGTTGAAAACAGGAAAAGTTATAATGTTTAATTTTGTTAATTTCTCGATCGTTCCTATGGCAGCTTATGATATAGTAGTCCGATTTTTATATAATTTTACACAAAAATGTAGAATATTATAAAATGGCTATGTCCCAAATTTGATCAAATTTTGTTGAAAACTGAAAATGTTATAATGTTTTTTTGTAAAAATTTTCCGATTATTTCTATGGCAGCTATATGATATAGTCGTCCGATCCGGCTCGTTGCGACATATATACGAGTCAGAGTATATAGAAGACTAACTAAAAAATTTCATTAAGATAGCTTTAAAACTGAGAGACTAGTTTGCGTAGAAACAGACGGACGGACATGGCTATATCGACTCGGATGATGATGCTGATCAAGAATATATATATTATATTATTATTTATATTATATGGTCGGAGATGACTCCTTCGATGCGTTTCAAACTTCTGACTGAAATTATAATACCCTGCAAGGGTATAAATATAATATGCAAAACTTCCAGTTTAACCACTTTTCATATTTCATTATTAATTTATTAAACTGATATTATATTAATTGCGCCTGATTGTTTTGTATCAAGTCAGCCACTAGTTGGTAGGGAATAATGTGCTGGGATCCGGCCGCCATGTCCACCTCCTCGTCATCCACACCCACGATCACAGCGGGCACTAAATCAAGATTAAACGATTAAATAATGCAATTATTTATATGCCCAGCAATGTTTACCTGCCACATTGGCCTTGAGGAAGACATGGCTCATCAGGTTGGGGGTGACGATGCGCTGCTCCGCCTCTCCTCTCTGTTGGTTGGGCATATACTGGGTGGCCACCTTGTGGAAGTACTCGTCCACATTGCTGGCGAACTCTTGGGCGAACTTGGTCTCCTCCGGGGAGAGTCGTTTGTCATCCGGCTCGCGAGTCTCCTCCTGGTTGAGTATGTGCTGAGTGTAGGTCTCAATCTTCTGGAGGCGACACCGCAGATAGCTGGCCATAATGTAGCGGACGCGTTCCAGCTCCATGCCATGCACCACGGCCCGGAAATCGTTCTTGTCCAGGTCGCGCATCTGCTCCTCCATGTGTGCGACCTGGGAGACCATCAGCTCCAGCATGTCCGTCTGACTGGGCAGGATTTCGGGGGCGCACATCTCGTTGATCCAGGCGTTCTCCAGGATCTCGAGAACCTGCGGGGATCAGAGAATGCAACAGGTTACTGTCTTAGATTTCACAGAGTTTGTCGCTCACCTTTTGGGCTGTTATCTGTTCAAGGTCGTCATCATCCTCCTCCTCAAACGCGTCCTCGTCACTCTCAGCATTTTCCATCTGTGTTTCCGGCACCTCTTCAACATCTGACATGGTTTAAAGGATATATTTTAATCTCTTATTTTTATGCAAGTTTTTGGCGCAATGTTTATGTTTGCGTTCTTTGTGAACGGCAATGGCTTGTAGCACTTTTCGGCACTGGATTTAGTATTTACGCACTCTACAACACTGGAACAGCACATGCGATGGCGGCCGCACAACAAACAGAGTTCCAAAAGAATTTTCGCCTTATTGTGGAAAAGATATTCAACCACTGGCAAAATCTCCGGCTGGCCGTGGAGCATGGCATGGGTGGACGCAATGGCCAGCAGGTGAGTCTTCCCTTCCACACAAAACAGAACCATTTTCTAACCTAGTACAAAATCCTTGCCAGGTGGCCATAGAAATCATGGACTATACCTATCAATATTGCGTGGCCAATGAAAACATCACCCAGGGCGAGCTACAGGAGGTCTTGGAGGAGCTGATGGACCAGGAGTTCAACACGCTCTGTGATGACAACTCCATCCCAGAGATATGCCGGAATCTCCTGCGATACAAGCAGCTGGCGCAGCAGAATCAGTATCCACAGATCGAGGCAGAGCTGAGCAAACTTCCAGCGGGCAAGGAGTGGTTGCGTCCGGATGTAAAGATCACCTACACGCCCGTAGAAGGTGACTCCTCTTCCGAGGATGATGATGATGATGACATGGAAGACGACGATGAGGACCAAGATGATGAAATGGAGGATGAGGCGCCAACCAGCAGCGGGCGAATGACTCGTTCGCAGGCCCGTAAACAAAAGGCTGAGGAGTTTGTAGAGCCCGAGGATGGTTGGACCACAGTGCGGAGAAAATGAATTTGTTCATTAATTAAACAGCTTGTTAGTTTTTTAGTTGTAATACGCTGTATTTACTTCCTGGAGATCCAGAAAGCGCAGTGGTGCGATGGGAGCACGCGTTACGGGCTGGTGCTGCGTCCGACAGATATTACAGTTCACGGGCGAAGGGATTTCCTTCTTTGATTCTGGAGTCTTGTTCCTTTTTTGCAACTGTGACCAGGATGTGAATTCGGTGCCTTTGGGTAGTGCCAGTTTGGGATCTACCACAGAAGCAATTGCATCTACATTCACTGTCATCGAGAGGTTTATAGCCGGATAGATGAGAAATGCGAAGAACCATGCAAACACCAGCAACAGGAATGGAATAAAAACGGCGAAATATTTATCCGGGAGATAGGAGTGCAGGCCAAACTCTAAGGGCAGCAGAGCCCAGGCCACGTAGGTGATGAACAGGACCGTAAACAGCATGTAGAAGGCGAAACCGTAGATCGCCCTATGCGGAGTCGGAGCCGGACTGTGTTCCGGCATTATCGTCGTCGTTTCCCCGGCTCACTGTAGACTGGTCGAACTGTTTGATTGTGTCTTGGCAGAGGAGCAGGCACTCGAAGAAGGAGGTGATCGCTGTTCGCAGGTTCTTCACTTGGTCGGCCTTGAATGTAACCACCAGGACGTCGCCATCCAGGCTGAGTGTCTTTTTCACAAAATTCCGGCGTGGTTCCTGGTCAACACTCAGCACTTTGTAGGCGATTTCAGCGAGCCGCGGCGTCTCGAAAGGCACTTTTATTGTGCTGTTGAGTTTTTTAAGCTTAATTTGCTGTATTTCTCTTTCATTTTGGGTAAAACTTACGATTCATTTGGTTTATTTGCTATTTGTGGCATTATTATTGAATTTTTGTTGTTTTCATCACGTCAACCGCCGAATGACATTTTAATAGAGATGCATAAACTTTGATGTCACTATCGATAAAATCGATATAATTAAAACGGCGATATCGATATTTTTGCTTTGCCAGACCGCCATAAACGCGTGCTATCGATTGTTCCATCTCCCATCTCTATCTCAAAATACCATCTTTATTCCAAAACACGCGCTTATTTTGTAAATAAACGACACTTTCCGTGTTTTTCGTTAAAATAATGAGTTTTCTGAAACCCAAGACCCACATAGAGCAAGGCGATGTGGTGATATTGTATCTGAGCGTTAATTCGATGCACGCCATTGAGGCGGTGCCTGAAATAATCAACAAAAAGGGCGAGACAATACCGCACATCTTCCAGACCAACTTTGGCTCCCTGAAAGTGGAAAGTTAGTTAAAGTTTTAAAGTTTTAAGCCGTTTTCTGACTCCCACTACAATTTCAGATATCATTGGTGCGGAGTATGGCAGCCGCGTGGAGCTCTCCAGGGGCTGGGCCCACGTCCTGCAGCCGACGCCGGAGCTGTGGACACAAACTCTGCCGCACCGCACGCAGATTATATACACGCCGGATATCAGCATGATTCTGCACCAACTGGAGGTGCGTCCTGGTGCCGTGGTTATTGAATCGGGCACTGGCTCAGGCTCCCTCTCCCACTACTTCCTGCGCGCCCTCAAGCCCACTGGCCACCTGCACACCTTCGATTTCCACCAAACTCGGGCGGATCAGGCTCGCGATGAGTTCCGCCGACACGGACTTGCAGACTTTGTCACCGTCTATCACCGGGATGTGTGCAATCTGGGCTTCACCGAGGAACTGGACGGCCAGGCTGATGCGGTGTTCTTGGATCTGCCCGCACCGGATCTGGCGGTGCCGCATGCCTTCAAGGCGTTGAAGCTGTCGGGTGAGTGGCCAACATCGCGTTGACAACAAGTTGTCAGCGCCCTAGCCGGCCGGGCAGTCCGGCAGTCGTTCCAAGCTGGTCGGTCATCAGTGATGGCATGGGTAGGACCACTTTTCAGAGTACCAAAGTTTTAGGGTACTTCCATTTTAGTACCTAGTTTGAGCTTATTGATGTTGTGCTTTATTTTATCCCAACTAAAGTTACCTATAAACAAGTACCCCAGGAATACCATCCCTGTCGGTCAGTCAGTCAGTGATCCATCCAGCAAACCAAAGATCCAGTCAGCTAGTCAGTCCGGCTGCCATTTCACCTAGCTTGACATTGAATGAGCCCGCTTTTGACACTTGATGTGGCCAAAGGCAGGCTGACCGGGCGAGTTTGTCATTAGGCGGATGGGAACTTCAATTGTCCAACAGGTTTGCACCGGACCTAAGGTACAGGCAGGCAAATTAAATGGGATATCGAAGAATTCATTGAGTATTATAATTTAAATATAAAAGAGGCCTTAAACGGAACCAACTATACCATGAGTGGGCTAGAATAACACTTGAATATATTACGAGCATGATATTCTTAAATCTCAATTCGCCAAACTCGTGTAAACCTGAATTTCTTCCCCACTCCATCCACAGGCGGTCGTTTCTGTTCGTTCTCGCCCTGCATTGAGCAGTCGCAGCGCTGCATCCAGGAGCTGACGAAGCTGGGCTTCAACGAGATCGTCTCCATGGAGGTGCTTCAGCAGGAGAGCGTGGTCAAGACCCGCACTCTGCCCGTCATTGATCTGGAGTTCCTTAAGCTGCCCAAGTCCGATGAGACGACGACGACGACGACGTCAGCAGCAAATGCCGAGGAGTGTAAAGCGCCCAAAGAGGTGAAGAAGTACCTGACCTCTAGCAATCCCCAAGTGCTGCCCGGTCACACGGGGTTCCTTACCTTCGCCACGCTGCCACCGAATATACCCAAGGCCTGATGGTGAATAAAGTTGCATTTATTTTTATTACTTGTACCCGATTTTCATCATCATTCGTCGTATGAGTAGGAGTAGGAGAACTCCTCGAAAAACTTGCGCTCGCTGGTCTTCACAGAGCCGCAGTGATAGCAGCGCTGTTGCTTCGCCACCTCCTGGGTCTTTCGGTTCCAGGATTTTCTCTCCGGCGCCCAAGGTGTACGCTGTTCGGGTATGGCCACTTCGGTGCGTTCCGGATTGCCACTGCATGTGGGGCAACGGCCAACGACATTCGGTTTGGGCAGCATGCCGTAGATGAGAGGTCCTGGCGGTTGCTTTCCATAGATGGTAACGATTTCAGGAAGGCTGGAGTACGGCCGTGTGGGAAAGAGCTTCTCGCGATTGAGAAAACTATAAGTAAGCATTGGAAAATATTTATTTTCTTTTAATTATTTTAGGATACTCACTTGGGTCGCGGCTCCAGCCAGAGGTTATTGATGCGCTTGGTGCGCATAATGTCGCCCAGCTTCTGCAGCAGCCGCAGGTTCTCCCGTTCGATTTGCTGCTGGCGCTCCCGCTCGACCTGCTGTTTCTTCCACTTGCGCTGAACGTGCTCGTGAGCGCGCGGCGTATGGGTATCGATGGCCGGGCGGGCGGACATGACCTTCTCGCGATGCTGGGCATATCGCAGCTGCTCCCACGGCTGCTGGAGTAATTTGTCGCGACGCGAGATCATCTTCTTCGGTGGTTGCTTCGATGGATAAGTGTTGATGGGGCTTAGCGGTTTTCTTTTTTCACCACTTGCCGCACCTGTGTGTGTTTGCCAAGGCAAACAAACAAGCCGTGTGCGTCGCGTCCATAACAACCTTGCCAGGACAACGGACACTCACTCGGCTCGTCGAATGTTGCACCATCATGCTGGGGGATTAAGTTCAACAGCCAACGGCAGCAACGGCAGCAACGGCAGCCTAGGCGGCGGCCGCTTTGCTCAGCTGTCCTGTCCGCCGAGTTGTCCATCCGATCCGCGCGCAGAGTGACATCTCCAGTGACTTGACTTGCAAATTTGCAGCCCATGGAAGAGTTGCCCCATGCACAGTTGTTACATAATTCTGGGCCGCCGCTGCTGCTGCTGCTGCTGCTGCTTGTTAGGTCCCCGGATTTCTGTGTAGTAGCCGCTCCTCAAGCTCGGACTTGGTGTGGCGGCAAAAGTTCCTTTCTTCTTTTTCAGTCCATGTTGCCGCTGCTGCTGCCTGCTGCCTGCTGCCTGCTCATATGTCAACCGGCAACAACATGCTGCCGGCAACTTGTTGCCGCTACCACTGGCACTGCCACTGCCGCCGTTCTAAATACTCCTCGTTTAGTGTTTTGATGGATGTTAAGTGCCAGCCTCATATTGGATTCAATCATTCTGCATCGATCGAAATGGGTTCTTGGTAATCGTTCAGTTTGGTTCCTTTCCTATTGCCAAGAGCTGGTAGGGCTTAGCGGTCAATCGTTCTTGTTTTAATTTGGTAATCTGAATAGCTGAATATATTTACAGCTATCCAAAGCATATTCCTAATTTAATTTGCCTAAATATTCTCAAATTTATCAACAACTTAAATTAAACAGTGCTCTTGAAAGATGAACTGTTGCTAAAAACATGTAGCGCAACATTTAACAAGAAGGGAAATAAACTTTGGGAAGCCCAACTTTATTTACCTTTGCAATTTACAATTTAATTTTAGGATTGAATCGGAAATCGATCTAAAGCCTAAAATATTCGCATTATTTAAATCGAATATTATCTAAATTTGTATATGACCATTTTTTTCGACATATTAAAGTTTAAAAAACTCAACTTATCCAAAAAAGAACTAATTTTAAATTGGAAAGCTTTCTTATGTTAGTTTTTATTGGTTCAATAAATCTGCATACTAAATTTAATATTTAAAAATATTAAAATTTTTTTGATTTCTTTTTTACAGTTTTAACCATTTAACCCTTATAAAATTTGGAAAAAATATGAAAATTTTTATCTCCCCTAAAACATGGCTAGATGGACTCAGTTTTTAATGCTGATCAAGAATATATATGATTTATAGGGTCGGAAATGACTCCTTCACAGTGTACAAGCTTCTGTCTAAAATTATAATACCCTGTAAGGGTATATACAAAAATAAATGTACCAGAGGTTTAATTGAAACAGAAATTAGTTTTTCTATTACCTCAAACCAAATTTCAGTTCTATTATGGCTTAGTAATGTTACAAATAAATTCTTGTTATTTATTTAAAAACCTCCTCTCTCAATTGAATCATCTATGTTTCATAGCTTGTATATTGACCCTCGGCAATCTCTCAAATAAATAAAATCTATATTTATTTATTCCCCTTCCCAGGCACTTGCAATTCCCATCGATCCTGTCAAAAACAAAAAAATTAAAAACAAACTCGGCGCAATTGTTCTCGTTTGAAAATGATTAGCCCCCCGTTGTTGCTTACAAAATGTGTCTATTGTGTGTTGCTTGCAACATGCCTAGTGGCAACATGTTGTTTGCCGCGGTGCGTGAGTCGGCAGTATTGGGCGATATTGGGGGGAAATTAAAGGGTTCATGCCGCATTTATTGGTCAGTTAATTGGAAGATCCGTAATTTGATACCAACAATAGCAACGTGTTGCTTATCACAGCTCACCTTGTTATGCGGCGGAGCCCCAAACGAATTATCTTGTTTGATGAATCGACAACTGTATCGAATTTTCACCATGCGGCTCCACGGGGGGAGTCGGTGTCGGAGTTAGAGTTGGAATCCAAGTTGGAGCCTCTGGGTCTCCGGCGCTTTTCGGTTGTGGCTGATTTTCACCTTTGGCCGAAAAAAATGCCTGTTGCCCCATCCGCTTGACTCCCCACTAAACACCTGCTTAGTTGTGCATAAATTTAATTTGGAAATGATTATTTTTATTGAATTTTTTTTTGTTTTTTGCTGTAAAATGGCACATAATTGTGCCGGCCTGGCTCTGTGGTCCCCAGCATTGGGGCATTGTGTGTGTGTGTGAGTGTATTAGAGGGTGCAGCCTTACACCCGCCAGCTATATGGCCAGTTTCTCACCTTTAGAAGCCGGCCCCAAAGTTTCAAAAGCTGGTGGCGAGCGGGGAGGAGCGAGAAATTGATGGCAGCCAGTGCTTGACTTGGAGATTTTGCCATTGGTCTGGTTTGGTTAAATGGTGGATACTCTTTTTGGACAGAAAAAACATTTATATATATATAAAACATATTGTCAAGATATAACAACATATGATAAATAATTAGGGAACAAGTTCTGGTTGAGCTTAAAAAACGTTGATGTTAATGGACTTTCTGTTGCAAAACATCAAGAATTTTATAGCTTTTTCAGCTCTATTATCTGAGGTTTAATTTATATTAAAATTTATTAGTAAATATCCCAGAATGTATGTAATTAAATGTAGTATTTTTAGATCCAACTAATTTCAAATCATTTATTAAATACCAAGATATTTCAGGAAAGTGTAGAAGTGAAGCAAATGCTCCTAATATTAATATAAACTCAAGTAAGAAAATATTCTCTACTCTATATTCAGTACATAAAATCTTCTATTCATTTTAATATATTCCGATTTACCTCTAAATATCTTACCCATTAGTCATAAAATTCTCTAGTTTAAGCTGCAATACCAAGGCTTCCATTTACAAATTGACCTTTTTTGAAGCAGTGAACCCTTCTTATGTTTTGGGCTAGTACTCTCGCATATCATACAAAGTGTATATATACACAGACAATACTTGGGGTCCTGTCCATTTATTACATGAGCCCCGGCAACAAACAGCAACAACTGCAGAGAAGTCAGTTGAAAACTGCGATTTGCTGTCAGCTAATAATAATAATTTCGATATTGAAAATACGTTTTCTTAGTTAGGTACGACACTAAACGATTTCGCCCAGTCGTCGGCGGTGCAGCAGTGCTAAAAGTCAGGCAAAAAGGCAAACCTGGCCAGCAACAATTGCAGACAGTAACAACCAACAAAAAGCACTGAAAGAAATAAGTCAAGAATATCAATTAAATTTATAATAAAGCTTAAAATAGAAGAGGAAAATATGCACTATTCCTGGACACTCAGAGAATATAATATTTAATATTGAAGAGTGTTAAAAAGTTCTGAAAACTATACACCAAATGTCATTCTTGTCATTCTTTAACCTATTAAAAATACGTTTATTATTATAAATTAGCTTAGTATGTTTTACAAATTTTAAACTAATCAAAAATGGTTTATTATTATAAACTAGCTTAGTATGTTTTACAAATTGTAAACTATATTTTATTCCTAAATACCCTGTAATTATGATTAAGATTTCCCAACTAAAATAAACTATCAATAGATAGTAGTGTCTATTTTCAAGAATATATAATTATCTAGCATTTCTTTCTCAGCCTTAAAATTACATGCAAAGCTTCCTTAATTGTTAAACAATTAAATGAAGTAATAATATTTTCTCTCAGTGCACAACTTGACCGTTGGTGGGGGCGTGCTATTTGCTGCCGCTGCTTCTTCTCTCATACCCTTTTGCGGACAGGTGGTGTGTGGTGTCGATGTTGGCCGTTGGATCCTCGACTGCTGGCTGTGCCTGTTGCCTGTTTGCCCGTTGCCCGTTGGTGTTCAATATGAGCCACAATTGAGGCATTTAATCGAGCATCTCTTAACACGCCTTGGAATGTTGACTTATTATTGGCCCAGGCAGGCGGACGTACTAACGGACGGACGGAGTTGGACTCGAACTTCCCTCCTCCTCGTATCTGTATCTTTTGGCGCGACTCGGCCCAGTGAGTGTATCTGTGTGCGGCTGTGGAGTCCTGAGTACCGGAGTCCAAAAGCCTCGAGTGCCTTGCGTCGGTGTCAGGAGTCTGTAGTTACCTCACAGTAAAAGCGTTTATCATCATTAGACTCAATCTAAAGACGTTTTTGGCCGGGGTTATCATGTTGATTATGTTGTGTGAAAACAAATTACATTTTTTTCCCGTCCCCTCTCACTTTAACACCAGGCATAGCCATGGTTTCGACCATGGTTCTTTTTGCTGCTGGCTAATTACGAAGATGATCGCTGATTTCAATTGTGCTTATTGACAAACCAATTGGTATAATGTTTTCTTAGTGAAAGGAAAGCCTTTTCCTGGCAAACCCGTGAGAAAAATCTATAAAGTCGAGACACAGCATAGAAAAATATTTCCAATTTGCTAATGGCAATAATTGTTTATACAACAATTCTTTGGTATAATTTGTTTTCTATTTTTTTTATCTTTTGTTTTTAGTTGCCAAGCACAGCTGTGTTCTATATAGTTGTTGTTGCTGTTGTTCAAAGTTGTTGCAAGTGGCATTGCCTGCAGCTGCAACAGCAATAGCAATAAACGCGGCACCACCGGTGGAAATAACAGCAAGAATAACTGCTTTAGCAAGGTTAAGTTTGGCCCTGACTCTACCTGATATTATTGGTCAACAAATTATAGTTTTTGCTGAAGAAAAATATAAATAAAATATATAAGTAAATAAAAGATAGTATGTATATCTTATTGATATTAAAGAGTGAACGAGTGTTTGCAACCTTCTCTAACTTTCTATCTAAATAAAATCCTTAATAAATGTGAGACGAAGCGCTTTTGTTTTGAACTTACTTTGCAGAACCTTTTTTATATTAATATAATGACTATTTTAAATATTATTTTATAAATTTTATATTATCAA